TTCCGGCAATGGTTTGGACAGCAGCCGCCCAAGCAGCCTAATAGCCTACACAGACCCTGCACAGCACCCTGCAAAGCACCTTTGCCAGACCTCGCCACCGCAGTCTGGAGAGCTGCACTGCACCCTGCATAGCACCCTTGCCAAACTTCGCCACAATTCGCCACCGAAGACCTGACCTTTGAGAAGTAAGAATCCCTATAGTTTCCAGCTATCTGGGGAAAAACAAAATTCTAAGAGCAATGGAGCTTCCTTCCTGGAGTGAGGCGGCGTAGACATTTGCCTCTGAATCCGGGAAAACACATTGTAAACCGCCTTGCCATAGTCCTTCCCTCGAATTTGCAAGAACAAATTGCTAAAGTACCCCGGGGCCATCTCTAGAATGGCACTCCACTTCTGGCCAACTTGCGGATCTTGCTGCTTGTTGGCACCCTCACTGGCTGGCAGTCGGACATAGCCATTCTCATCAAGAAGTGGCCGGTCAGGGTGCTGCGCAGCGTCGCGTTCCACAAATCGTTGGAGCTCTTGCCTGATCAAGGCATCGCCTTTTTTGAACCTGTTGAAATTCTCCGCTATGGCCTTAGCCAGTAGGAGCGGGCCAAAGATATCAATTACACGCTAAAAAATCTATTGTTGTGGCAAGTGTTCAGAATGTTCAGAATTGGTGGGTGAAATCAAAGCCTCAAATAAAAGCCTAAACATCTAAAACCAAACATATCTAAACAACGCATGAGGGTCACCCAAGCTCAACGTCGATCACCCAAGAATCTCGGGCTAGAATCCAAGTGGCTTGAGGTTTTGGGGACTAGCGAAATAAGATCTATGATATTGAAATTCTCCGGTATGGCCTTAGCCAGTAGGAGCGGGCCAAAGATATGAATTACACGCTAAAAATCTATTGTTGTGGCAAGTGTTCAGAATGTTCAGAATTGGTGGGTGAAATCAAAGCCTCAAACCAAAGCCTAAACATCTAAAACCAAACATATCTCAACAACACATGAGGGTCACCCAAGCTCAACGTCGATCACCCAAGAATCTCGGGCTAGAATCCAAGTGGCTTGAAGTTTTGCGGACTAGCGAAATAAGATCTATGATATTGAAATTCTCCGGTATGGCCTTAGCCAGTAGGAGCGGGCCAAAGATATGAATTACACGCTAAAAATCTATTGTTGTGGCAAGTGTTCAGAATGTTCAGAATTGGTGGGTGCAATCAAAGCCTCAAATCAAAGCCTAAACATCTAAAACCAAACATATCTCAACAACACATGAGGGTCACCCAAGCTCAACGTCGATCACCCAAGAATCTCGGGCTAGAATCCAAGTGGCTTGAGGTTTTGCGGACTAGCGAAATAAGATCTATGATATTTATGATATCTATGATATCTATGGCTTCAACCCTGCCAGGCCTTAAATCTTGCCACATCCCAAGGACTGGGACCAAGTACTGTGACCTGAGGGATCTGAAGGGGCCAAGTTACGAGGATGGTTTTCGAGTCTTTCTCCACTGGCTTCTTCACCTTGTCGTGCATATGCTTGACCAAATTTTTCTGCATGGTCGACTTCAAGGTTTTCTGGGAGATCTTCTGGTGGCTGCTGGGTGCGGGATCTGCGGCCTCATCATCCGTGTCATCGATGGTCACAGTGCCATTGTCATCATTGTCATCTTTGCCTGCGTTGGTCATGTTGGTCTTTTGCTTCTTTGCTGTCTTCTTTCGCATCTTTTGCTTTCCTGATGTTCCTGGAATCTCTCGTGTCAACTTCGCAGATCCTTTGGTCCCATGCAAGGCTTTGGGCCAGCTGGTCCATTCATGGGCATGTTTCACTACTTCAAGTGCTTTCGCTGTCAGCGTGACTTGCACTCCATCAGCTCCAAGTTTGGTGTCCGCAATCTGAAGCACCAAGCCAATTCTGTCTGCTGCGACAACCATGGTTTCACCCATGGCAGTTGCCCTGAATGTGCCTTCTGGTTGGTTTTGGACTGGACTCATCTGAAAAACCAAAAATGGGACAATAGAGGCCGAACAACGGGAGCAATTTGGGAAAGACGGAAAAGGGGGGCACGCGTCGCTCGGCACGAGCTGGCATCATCCAGCAATCGGGAACATCAGGCGTTGTCATCAGGCATTGGCTTGGATCTTGGGCCCTTGGTTTTTATCTTGAAGACACTTTTGGCATGTGCTTCTCGGGCCCAGGAATTCTATCTCTAACATATTCTTTCTGATCACTCGTTGGGATATCTCAAGCCTTTGGATTTTATCTCCAAAACCCTTTGCTGTTTTTTTTATATTTTGCATTGTTTTTACCGTGGGGTCAAGCCAGGGATTCTATCCAGGGCCCTTTGGTCTCAGACCAGCTGGATTCTATCCCAAATCTTGGCTTAAATCCTTGGCTCCAGGCTAAGGTGCATAAGCAACCCCTATTTTTTTTTGTGTGTGTGTGTGTTTCGGACGGCTCTCGTTGTGGTGCTGAGCAGGTCTTTATGTGATGAGCTTGTTCCAAGCGATATGAAAACAATTTTCCTTTTCTGTGGATGCTTTGCGTTGGTGCTTGTGTGGAAGTTCGTCTGGGATGCTCATAGCAAGTTCTTGTCCGAAGATCTTCTGAGAAATTATCCTATAGATGTCCTGGTATGAGCTTCTGGCATGAGGTTCTGATGTAGTTTCCTGTGCCAAAACAAGTTTCTGATGCTGCAGCTACGAGAATGTCTAACCTGATCTGTTACTGTTCCATAGCTACTGTTGCTGGTATTTGGTAGAATGGTTTCACTGTTTGGGGCCTCTTGCAGGTTCCGGAAAAATTGCGGTGTCAACCGCGATGATACCTAAGATGAGTTGTCGGGTGGGGACCACTTCAGCCCCGGGAGGTTTGCAATGGCAAAGGTCCCTACAGATGCTTCAGTCACTTCAGGCCCTGGGAGCGCATGCAGGTCTTTGGATGCTCATGGCATATTTTGGGGTCATTTTTTTTCTCCTACGGAATTGGAATTACCTTGGCCAACTCTATTCCAGAAAAACATGTTCCGTTTTCTTACCCTCTCATATCAAAAAGTATGGCAATTTACTTGGCCGCAAACTAATTTTGGCTATTTCCAAATTTTCCTTTCCCGAAACCATAGCTCTTAGGGTGTTCAGCGCTAGGGTCCAGGTAGGTGAAACTGTGTGAATGTAAGCAAAGATTTGGAAAATTAGAACATGACAGAATCGAACAAACAAAAAAATTAAATCCCACGCTTGATTGGCCATTTCACGAACCTAAATTGGAGGTACCTACCATTATCCTGAAAATCCCATTGACTTAAAGTTGAACTATGGACCAAACAATGGGCCTAACTCTCAGGTACAGGAAGAGCAAGAAGGCCATCCCCCAGTTATAAGTTGGTTTACAACCCCATTTAACTACAGATATCAACTGACAGTGATAAGCCAACTTAGTGTTTGGGGCCCATAAGCCCTAAACCTCCCCATATTGCAGGTGACCTTTCCATCGGTTTTCGTTGTGAAAAGGATCTCCGGATGGCACCGGACCTCGTAGCAACCAGCGCAGCGGTCTCGGGGCTGGAACGTTTGGGGCGGTGGCAGGCGGGACATGAAGGGATGCGGAGCATATGAGTAACAGACAAAATTAGCGGAACACTGAAGTAGTATGGAGTGGACTTGGGATGTTCAAATGTGTGCGAAAGCCTTCACAACCGACAGGGGACGTACTTACCGACACCCTATTTTTCCATATAGCACGGAAGCACAAACCTTCACAACGGATAGGGGACCACCCACTTTAGCCATGTCCATTGCGAGTAAATAGTTTTGTCCGCAACTCATATATGTTTTGAGGAGGAAAAGTTGACCCATAGATATATGATATAATATTTACATGTAGTGTGCACGTATGTATATATATATATATGTATTTATTTATTTCTTGGAAGGGATTATCTTTCGTGTTTGGTAAGAAATTACCTGAGATGAGTAGAAACTAAAGAGTTTCAATTTCGGGTTTTGGGATGAACATGGACCGAAAGAACCTGCTTGGTAAACATAAAATCATGATTGGTTTTAAGGAAAACGGTTGTATCAAAATGTTGCTAGAAATGTCTTCCAAACTAGGTGGCTGGTTAACTGTAGTGGGGGTGCCATTTGTATATATATATATATACACATAATAGACACATTTTTTTTTGGGAACGTCCCTCAATTTGTAAATTCGGTTTTATGACAGATTGAAGTCATATCAGAACCCACATGACTTCGGTGATCTCGGAGCTTGACCCTCACATACTTACGGATACGCCAGCCATGCCCACCAACCATATCCACCCTCCTTTTGCCGCACTTCAATGCACTTCATGGTTGTTTTACTTGTGGATTTATCGCACTAAACTAGTTTGGACCTGAGAAGAAGATACCGTTTGTTTTGCTATATGGGTGTGTCTAAACAGTTGGTATATCTCAAAAACAAACAGTGAAGATGATGAGCAGCAAGCGGATATGGGGTTACCCTATTTTCAGACTGACAAACGCATCAAACGTCTCTTTGACACAAAAGTGGCCCATACCCATTTGTTGGAGAAGACGAGCATGCAGGCCGCCCTGCACTTGTTGCAGCATTGCAGGGCTATTCATCTCCTCCCCGATGTGGTGCTGTGCCCCTGATTGCCTGGGAGTTGATCAGCGATTCACCCATGGTTCTGCTCGTACTTGGTGATCTATGTCTAGAACTGCATTCTGTCATATGCCAATTTTTGCTTCTATCGATCTATATAAATTAACTTTATATATATATAATATGCGTCAGGTCTTGCATATCAATAGCCGGGTCTACTCTCAGTAGCATGCTGCGACAAGTCCGAATTTCCCAGAAGTTGTTGCAGGTCAAGCCGAAATTCCAAAAGTTTGGCGCTTTGGGTTTCATGAGGTCTCCGGCCTGTTGAAAAAATCGGGCATCGATTGGGTCGATGCACATCATATTTGGACCTTGGCCTTGGATGCAGTATTCAGCCAGCCTCAGCCCCGTGAGGGCCCCCCCTTGTACAGTTTGCTCCTGGCAGTGGCCAGTGTGGGACCCTTGTTGAAAAGCCATGGCAGACGGTACCATGTCAGCGAAGTTCATGAAGAGTGCCTTTGTAGGTCACTTGGATGAACGCTGACCGTCCGCTGACCTTGGTGGGGGTTTGCGGAGGGAAACGGGAAACCCAAAAAAAATCTCAAGGCTCCAGATGCCAAAATTGAACAGATCCGCCACCAAGAAGGAACCAGGGATTGGAACATATTGGAACGTCCGTACAGGAAATTGTGAGCTCATGCTCATTGATCAGCCATAGTACCTTCAAAATCACTTGGTAGATGCAGTTGGGGTCTGGGAAGCTGCATGAGTTCATGAAGCTGTTAGGGGTTCCCTCGCTAAGAGCGGCCTATCAGGAAATAGGATTTTATCGTATTTGTAGATTGGCACTGTAGAATAATGTATGATATATATATATATATATGTGTGTGTGTATCATTATATATTTATATAGACCAGTTGGAACATGTTGGAACCCCTTTGTTCGTGATGCAATGGTTTCATATAATTGTCCTACGCCAACAGTTTCCATCATGTCGTTGCCAGGATGGACCTTCACAGCTGGGGTGTACTACCCTCCTGACTTCGATGCTTCAAAGTTGATGCCTGTAAAGGCTGGGCATGTCAGCCAGGGCGGCCCTCGAGGTTGATACGGACAGATGTTTGATAGATTTATGGCCATTATTTAATTAATTGACAAACTGATTCAACTGATGGAAGAACATGGAACATCATGGAACAACATCTTGGACTTTTTGTGGGTGCATTTTTTTTCAGATGACCCCATATTCGAGGATAAATATGGGTGTACATCTCAGAATGTCAACAATTGTTGATAGTAGTTGAGACCAGCCACTCAGTCAGCGGGATGATCCATGAGAGCCTTCTAGCAAGGCACTGAAGCCCAAAGGGCCGCAGATGATGAACATTCGCATGATGTTCCCCTTCACCATGGTTTGCGACAGCTGCAAGGAGTACAACTACACAGGCGGAGATGATGAGATGGGGGAAAAGATGATCAGATGGTTGTAAGATGTTGTAAGCACCGTTTTTGTGTAGCTTCAAACGATGGTGAACAGATCCCACTGGCAACTTCAAGGGTAGGACGTGTTATCAAATGCACCTGATCGTTGTTCATGGCTCTGGCTGCAGAGGTACCAAGTTCACGGCCAAAACGGAGCAAATCAAAGGAGAAAGCTACCTGGGCCTGAAGGTGCGACATATTTGTGTGCTTAACAAATGTTGGAAAAACCATGGGAAAAGCGCAGAAACCATGCCAAACCTGGCAGAATCCTTGAATTTGTTGAGTAGAAAATTGCGACAGGAAACCCTGATTCGTCGATTCGGATGTCAAATCCATGGGCCTCCGAAGGTTTTTGCTTAAATCAACCCATTGATGGCGGAATTTGCTGATATTTGCTGGTTTTTTCTAGCCTGAGGCCGACTATGGGACCTTGACATGATCACTTCCCAGGGACTACCGATCAGGGCCACGGAATCTTGCCATGGCCGCAGGTGTACCGCTTCTATGGTCGTTGTCGCCATTGCTGGTCAGAGTTTACCTTCAAGACCGAGCCTGGACTGTGTTGATTGGAATGGTGGATTGGCAACGAGAAGTTTATTGGCCTTCCAAGCCCCAAGATCAGTTGCCAACGCCTTTTTCAAAAGGTTCCATGTGATTTCTGCGGCCGTGGGGGCAGAAAGTGAGCTTACTTCAGATGGAAACTTGTGTCATATATATATATATAGATAGTTAGACTTGCCTTACGGCTTGCGGACAAAAAACACATTTGTATAGAATCTTATTGCATCTTATTGCTAAATTGGAGACGAGCTTGTTCCTTCGTGTCCGGTGACGCACGTGACATCAAAAATCATCAATAACCAACCTGTTCAACAGAGCCCGCACCAAGGATCCCAAAAACTCCGACTACACCATGGAGTCTGGTGGCAAGCGCTGCTCGGTCTGCACTGCAGAACCCTCCACCTGCTAAAAAAAACAACCAGCGGTGTGTTCACCTTCATTAATCCGGTGAAACATTGCTGTGATATGTTGTGACTCTGACACATGGTGATTTTTTGTGCTTTCCCATGCTTGCCCTGTTAATCCACGACACTTCACACATCGGAAAAAGCGAGGTACCTATGAGGCCTGGAAAGACGCTGATGCTATGGAGGCGCAGTTGAAGCAGGAGAAGGAGCAGGAAGCTGCCCAGGTGCGAGGGACAGACCCAGAAGTCAGCTCCTTCACCTGTCAATGTTCAATCGTAAAAAGGGCTGTGCCAGAGAGAGAGAGAGAGATATATATATATATGTATAACGTTTATTTTTTTTGATATAATTATATTATATGTTTATATATTTATTATATATATAGAGAGAGAGAGAGATAAAGATATAGATATAGGTGGGTAGATGGGTGGGTGGTAGATATAGATAAATTTACAGACTCTGGCCTTTCCCCTGGTATTGAACCAGTCAAGATGAAGGATATCTAGACAAAGGGGGGCGTTGTCCATGGCCATGTTTCACTGTATCAGCCTATGAGGCCTGACTGGGTCGATGCGTGGGTGTGACTCACAAGTCAATGGTAAAATTATGGTTCCACGCTGAAAAAAACAAGCCGTGTTTCCGATCAAAGCGAAGTGAAGCAGATCAAATCACATTTTCTGGTGTTGGTATCATGCAACCTCCCACCATCTCCCACCATCTCCCACCTTTCTGGCTTTTCAAGCTGTTTCAACCATGTTCACAGGATCAAATGAAGGCCCTGGAGCAGAAGGCTGTGGACGTCCAGTCGGAGATGCAACGCTTAGAGGTGCAACTGGGAACTGTCTCAGGAAATGGTGCGATGTTTTTCTTGAAGGGACAAAGAGTCAAGGATTTGTGCAATTAAACTGTAAACCCCTGGGCTCCAAAGAATATCGACCTGATCAGCTAGGGTAGATTGTCATGGAACCCTCCAGGTGTGGAGTTTTCTGTGTTTTGGACAGAGGTTGGGTACCCCATTTTGGAGGTATCGTCACCGTTGGATGGTCGTTGAAGATGACACTCCCTAGTGGTTGGGCGATTTTCGTCTTACTCGGACGTCACCAGCTTGGGATTTCTATCTTCCAACACCCCTTCAGTATCCTTTGATTTGCGAAGAAAAGGCTGGGCTAGGACCTAGATGACTCGCGTGAAACAGTAGACTATGGCTGGCAATGAAATTCACTTCAGTGGCTGACTGTCATACCCCAAGCATGTTACTGGTTGATACTGGTTGGTGGTTTGGAACATTTTTATTTTTCCATATACTGGGAATAATAATCCCAACTGACTAATATTTTTCAGAGGAGTTGAAACCACCAACCAGGTTAAGATTGTGAAACCTGATCCAACCTTCAGTACCAATGTCCTTGTGACCATCAACCAAAAGGACAATTTGCAGGAACAAAGTTGGGGGGTTCAAGTTTCTGTTTCCTTGATTTAGCATCCTGTTCCCCACGACGGGACAATTTATGTACCATAGGCTCCGAAAAGTGATGGTTGATCATGATGTGTTCTTGATTTTGTCCATCATGTTTCACAGGTTTTCCTTGCCAAATTGGGACAAGCCCCCTCCGGAATTTGGAGCAACTCATGGTCAAAGCAGCCGTCCAGCTTGGTCCAGCAGGACCTTGATGCCATCCGCACCCTGAACAAGAGGCGTGCAACCGATCAGGTTGATTTTCGACCATGGGGAGATGTTTGATCTTTTACAAGACATACACCATCAACTAACATCACGACCCTGGCAGGTATGGGGGTTGAAGGACTATTTTCCCTAAGGGTTGGTGATTCAGGGTCTATGACAGTTGGAGGGTTAGTAGTGTGCATATTTGTTTTGAGGCCTAATTACCTTGCTCAGGGCTGCTTTAAGATAGCCATGCATACGTCCGCCCATTGGGCTGTTAAAACAAGAATCTGAATCTGGAAGATATGCCATGGCTGCGGCTGTCCCTAACTTGATGAACTTGTGTTGGAATTTCCTGGTTTGCTGTTGCATATGGCCCCTCTGCAAAGAGCAACCATTGGCATTTGTTTGTAGTTGGGTATGTTTGAAGGCTGGACTCATGAAAACCATCAAATTGTTTCCCCCAAAAAAAGACTGCAGACTTCAAATCACCCTTTGTCTCCGCCGGGCGCTGGTGGTGAGGCTAGGCAATCGGGATCAGAGCATTCAGTCCGCCTTGGATTACTTGTTCCAGCAGGAGCGCGGCTTGAATCTTTAGTCGGCCTTGTGACTTAGGAACTGTTTGGAATATGACCTCATTGACTACTATATAGACGTATATACGGCAACAACATTTAAATATGTGGAGGGCGGGCAAGACTGCGAGGCCCCGGAGGTAGTATGAAATACCAGTTCGTATATTTAAATGTAGTTACCGTATGTTTAAATGAATTGGATTCCGTATGTTTAAAATTGTTTAAATGGCCGGGCGGGCCAAGGAAAACCTTCCCGGAAGTAGTCTAAAAGACCTGTTCGTATATTTTAAAGTCCGTATATTTAAATGTAGATACCGTATAAATATTTGTTTTTCAGATTTTAGAGGGGTGGCCCCGCTTGACAATGAGTACAGAAGATGATGATCATTGGAATGCCAAACCGATCCCTCTATTATTCCCAAAAGACATCCTTGCATGATCTGGTTTATGTAGAATCACCAGCCACACATGGATCGAACCCAGGAGGTTTAAATCGTGGTTGTTCCACTTCACTGTTGGCCATGTTGGATTGCGAGGACTCTCAACGAAACACGGAGGAGGAAGAGATGTCGCAGGCTGAACTGAAAGAGTTGAAAGGCTTCAAAGAAGAGAAGGACACCCTTTGGGTCGACAGACTGACAGAATGGTTGGTAATAGATTGGTGATTGGTGTTTGCTGTGTATTTTGAATTATTTTAACATCTTCTATGCCACAAGAGATGCTAAAATTAGATGATTGTTCAAGCGGTCTCTAGGTTTTCAGCTGGTTTTTGGGATGCTACTGCTGTTAAAAAAGACATGTCAAATATGCTGCACAACTTTGTGCAGTTTTGAGCAGCTCACTGGTTGCGAGAGTGCTGTGGCAACACCCATGACAGCACCTTTAAAGCCGCACAGTTTTTTTTCGCATATATCATGTACTGTATATATAATATAAATAGATAAGCAAATAAGTAAGACACATAAATTCAATAAATAAATAGATAAATAAATATGTTCCGTTATCCTTTATTTACTTTCGCTGGAGAACTGAAGAAAGGACATTTCGCGGTGTTCTTTAGCATGGTTGACTATCGGCTGATTCCTCATTCTTGTTCGCTTTTCCGAGGACAAAAAGGAAGAGGCCGAGGCAGCAAAGGCTGAAGCCTCCAGTAGTTCCAGTCTTTTGGCCACAGCAACTGCTATGGATGAAATGATGGGGAAATGGAGGTTTTCTGCAAAGACCTGGGTGAATGGGTTTGTTATGGTTTGTTGTGTTTTGGACACGTTGATGAAGGGATCAGATTCCACTGAAGAGATGAAATTCCCCCAGACCTTGCTTGAGACCTCGCTTCCAAACCTTGTGTTTTAGGAGTGTTTCTGAAGTTAATCACGTTTTGTGAAAGTGGCCTTTGCAGGTTAGGCTGGCGCACTGTGAGAAGTGCCTGCGGCATGTAGGTGCATAATATAATCTTTGCAGTTCTGTAGATATGGTGTTTGATGTGTGTGTGTATACAGATGATTATAGATGCATGTATACAAATATATGTGTACATATGGGCACACGCACATACATACTTTTTTTGAAACACAAAACTCTACCTCTCCGTGCATTTGAGGTGCTACGCCTGGTTCAGCCATCCTTTCTGCAGTGCAGGCGGGGCGGCCAGAAATTGGTAGTGGGCTCGGGGAAATGATGATAATGATGATAATGATGATAATGATGATACACACTCGACTTATGTGCACCATATTTTAATACAACTTCATTTGGAGAATTGAGGACTTTTGGTTTTGCGTCACAGGAAACCACTGTTGTTCAGTAGTTTTTTTTTGGGGGGGGTAGTCAGTAGTCAACCATTTGGTTCAACATGGTTAAAGCATCGGTTCTTGGGATAGTTCCGGGAACCTCGTGGAGGGCGAAGCCCGATTGGCCTATATTGGTGGGTATTTGATACGGCAGGGGCATGGGGTTATCATGCTTTGCTGCTGAACTTTGAGAGCGGGGTGAGCCCAGAAGATCCCATTGAAGGGTGTGGCCATCCACCACTAGCAAGGGTTTCAAAAGGCCATTGTTCTGACGTTGACCCGTATGAATCCATAGTGATGTCAAAAAACTTGATCAAACTTGCTAGTTTAAGACTATAGTTTGTTTTGCATAAAACAACTAGATAACATATCTGATTACCTGCCAACTTTGAGCAACCTTTTGTTGGTTTAATTCCCCATTTCTTATAGGGAACACAGTACCTCAGAAGGGGTTGTGGGATTCATCCTCGGCTAGGAGCGTGCTAGTGCTGCAGTGGCGAAAGCGAAGCCAAAATTCACGGTGAAGGCAAAACCAAGTACTTGGAAGCATTCCACAGATTGTATAAATCCCCTAACTGGGTAACTGATGAATAACCCCTTGTGAATAAACTGCTTCATAACTGGTTTATATTATATATACTGTATATACTGTATTTAACCAAGGTTATTGATCACTACAGGTAATATCACTTAATATAACTGATGAATAACATTATAAGAAGTCTGAAGATGTCCCTGGCTGACCTGCTGGGTTGCATCCCATCGTCGGGATTCTAGACAGATCTCCCGGCAAACTGGACGGGGTAAATGAAGCAGCTTGTGCACCGGCTCAGTTGCTGAAACTCCTTTTCCTCTTAGCGGTCCTAGCGGAGTGGTAACCTAATCGACATCAGCTCTGCTGAACTCCTTGAGAATCTTGAGAAGGCGATGAAGATAACATATAGGAACAACTTTCAGGGACGATTCTTGGGTGGTCACTCCTTTTGGGTGGTCCCTTGTCCAACTTGGTGGATGAAATGGATGAGTTTCTTGCTTCATGTTGGTAAATATATGGCCTCACATGGACCTCCAACGTTGTTTTTCCCGTCGAAGGTCAAGCGAAAGGCTGAAGAGGATCGGGAAGGCCAGCGAGAGCGTGACAGGCGAAATAAACCCTGATTCATCAGACCCTGAAACCATCATACTATGTACTATAAAAACACACGAGTGGTATATATACCCACAGGCCCCTTGTGTTGCCCAAGCCCAGAATAGCGTAAATTACAAGGATTTTTTGTTCACACTATACATCTCATATAAATTCTCCCACCCCCGTTAAACTCTTACATTCATTGAAGATTTTCAATCAGGGTTTAATTCTCCCACCCCCGTTAAACTCTTACATTCATTGAAGATTTTCAATAAGGGTCATTGAAGATTCTCCCCCACCCCCGTTAAACTCTTACATTCATTGAAGATTTTCAATAAGGGTTTAATTCTCCCACCCCCGTTGAACTCTTCCATTCATTGAAGATCTTCAATAAGGGTTTAATTCCCCCACCCCCGTTAAACTCTTACATTCATTGAAGATTTTCAATAAGGGTTTAATTCTCCCACCCCCGTTAAACTCTTCCATTCATTGAAGATCTTCAATCATCATCATCATCATCGTCATCATCATCATCATCATGAAATTTGCCGGGAACGTCCCTGTAAACTTCCGGGCAACACAAGGGGCCTGGCCGTATATAAATATATGTATAATTAATTAGTATGTTATGTATATGCATATATATATATATATAACTAGCTACCCACCAATGTAAGCAGTGAGCCATGTTAAGGAAAACATGCCCCGGTATCTCCAATCAAGGAATGGTAAGGACTTGAGACAGTTTATAATTAAGTATCTGGGGGTCATTAGTTTTGGGACCCTGCTGTCCAGAAACCAGGGCTGGCATTGAGAACCTAGGCCATAGCCTCCCCTTTGTGAAAAGTCACATTGTGAAAATAGGACGCTGTGTAGATGCAACCATGTAGTCATGTTCCACAGGTCAAATCATCAACGAGTGGTGTGATGTTTGCCAGCAGATGGCCGGAATGGGCTTAAGAGGTCAAGCATGGGTTACAACAGGGGAATAATTCCTTTGCGGATACCGGAGTTATGTCATGCGAACGGCACAGCTTACGCATGCCATCCCTTCCAATGCATGTAATTTCCATTAATTTCCTATGTGATGGAAGTTAACCATTGGTCAGCCCCCTCGGCATCAGGTGAAAGTGCCGCAAAGAAGTGACTTGGTGAAGCAAATATTTTTTTTTACGCTAGCTTCAACACGTCTTGTAACCACATGAGATGCCAATATTGGTATCAGCACTTTGCCATGAAGTACAGATAAAACGTGCTTGTGATGAGCAATTTGGACATGGCTGGCTGTGTTCGAGTGTATACTTTGAACAGCTAGAATTGACCCACAGGGGTGAACTGTACCTTGCATGGTTTAGCATCGTCCATTCCACCAGCCCCCAAGAAATCTCACCACAAGGCCATGCATCGAAGCTGCCACGGACGCCGCCAGTACAGCGGCGGGCACGGACTGTGGGGGTGGCCTTCTGGGGGCCTACGAGAGCGACAGCTCGTGAAAGACGCGCAAAAAAAAGGTGCTTGGTAAGTGACAGGTCTTGGGGAATCGGTATGTGCCATGGTTGGTGAATGTTGGTGAACTATATACAGTAGTATTTACTACAATAACTCGGTCATTTGAGTGTGGTTCAAAAAAAAACATGTACTGTGTCATTTGAGTGTTAACCGTTACTGGTTCACACAAAACATGTTGGGGTGCACTTATCTTAGTTGGCATGGTGTCAGAATTCCTCACAGCTGGAGAGAAGCTATTAAGACAGGCCCATGGAATTATACCACCAGGGTGGGAAACCATTTTGCAACCGTGCCCAAAAAATCGGAATCGGAATCGACCCCGACATTGGGGGTTCAAACGTGATCATACACATGGTTTAAACATGTTTAAACATGGGCACTATATTCCAGAAACTAAGGCCCCCTTTCTACTTCGAAACCGTTTGCGAACTGTAGGAGCTTCTCCCCAATCCGTCATGCAAGCAGCAGATGGTGAGAATGCAGGTGGTTTTATAGATATATATGTCCATTCTGCTCCAGAAGGGTGTTAAGATCCAAATCAGAAGCGGAACTTTGACAAGGGCAAGGTGTTGTTTTCTAGAGAGGTGTAAGTCGTTTTTTGGACTGCATAGATTCAACAGGAATCAGGAATGATAGGATGTGCTAAGGCTAAGGACATTCATCTACATGATTTCTTTATCCCCAGGATCTCAAACCACAAGCCAAACCACCATGGCCACCTGGATAGCGAAGTCGGTTTATAAGTTATACAAATACACTGGGACCTTACAATGGCTGAACAAATGAATATATAATTATATATAATTATATATACATAATAATAATATCTATGGCTATAGATGGGGTTCAAAAACCAAATTATAATATCTCATAACTTGGGTTCCCCTTTCCTATACCCTCCGTGGTCATCAAGCATGTCGTGCTTGAAAAGCCTCGAAATGTTTGCATAATCTTCCTTCTCGTAGCTATGAGTAAGCCTTCATTTGCAGGGGATTTCCCATCCAGCATGTTTGATTACCGGAGGGTAACCATTGGTTCAAAAACAATATGTACTTAGCCGAGGGTCCCGGGATGTCCTGATGCTCCCAAACAAGGTACGGCTCCGTTGTGAGCAGGGGAGCCTAAAAATGCTGCAGCGAGCCAATAGGGTCAACCAGGAGGAACAAATGGCCGGTCTACTTGGGGGCAGCCCCAATAACTCAGCAGAGTCTGTTGATGTTTATTGATCCAGGGTTGACAATAATAATAAAGCGCCCATTGGAGAGTGCTATGGGGGTGTTGGTTTGTGTTTATATTCAAAATTAGGTCGGCAGATACCATTCATGCCTGGAGGCGGGCTTATTACTGGCTTCGCCACATTGCAAGTTGCGTGTGCTGCGTGTGATTCTGGAATAGTTCCAACACTTGCACTATGTTCACCTCTATAGCTTATTCTAATGATTTTTAAACTTGAAAAAAAAAGCAAAAAAAAGAAACACATGGAAAATCAAAAAAGCAAAACTTCAAAACTGAAAAAACACAGGAAGCAAAATAAATGGGAAAAAATGGAAAGTCAAAAAGGGAAAAAAGGGAAAAGCATGGTGGAAAGAAACAAAAGCAACAAAAAAGAAAAAAAAAGAAAGAACAAAAGGAAAAACAATGTAAAAACACTAGAAACACAACCTCTCTATGAGTTTTTCAAATTCAAAATTCATTCGAATAAGCAATTCAGGAGAACATAAGTATGGGTGGAATTTGATGCAATTCATGATTGTTGAGAATTGATTGTATGTGTTGTGTTTTGTTTTTTTCCTTTTGTTTTCTTCCTTTTTGTCGTTCCTTCCTTTTTGTCGTTCCTTCCTTTTTGTTTTTTACTTTTTTTGCATTTTTTCCTTTTTGTTTTTCCTTCCTTTTTTTGCTTTTTGTTTTGCTTTTTTTCCCCACCTGCCAGGTGAGGGTTGTTAGCTTTTATCAGAGCTGTTCTCCTCCTCCGCCTCCGCCTCCTCCTCCGCCTCCTCACCCGCCGCCTCCTCCTCGCAGTCCAGATCCCAGTGGGCACAGCCGGACCTCCACCGCGAGCTCCAGATCCAGTGGGCACTGCCGGACCTCCACCACGAGCTCCAGATCCCAGTGGGCACTGCCGGACCTCAACCGTGACTTCCAGGTCGCAGTGGGCACTGCCGGACCTCAACCGCGACTTCCAGATCGCAGTGGGCACTGCCGGACCTCAACCGCGACTTCCAGATCGCAGTGGGCACTGCCGGACCTCAACCGCGACTTCCAGATCGCAGTGGGCACTGCCGGACCTCAACGGGAAGAATGTGAGAAAAGATGTCAGATAAAATGTCAGAAGATATGCCAGATAGAATGCCAGAAAGAATGTGAGAAAGAATGTCAGAAGATATGCCAGACAGAATGTCAGAAGATATGCCAGAGAGAATGTCAGAAGATATGTCAGATAGAATGTCAGAATATGCCAGATAGAATGCCAGAAAAAATGTCAGAAGATATGCCAGATAGAATGCCAGAAAAAATGTCAGAAGATATGCCAGATAGAATGTCAGAAAGAATGTCAGAAGATATGCCAGAAAGAATGTCATAAGATATGCCAGAAAGAATGTCATAAGATATGCCACAAGATATGCCAGAAATAATATCAGAATATATGCCAGATAGAGTGCCAGAAAGAATGTCAGAAAGAATGTCAGAAGATATGCCAGATAGAATGTCAGAAGATGCTGCTCTTTGGTGTCCTTCGGCCAGGTTGCGTATTTATATATTTCTTTCCAGAGCTGTGGAGTATGTAGCTATATATGCCATGGTGGGGATCATTCGCAGTGAAGTATTTTTTTTTTTTCCTTTTTCCTTTTTTCCCCTATTATTTTGCTTTTGCGTTTTTTGGATTTTGCTGATTTGCTTTTTGGTTTTTCCTTTTTTAGCTTTTTTTCGCGTTTTTTTCAAGTTTTAAAAAAGTTAGGATAAGCTATGGTCTGGCTGACATAACACTTGCACAAAATTATCAAAATTGGTTTAGTATCCATTGGTAAGGGAGCGGTCAGAGAGCCAATCATGATGAACATTAATGGCTAAGTCAGCTAAAGAGCTGAGGTACCAAAATCAATGTGTAGGTTAACACTGATCATTCGCAAGATTGAATCTCAGAAATCAGTCATATTTTATTTAGTATTATTATACTTTATGTATTTTCAATGTGTGAAATTGTTGGAGTTAGACCACTTATTTTGGGTCACTTCATCTTTCTCGGGTATGGTGCAGCTCCAGGCGCCTGTGAGAAGGGACAGCAGTGGCAGATGACTTTAGCTTGTTTGAAAGACATGACCCTGGCAGCCACTTGGTATTGAGCGGCTTGGGGTTGCTGAATCATCATTTCTCGAGACCTTTATTGGGTTAAATATAATATATGTGCAGAATATATTATATATATATATTAGCATGGTGCTGTATCACGTTTTGAGGGGGTCTCTTTAGAGGCTTCATGTTAGCAACTATCCCCTTAACTATTCTCTTACTTTGGAGTAACTATCCACTTAACTATCCCCTTAAAAATTCTATTTTTGAAGTAACTATCCACTTAACTATCCCCTTAAAAATGCTGTCTTTGGAGTAAATATCCACTTAAGTATCCCCTTAAAAAGGCAAACTATCCACTTAACTATCCCCTTAAAAATTCTATTTTTGAAGTAACTATCCACTTAACTATCCCCTTACAAAGGCAAACTATCCACTTAACTATCCCCTTAAAAATTCTATTTTTGAAGTAACTATCCACTTAACTATCCCCTTAAAAATGCTGTCTTTGGAGTAAATATCCACTTAAGTATCCCCTTAAAAAGGCAAACTATCCACTTAACTATCCCCTTAAAAATTCTATTTTTGAAGTAACTATCCACTTAACTATCCCCTTACAAAGGCAAACTATCCACTTAACTATCCCCTTAAAAATTCTATTTTTGAAGTAACTATCCACTTAACTATCCCCTTAAAAATGCTGTCTTTGGAGTAAATATCCACTTAAGTATCCCCTTAAAAAGGCAAACTATCCACTTAACTATCCCCTTAAAAATTCTATTTTTGAAGTAACTATCCACTTAACTATCCCCTTAAAAAATGCTATCTTTGGAGTAAATATCCACTTAAGTATCCCCTTAAAAATGCAAACTATCCACTTAACTATTCCCTTAAAAATTTTATTTTTGGAGTAAGTATCCACTTAACTATCCCCTTAAAAATTCTATTTTTGGAGTAACTATCCACTTAACTATCCCCTTAAAAATGCAATATTCGGAGCAACTATCCCCTTAAGTATCCCTTTAAAAATGCTGTCTGTGGAGTAACTATCCACTCAACTAACAAAATAATAATAATATACTCAACTATCCACCTCAAAATGCAATCTTTGGAGTAATTAAACCCTCAACTATCCACTCAAAAGTGTCATCTTTGGAGTCAGCTATACCGGCTATACTGTACCCTTAAGTATCATCTTAAAAATTTTATCTTTGAGTATGTTGTTCCAGTAAAAAGTGCCGTTTTTGGAGTAATTGTCAGGTATCTTTGGGGAAGTTGTCCACTTAACTTTGGGGAGATTGACCTCTCAATTGGGGATATTGTCGACTAAACATGTGGGAAATTAACAACTTACGTTTGGGAAATTGATGCATACTATTTGACATTGACACCTGGTATTTGCATCTTTAGGGCATTTACCCAAATCATTGATTCGACATGGCATGATATAGATAACTATGACTATAACTAATAATAACTGTCACAATACACTAAGACTCTGACTATTGTTATTAAAACGGTAATACGATATTATTTTGGGGAGATTGGTGCCTTAGGTTTGGGGAAATTGATTCAGAACATGATTCAGAACACTCATAGACTCATAATCCATAATGACATAATTAAGATTACAGTTGGCCAAGATACAACGTATTAATTACCAGCAAGATTTGTAATGGTCAAGTGTTATTTGAGTTATTTGTTTTTTGTGGGCCTTTACATCCAAAGTGCAGCATCCAAACTTTACCATATCATCATATAAAAATATACCGTACCATATGGTTCGGAGTTCGGGGATGATCACCATATTTTACCTGAAAGCTTTGCGGTTTCCGAATGAATTCCGGAGGGGAGGCAGGACGCCCAATTAAACAACAACGCCATGAATTGTACCCATTCTCAAGTCACTCTGTGGTCAATTCAATTGTCTGGCGTTTCTGTTTATTTGGTGTGATTTGGGTTGATTCGAGAATCACTATTTTTTGGGGTTGTGAAACATCAGCATCATCATGGCCATGACGGTTCATTTTTTGGACCGATGATAAATCATGAGTCATATGAGTCATATGAATCATATATCATATGAATCATAATAAATAATAGTAATAAGTCATGTCCTCGGAGCGAACCATTGTTTATCGCATCTATCAATCTTTTTTGAACCCGAAACATATCACGTCATTTCATATGATTCAAATGATGATGACATAAAGTTTAGATCAACAGGTCTGATGTCCTGCGGGTCACCAACAGGATTGCTTGAATTGATGATGTATCATTTTTTGCTCGAAAGATGTTAGGAGATCTGATGACACTCAAGCTTGGCCATGGATGATGAACTTGATTTGATCGCACTCCTTGATTCACCACAGGAGGCTGAACATTCAGTTGATTTGCTCGCCTTGCTTGATTCATCAGAAGGGGCTGAAGGTTCTGTCGACCGTGTAGAGGGAGGCTCGGAGGGTTTACAGCCACCATCTACATCTACGTCTGCTGCATCTTCAGAAAATGTTTCCAATGTGAAAGTGAATGTTACTCTTCCCTCAATGAGGGGAAAAGTGGGCAACGGACGACATGGGGACGAGAAGGAACAAAACATTCTGGCGCTGCACATGCGGCACTGCAAGACATTACGTCGAGCAGCTGACTTCCGTCAAGGTGTCGCGGAGCTATTGGACGATGCCACGTTTCGCAAGAATGGCAAGATCATTGCAGTGCGTGCTGAGAAGACTTCATCTGGCGTGGTTATCAAACTTTCAGCAAGATCTCGGAAAGGCAATCGCTTCAAAAAAGTGATTCCCTGGGCAGAATTCTTGGAGGCATCATACGGGCGCTTTAGAAGAGACACCCACATATCTTTGTCCTTGGATGTGTCAAGATCCACTGCTCGATTCATGGGGATGTCTGTGGGTTCGATATATTTGGCGCAGCAGTGCTCTTTGATTGGCAAACTGATTTTGCTCGCGCAATCGAAGCCGCCAACGTTCCTCATCAGGCACCTTAAGTGGGATGAGACCGCAGTTTGGACATCAGTCAATGCGGATCAAGACACCAAACGTGTGGCATCTTCATGGGAAACTATGGTCGCTCGACAGCGCATTGTCTTGAGTTGGGAAGACGGCAGCACTTTGATTCTGAGATTGGTTATGCCGCCTGCGATTCTGTTAGCGGGTGGGGCACACCACATGTACTATTCTCTGCGGTATCATCCAATGTACAAGAGCGTTCAGTCCTTGCTGGATACCTTGGCTGGTTTGACTTTTCACAAACTCCAGATTCTTGAATCAGATGGTGCCTATGCGAATGAGAGGTTGGTGGCACATCTCATACAAAAAAACAAGACCTTGGAGCAAAGTTTGAGAATGTCAATTCTTCACGGGAAGTGCCAGAACCATCAAACGCAGCTCATAAATGTGGCACTTCTGTCAGCCGCTGGCCACAACATTTTATCAAGGCTTTATGGATTCTCGGTGTTCATCAGGAACTTGGGAAATTGGCTGAGACTAAAGCAGTCTCTTTACAATTGGGTCAATGAACATCTGGTGTTTGAGCAAGATCTCATGGACGGTGGTCCAGATTTTGTTGAACAGGGATCGCATCATCCTTCTGTTTTGGAGCTGGTTGACTTTTTACGCACCAACCGCAAGATTGAATCGGAGGATGGGCAGACGTCAGCAGCTTTTGAAAGAGCACTCGCAACTTTCTTGCAATTTTGGAACGGCAACACAAGTCTTGAGACGCCTTGCCACCGTTGCACACATGCAACATTTCCTGCTGGCCAGCGCCACTGCCAAGACCGACCTGACGCTGTGCGCAAATGCGCTGACGCCCTAGTGAACCTGTTTCTATCTTCAATGCCGGCTGTGCCAGCGCCGAACAAGTGGACGACACTTTATCCATGCCTGGATGCTTGACACGACTGACAGTAAGGTTCCCTCACAGTTTCTGATTTTATTTGGTGTGGTCTGTGAGTGGCAGTACGGTGTATATGACTTCATAAACATTGGGAAATCATATAGTATCATAATTTGTAAACACACTACCGGACCCATATCATATCATATCTTGTACACACCAGACCCTTACCCTATACTATATTATATTACTTTAAATCATTCACGATAGAATCAGATACACGCTTAAATAGATATTGATACTATATTATATAATAATATAAATATAATATATTATTATTATATTATAACTATTATTATAATTCATATTATTCATATTATATTCAATTCTATTATATGATATTATTCTATTCTATTCTATTATATAATATATGAGACATTTAATACAACACGCACATTTATTATATTAGTTTTATACTATTTATTTACTATAAAATTGAACATTACATAAACAAATAATAAATATCATTTTGAATGACATAAAATACCAAAACCATATGATAAGATAATATAATACAATATAAAACAGATTATTACAATATAAAAACTCCATTGTATGATTAAATGTTCAAAGCAACTGTATGATTATGTATACGATGATTATATGACAAATGAGCATAATATGATATATAAATAATATATATATATATAAATTAAATATATGATACAATTTATATTATATATAATGGTATATGATACATGATATATGATTTATGAATACAACATGAACATGATATGATATTGATATAAACATACTCTGAACATACTGTATACTTCTATAACATATTATTAAAAGTAATCATTATATAAATATAGAATACTAAAATAATAAATAAATAACATATTATATAATATGATTTTTATATTGCAATATTGAAAAATGACAAATATTTATTTATATCTATAATATCTACATTTGATATTTTTTTGATATTGTATTTTATTATTTTAAAGAACTATTACATTATGGTTTAATAGTTCTTTGAAATAATCAAATACAATATCTATATATAATAATAGTAAAGTAACATTAACATTTAAAAAATATAAAATAAAATAGTATGATATGATGTGATAATAAACAATAATATAATACAATATTCGAAAGAAACATAGTGTGATGTAATACTATAAAACATCGTATAATGTAACATAATTGGAATAATAAATAATATCATAATATAATATGAATTATTATATATTATATATATAAATATAGATATAATTTAATATTTAATATAATATAATATATATATATATATTATATATAATTTATAAATATATATAAATAAATAAATATAATCATACTATATATATATAATATATATATATAAATAATATATAATACATTATATTATTATATTATATAATACTGTATATTTATTTATATATAATATAATAATATATATTATAATGTGTATTATATATTAGATATACAAGATACTATCATAGCATGTAATTATCATTTGTAATAATATCATATCATAAATTATTATTTATATATATAATATATTTTCAATTGTTAAGTAAAATATATAATCATCATATATAAATAATCATATATAATATTTATATAACAAAATATCATATATTATATAATAATTATATAATGATATAATTTAATGTAATACCAAATATAATACCATAATGTAATATAACGTAATATAGTATAATATGATAACAAAATACAATAATATAATATTATATATTATTATATTATTATATTATATTATAAATTATATTATAAATTATAAATCATTACCCATTGGCACATATCTTCAGATGCTTTCCTGATATCCTCCCTATTTCCAGTTTTTGGCAGCCAAAATTTTGAAAGCCGAGGATTTTTGCTTGAGTGGAAGCCTTGTCCACAATTGGCTCTCGCGAGTCTTCAGTGAAGCCTACAAGCACATGGCATTCAAAGAATTCAACGAGGCAGATCGAACAACTGACCCGCGTCTTGTAGAGTCACTGGCGTTTCACGCGGTGAACGGAAGAAGATTGAAGAGCTCTGAAGAGTTTTTATCCAACAAGGATTCACAATGGATGGTGCAGCTCCTATCTGTGGCGATGGAAGCCACGCGATTTCTGATTTGGCATTGGTTATCATGCCTCGCTGTCAGTTTAAAGGCAGGCCATCGGCCAGCATTATTCAGACTTTTGGATCCAAGGACAAGCATTGTGGTTCAGGCACTTCAACACTACAGTGCTTTGATCATGTCTACAAGTGGGGGTGGACGTCTCAATTTGGTTTGGCCACGTACTGAATATGGTTGCTATGGTGATTTCTGCAAAGTGAATTTGAACAAGTGCCGTCTCATTCGTCGGATTTTACTGCTTGGTGCCGCATGGGTGTACCGGCGCCATTTTGTGTACCTCAATGATGATCAATTCTCTGTGACAGTTTGTGGCGATCGCGAGGCACACCAGGACACATTGCAAACATTTCTTGGATTCTGGCAACAGAAACACACATGTTGCTATCCGCCCGGGCTCTGTCGGGACCTGAAGGAGATGGGTTTATCGCCTGATGACTTGGTGTTCGGCAACTGCCAGAAGTTGCTATTCTTTGCAGCATCGACTCTACAACTCTCAATCGCAGATGTTGAGGCGCTCCATTCGCAAAACAGAGCTCTGCAAGGTAACAGCTTCTCCAGCATCTCCGCAAAATTTATTAACGCGGAGTCAGCTCGCATCCAGCAGGAAGCACGAAAACTTCAATTTGGAAATGAAGATGTTGCGGGGGATTCCAAAGATGTTGCGGGCCACAAGAACAGGGGCATCGGTGTATCATGGAGCAGCAAGCAAACCACTGCAAAGGGGCTTTCTGCACTAGAACTGTATCGCAAGCATTACCTTGAAATGCATTCCAAAGCTGAGAAAATCAACCCGTGTAGCAAAGACACTTGGAATGACGTGAGACAAGCGTGGGCTCAGCTAAGTCCACAGGAAAGATCACTGTACGAGAGGATGTCGCAGGACTCAAAACAAGATGCACTTTCCAAACGCATGTTGAAGAAACTTGAGAAGAAGAAGAGTGCTGGTGAGAATGCAATTTCAATTTCTGAAGATGTTCCTGCACAGCCAGCTGCGCTTGTCCCAGCGACAAAGAACAATTACGGGGTGCATTTGCAAATCCTTCCTGTGAAGGAACTTAGCGAGTTTTTGTCGACTGCTGGTGCTTCTGGTGCAGACTGTCGTGAAATTGTTGAGCAACATGTGCGCAAAACTGCGGGAAAGATATCGGAACATGATTTTCCCATCGGTGAGTCAACTCTAGATGAGGTGTGGAGGTCTCAAGTTGCATCGGGTTTGACTGGGAAAGCTGTAACAAAAACATTCCAGCGTCAAGCTGAGAGCATCTCCCGACCTCAAGATCAGACAGACACTTTCCCTCAAAGAGTTTTGCACGAGGGGCATTGTGGTGAGCAGTGTCGCCATTTTGGCGAACCAAAACGGATAGCTCTTCACTGCAACACTTTGGCACTCTTCAATTTCATTGTTCAGCAGAGACTCGACATTCATACGTTCTATTTTGTTCAGTTTCTTTTAACCTAACTTATAATGGGGAAATAGGCAAAGCATACAAAATAACATGTTGACTCTGTATCAACAACATGATGTACGGGCCCATTGGTGTGTATGAAAATGGTGATGAATAGCCAACGGTCAGTAATGCCAAATTACTATCCCATACTTTACTAATTACTATGAAATATAATATAATTATTATAATTATATAGATAGTAATTTGGCATTACTAACGGGAGGAGGTGGTGCACTGTACCTGAACTATTTGAATCAATCATCAAATGAATCGGGATGAATACCCCAATTATCACGGCCTTATATAAAGGCTATATGATATGATATAAATTATATGTACTGTAGGTTTACAGGCTTAAAGGCTTACAGGCTTGCAGGAAATGATACAATGTGATTTGATTGTAAAATGATGGCTATGAGTAAGTCATGATTCTTATTAGTAGTTGTTATGATTAGCTGTTATTGTTATTAATTATTATCATCATTGATCATTGATCAGCATTATATGATTTATTATTTTTTATATTATGAAATTATATTAATATATTAATAAAATAATCACTAAGAACATATTATAGTCATTATATATTATAGTCTATTATATTATGGCCTAAGTAGTTATATAATATAATATAATATATTTATATTTTTGGCTATAGACTGACCCTTCCAAGACGTTGGGTTCTCATTCACATACTGCTTCATATTCATATCTAAAGTTTTCCAATATGTTTCGATCGTTGTCAGGATGGGTGGCGTACAAGCCATGGTTGAGAAGGATGTCCTTTGTCGTTTTGAAGTGGTGGACACAGAGGGCGGTGTTTATCGCCAGTACGCGTTCATTTCTGGATGTTCAGCACGCTTAGGGACACATCAACCAGTTCAGGTTTTTGCATGCTTAGAACCAGTTGATTGGGACAATGATGTTTTCAACCATTCAGATTCCAGCTGTGCTGGCATGATTCTGGACCTTCAGACGCTGGCTTACATTGAGCCAGAGGGCTCTGACCATTTCCCCCGTCAGCCAGAACTTGCAGGCCGTTTGCGCATGTTCACATCCGACCAATTTGCTGCATTTCTTTTGGACTTGCCGGTGCTGGTAGATCCACGATTGGATGCCTCACAAGTGACAGCTCATCTGATGATTTACGAAGATGTTCTTCCACGCAGGGTCAAACTTCTTGGGACAGATGATACTATCACTGGTATGATTGCAACCCCTGTGTGCGCACCGGCTGTTGAGCGGCAGGATGTTCAACCGGACGCCGGTACTGGGATGGAAACTCAGACTAATGAGCCAGATCCTTTTGATTTGCTGGCTTTGCTGGAAGATGTGGGAGCATCATGTGAGCAACAGCCCAAGCGTAGAAAAGGGCAAAGCAGGGAGAAGCAGAACCGTGACCAGAACAGCTACAGTCATGGTGATGATTCACCGGGTCATGTCAAGCCAGTCGGAGATCCCATTTTGGACGATCCCTGTTTGAACGCATTTCTGACACCAGAAGCCATAGCCGCGCTGCGACATGCGCGTGGGCAGTGTGAGGTTAGCAAATCTACTGACGTGCAAGACTGGGTTCAGGCTGATATCTGTTCTGACGAGTCTGAGAGTGATCTTGAAGAAGTTGAAATTGTCGAGAATGATGGAGGCCAGGGTCATCAGCGTGGTGGTGGAGAAACGTCTGCATCATCAGCAAGTTGTTCAGAAGCTTTAGATTCTGGGCTTGTTGTTTTACAGGGTTGAGCTATATTGAGCTGCCATCAACTCATTTAAAAAATAGGGATGCACAGTAGATGCCGTGTTGTAACTGTTGTACCCCTTTGAGTATGTGGCAAACTTTTTTTATGTTTGGAATTTACTGACTCATGTGTTTTGGGAAAAATACTGCCAAACTAGCAAGTTTGTATCTGACGCCTCAACGTTTGGGGAAACCGTGTCGCCTCAATGGTTCGGGATCGTAGATCTTAGATGAGGTAAATTTATGATATGGTTCGGTTTGTTGACTGATATTATGAAGGGCTACACCATCTATGTAATTTATGAGTTATGAGTTATTTATTATTATTATATGTTCTTTTGGCCCTGCTACAGTTGTTGTATACTGAACTTATTTATATACGTTACATATTTATACTGACTTATATACCGATATACCGTATACCATATACCCGGTTACCTGATAATGTACTGTGCATTATGTTTGATTAAAATTATTACTACTAATGACTTGATGGTATCAATGTTATAAATTATGTTGATTTATTGATGATATATCATAATTATAAATTATAAATTATAATTATAAATTATAATTATAATAATCATATCGTATCGTCATATAGTCATATACCTAACTTGTACTGATGAGCTATGACTTAATCATCAGAATCATAGTCATAGTCATCCTGCTTTTCCTGATCATGTACATTGTTTGATTATGAAATTATGAATCATATGAAGGCCTAAGTTGTGTAACCCGTTGTCCCCCCTTCCAATTTGTTGCTGCAAGGACTGCCCAGCTTCAACTGCAACTGGCGCTGCATCTTCTGCGAATGTGGGCGTCTCACAAAAACCAGATGTCAAAAACACACATGTACAGATCCTGTGTGCTGACCCCGATGGGAAAGTTGTGGAGGTAAGCCATTTAGCGGCTTCTGGAACCATTGCCCATGTCAATTTGAAATGTCAATCCAAGTTGGATCGTTTGGGTGCTGTAACCCTTCTTGTGGATCAGAAGTCAGGGCAGAAGTCACTACGTGCCAGTTGTTCTGTCCACTCAAAATGCGTTTGCTGGATTTCAAATGCACGCGATGCTGACCTTTTGTTTGACTGGTTGGCCGAGGGTAGAAGAAATAGCAAAGACAACCATTTGAATTTAGCGATCGAATTAAAACGCAGTATCGGGATGAAAGTCAAAAAATGACACATCTCAAAACGAACCGTTCAGTGTTCGATGCATTTTGCATAGTTGCAAGATGTTGCAAGACATTACATGCAGGCCGGATTCATTGAAAGGGCTGCTTTTGGCAACATGCTGCCAGCCGTTGAACGACCGCAGGATTTTTTTTGAGGGGTGGGAAAGCAGATCTAATTAGATCAAATCTAATTTAGCTTTGAAAGATCTTTGGGCTATCCTATATGATGCCAATGGCAAGTTATGTTACAAAGTTATGGTGATGGTAGTTAACTACTGACTTATGGGACAAGCCAAAATGATAAGGTGCGATTAGGACACTTGCCAACTCTTAGCGACCACATCTTTTACTTCTAAACCATGTTCAGATTTAGATCAAATATATAATTATATTATATAATATTATTATATTATGTTATATTTATGATTTATGATTCTATGATTCATGATTCATATAATAAAATTTTGATATGATGATCAATGATAAATGTAGGGTACAACATCTTCTTTGCCAGAATGGCTCTTCATTGATCTCGTTTTACATTTTGTCAACAAAGATCTTCATGTTTTGGGACTAGCCCAAATTGATCCTTGAACAGATGGTCCAAAATTGGTCAAAAATTGACCTCAAAATTGGTCCAACAATTGACCTCAAAATTGGTCCAAAATTGACCCCCAAAGGGTCCAGTTAAGGGGATAGTTTTCGGCTTTTGGGGGTCGATTTTCGGCAAGTCCGGAGGTGATTTTTTTGGCATTTTGGAGACATGTTTTTGCCATATGGAGGGATGATTTTGCTTAAGGTTTTTGGGGTTGCAGATTGCAGAGACCAAAACGGCTCCCCATGATCTAGCATTTGCGCTCACAGGCCTTCAGTCTAGTCAGATTTGATTTGTGGTGTCATTTAGGTAGTTGAGCCATGTCGTCGTCTCCTTCACCTTCTACACCGGTCTCACAGGCTACCACTCGTGTTCTTTCTCCTACCCCAGCCCTTCGTCGTGGGCGTGCTTTCGTGGGGAGCCCTCCAGGATTGAATTCTCCAAAGACTCCTAAGACTCCTATGAAAGTGCAGAGCCCAAAGACTCCTGTGCTGCCTATGAAAGTGATGAGTCCGAAGACACCCAAATCACACAAGTCTGGCCGTGCAAGTTCGTCCTCATTTGTGACACCCATGAAGGCCACGCGCAAGACCATGCTGAAGCTCACCCCGCCCAAGTGCACCAAGGGTTCACAGGTAGTTATGAAGAAGCCTTCTGGCTGCCAGATGGTTCTGAAGAAGCCGGCCGCGGCCAAGATGTCCAACAAGGAGAAGAAGGCACGCTTTGAGAACGTGATGTGCAAGATTTCTTCCGATTGGGATGAGGTCAAGGCCCACAACAAGTCGTACCGATCCCCACCACCGTGCAAATGGTCAGTGTTTCTTGAACACGAAGTGTTTTTGTTTTTGGGGCAATGGCATGCTTCAGAATTTTGATTTCCTGCATTGTTGTTATTTTCGGTTACTGTAAGCGTATGACGTAGACGATGATGATGATCATCATGATGATGATGGTGGTGGTGGTGATGATGATGGTGGCCTATAGTCTATAGTCTATAGTCTGTAGCTTTGCAATGTAATCTTCAGGCTACAGCTCATAGCCCTTAAATTTATTTATATCTTTATGATGGCCCCAGGGTTTTTCTGCAGGTTCTGGAAGTCAGAGCTGGAAAACCGTGGATGGACATGCACTTTGAAATCGAAGCCACGTGACTGGCGCAAGTGGAACAAGACCTGTGCCGCAGCGGGGCCTGTCGGTTGCTACACGGACTCCGACAACGAGTGAGTAGTAGCCAGCATGGGAAAGGCATAGCCAAGCATGCCCACTGCTTTTTAATCATGTAGGTGTGCTGCATATGCCATGAATGTCTCAGTACCTCCCGTTGGTTGTTTTGTGTCCTCCCGATTGTTTTCCAGTGGTGGTGATGGCTGTGTGTGATTCGAGCACGGAATCGGTGAGCGTTGAGACATCTTTTGCATTTGAAAATTCAAAGGCCAAAGACAAGACAAGTCTGAGATAAGAGTTGGGTAGGTATTTTGGATATGGGACCGCTGAAATAGAACAGTTCACGTGAACCACAGTTCAATACAGATTTTGTTTGTCAATGTATTTAGAAGTAAGCGGTCTGCAGCTTCCCTGTGTGCCTACGCAGTGCCACGTTGCAAAGCTCAAGCATTTGCACACCGGCGCAGACAGCTGTGGTGATGATGAAACTGATGCATTCAGAACCGCCATTTTGGGAGATGGTGAGATCGACGATGGTGATGACTATTACTATTACTAATCTATACTATTTATATACTGATATTGTACTGACTAGTTAATCATATAGCTTATACTAACTTATTGACATTATTGATACTTATGATTCTGATGATGATTCATTTGAGACAGAGTTTTATTTGCAGTCAATTTGCCTATCTTTCTTGATGACTGAATGGTTGGCCAATGAAAAAGACAAGTGTTTGATTTGATGACCAATGATGATGATATTCAATGATTCATTGGTAACCGATGCGGATGGATCAATGGATGCTGCATGACTCAGAATGGATCGTTGCTGCCAGTTGTTGTCACTGTGTTTGTCAGTGGGATTCAGTGGGTAGTTATGCACATATCAGCGCTCAAAGTTTGAAGTCACAGCTTTCCAGATCTACATTCCAAGAATTTGTATGTTTGAAGCTGAAGTTGAATGAATGTCTATTCCACCCGTTGTTTTTTCCCAAGCATTTTGTGCCAACTCGTTAAGTGCGTGAGTGCCACCAGTTGCATTCTTTTCCAGCTCTTGCACTTTACCAGAATGGGCAAAGGCAAAGCCGTCGCCGATGCCGCTTGTAAGTTTTGCAAGTTGCGGTTCCACGTGGATACCAATCCCCTTGTGAAGAATCTGGATAAGAACGATACTTTGAAGCCTAGGTGTACCAATGCGAGAGATTGTCGTCCATGTGCAAACTTCATCAAGAATGAAGAGGAGTACGCAGACATGACGGCGTCGGCTTTGGAAAAGTACTTGCAGGACACCGCGAATCAGAAGGTGTATGATGAGAAATTCAAGGAGTGGTGTGCAACACGCCGTGAGGGGGGAAGGCGTGCTCGAAATCGAGGCGTGTGTTTACAAAACAGAAAGCTTTAATCTATTGGGACTGGGTTAGTATTGGGACTGGGTAAACTGTATATATTATATTATATTATATTATATATAAACTGTATATAAACTGTATACATGGTATACAGCGGTATACGGTAGTCTAGTCATAGTCTTAGTATAGGGCATAGGATAATAGTACAGTAATAGTCGTAACGTAACAGTCAATAGTAAAATAATAGCCAGAGTCATAGTCTATCATAGTCATAGTCTTTCAATATCTATTATATAATTATAAATTATATAATAATAATAATAATTTATTGATATAATTTAATATAATATATAATATAATAATTTATATGAGATAATTCTAAAATATAAATTTATAATTATATAATATAACATCAAGATATAACTAAGTTATATAATAATATATATAAATAAATAATATGCATGTAAACAATATAAAATAAAATGTATAATAATTTAAAAATAATTTTAATATCAAAGATACTATAAACTAGACTATATAAATATAAATTATCTAATATAATAATTTAATATATAATATAATATATAATTAAATTATATATTATATAATATAATAATATAATATATATAGTATATAAATATATAATATATAATATTTATATATATAATATAATAATAATATATATTTATAATATATATATATATATATATATATATTAATAATATGATAGAAATTTCAATTAATATTGTATATTTAAAACTTAAATTAATGATAAATGTAACATGTCGTGAGCTGGACCTCAACCTGGGACCGTCCGAACTCAGTGAGCACCGCTGGCCCTCAACGGCCAGATAGAATGCCAGAAGATATGCCAGATAGAACGCCAGATAGAATGTCAGAAAGAATGCCAGAAGATATGCCAGATAAAGTGCCAGAATGTCTGCCAGATAGAATGCCAGAAGATATGCCAGATAGAATGCCAGAAGGTATGCCAGATAAAGTGCCAGAAGATATGCCAGATAGAACACCAGAAGATTTGCCAGATAGAATGCCAGAAGATATGCCAGATAGAATGCCAGAAGATATGCCAGATAAATTGCCAGAAGATATGCCAGATAGAATGGCAGAAGATATGCCAGATAGAATGCCAGAAGATCTGCCAGATAGAATACCAGAAGATATGCCAGATAAATGCCAGAAGATATGCCAGCTAGAATGCCAGAATGTCAGATAGAATGCCAGAAGGTATGCCAGATAGAGTGTCAGAAGATATGCCAGAACATATGCCAGAAGATATGATATGCCAGGTAGAATGCCAGAAGATATGTCAGATAGAATGCCAGAAGATTTGCCAGTAACAAAACGTATATTTTGTCATGGTGGGGATAACTCGAAGTAAAGTAATTTTGTGTATTTTCCATGTCAAGGTCTGCGCTACGTCGCAACTATGTTTGACCACAGTCACTCTTGAGAGTTTCGTGGTTGTTCATGGTTAAAGATGCACTGCTGGTTCGGGGTTAAGTATAACGCTGTGCGGGGTTAAGAATGTGGAATTAGTACGGTGTTAGGCGCGTGTCCCATATTTAAAATTATGATAGACGACTATATTATATTTATATTTTATTTAATAAAAATAATATAATATTATTTAATATATTATATAATAAAATAATATATATTTATATAATAATATTATTATACAATTTTATTATTATATATTTATAAATTATATATATATTATATTTATATAATATAATAATATTATATATTATATAATATATATACATAAATATTTTAATAGATATTTGTATATTTAGAATATATAACATTATATTAAAATTATATATTATATTATATTATATATTTATATAATTCAATAAAATATACTATATATTATATATGTGGTTCACATGAGATATACGGTAGATTGTATTAGATGTTACAACATATAACTTATAAATATAGTTTCAGATAGTGTGCCCGACAGGTGATACCAACACGGTCGCAGAGCAGACGACCGGGTTCAACACGAAACAGGTCTTAGGCTACATGTGGCCCGTGGCTCTCTTAAAAAAACATGATCGTGAAGTTCCAAAAAAGCTTTCCACGATCCAACACCAGGGCCGTCCTGTGAAGGGAATTATCTTGGAAGAATGGGTGATAGGCTCCTCATATTCAGTTTAGCAACGTTTGTCAAATGATTGTTATGTTATGTTAATGTTTGTTTACCATCTTCAGTAGTTTCCTTCCTGTACCCTTTAGAGGTTTTTTGCCATCCACTAAGGTGCCATTGAAGTTTCATCGACTTCATCGAAAACGGCCAGGCAGATTTCCAAGGTTGCCGAGGGTGGCTCATCCGATGACGATGCCGCGGCAGATGCATTTGAGCAAGCTTCCAAAAAGCTTCGAGTCACTGCGTCGAGCAAGGACGACGAGATTGCTTTGAATCTTTGTCCCGGTGTGATTGATTAAATGTTGCCTTTTTGGGTTCAAACATCTTCTGAACTTACAGTCCGCACTGGTTTGGTAAAATATAAATATAATGAGCTAATGATCCTTGACATAATATGTTACATGTTATGATTACGATCAAGATAATGATCAGAATGTTATCATTGATATTGATGTTGATATGATTCAGATGATATATAATGTTTATATTATATAATATACTACTATAATTTAATATGTGGTATGATTCCTTATTCCATTTGACTTTGTTGTTTGACAAGCTAGACCACCCTCTCTGCTGAGGAAAATGTCAGCAAAGACAGGGTCTGAGGATGATGAGCTTATGTCGATGCTTTGGGGGGGAGACATCAGTTTCCTCGGTGGTGGTGGTGGTGGTTCTGATGATGAGACACAGGCCAAGAAGAAAGCCAAGGTTGGAGGCACTAGCGGCACTTCTCGTGCCCGCCGCGCAACAACAGTTGATTCGAAGTCCACCAATGCCAATGTTGCCAATGCCGCTGCCCCTTCTGGTGCTGCTTCTGACGCAGGAGGATCAGATGCAGCGTCAGGCACCGTCTTTGCTTTTCAGGTGGGTGGCCAATCCAAGAAGAATGCCGCTGCGGAGACTCGTGAGCTCGACAAGTCCGAGGGTTTGGTGCTCCAAGCGAACCAGTTGAAATTTCAAGTTGAAGATTCTCGGGGAGGAGTGATGCAGCTCTCACTTTCCAAAGTCACTTCATTACTTGAGAAGTTGGAGACGCGCTTGGGTGAATCCACTGCCCTCTTTGTTGACATGATCAGATGCCAAGGTCCAGGTTGCCGTGCAGAGACTGTCTGGCACCAACTCAAGGATTGCAAGACTCTGGTGCAAACAATCTCAGACTTCATTGAGGCGTTGCAAGACAAGGAAGCTGCGCCTTCAACCTTGAGTCTGAGGGCCACTGCTCTACGTGATCTCAAGGTGACTCTTCCTGCTCAAGTCAACAATGCAATTTGCCAAAGGACAGCTGTGGCAATGTGTGAGGACGACAAATTTCAGGAGGTCATGGATTTCCTCAACCCTGATTGCGAGGACAAGTACCCCGACGGCATCACTTGTGTGCTCCCGAAAGATTTGTCGGAGGATGCCCTACGACTCGTCGTGAGGGAATTTCAGGGAGGCTGCATCTCCCATGTGATCAACCAGTGTTTTCTCCGCGTCCCCACGCCTTCTGGGTGCCCTGTCAAAATTTTGTTGCCAGATTTTTAATGTACAAATGTATGAACTCATGACTAGCTCAAATGATAACTCTTACGGCTCACTACATACAGTACATGTCATCATGTTACTATACAGTATATCAATCAGTATATAAAATAATATAGTCTAGTATATGTGGACCCTGTGACCTGTGGAGCTTTAACTTCTTAACACACATGCTTCAGCATACGCAGCTGCAAGTTTTAATTTATCCCAGCCATGAATTGGGATATTTTGTAACTTGTGGATAGGTTTCAAGAATGCTTCCAATTTCCAAGCACTCCATTGGCATTTTCTAAGGTCTGATGCTGCTGGCAAGTCTGAGGCCATGCTACCAACCATGAAGAGGATTCTCGCTTTGTGTGATAGCTTTGTCGCTTCCAAGATCTACCACTCAGCTGCCCCAGAGAAGTCACCTTTGAGAGAAGATGTGGCAAGGCTTTTGACGCTCCTGCGGGTTGTTTGCTCAGAGACTGACGTTGTCGGTACAGAGTTGGAGGCAGCAGAAGCTGCAAGGTTGCAGTTGGTCAAGGGCAAAACAGCTTTCCAATCTGCCCTCACAATCTACCCAGCGGGTGTCTTCCTTGTTGAGACAATCTCCGGCTTGATCAACCAAAGCAGGAAAGACCAAGCGTTGCAGGCCGAGATTCAAGGTGTCTTTGAGTTTACCCAAGGCATGAAGCCTTTCTGTCGCGACACGATCGTGAGAGAGCGCGATGGAGAGTATGAAATTTCAGTGCCATTGCAAGCAAAAGTTGCTGACATGACTGCCAAGTTCTTCAGCTTCAAGGACAATGCCTCAGATCGTGCCAAAGATGCATCGTCCACCCACTTGGCTGCCATTGACCAGCATATCTCTCAACTTCATGGTGCTCTTCTTGAAGCTGCAACTTTGAGGTTTGAGAAGAAGTTTCCCAAGTTTGATGATTTCATGGAGGATTTGGCTACTGGAAAGCTTTCTGATTCCAAAACCACGGAGTGCCTTCAGATGCTTGCGGAGCTATCATCCTACCATGGCCTTCCCAAAGTACATTTGGGCAAGATGTTGGGGAAGGAGCTTGCATCTGACATTGCCGGCAAGCTTGGTGCTGTCAGTTCCATTTCCCGTCTTTTGCAAGGAGCACTTGCAAAGCTGTGTTCCCTCTCAGCCGGCTCTGCGACAGAAGAGCTTCTGTTTGAAGACAGGGTCACCGCTTTGTTCAAAGGACTCAAAGACCAGATTGTGATCAAGCAGGTGGAAGCAGTTGTGCCATCATGGGCTGTGAGCCTCTCCAAGGTGACTGCATTGATTGAGAAGTCAGTGGCCAGTTTCATGGAACAAGCCACCTCTACGTTCCACGGCTTCATGGTTCGGATTCTTGATGCAGAAGTCAACTTGGACACAGTCTTGCAAACTGCAATCGTGGGAGCTCTGGATCAGGACGACAAGGAGTGCAATCGTGGGGTAAGGTTTGGACTTTTGATTTCATTGGTGGCTGCTGGGAATTTGTTTTTGACAGAACCAAATCAAAGAATTCAGACTTGATCCATGACTCTTTCCCCCGTGATGATGCGAACAAATCTTCCTGACTTTAGCATTGACTTATGAAACTTATGAACCAATGACTACTATGACCATGACTATGACTATGACTATGGACTCTTAATACACAACTTTTGCTTACAAGACAGTTGTTTCTTTGCATCAAAATCTGTTGCATAATTATTTATCATTTGTCATTTAAATTTATTATGATGTACTATGTTATGACTTATGACTCAGACCGTTGATGATGTTTCTTATGACTCATGACTATGACTATGACATCATATCATCATATGAATCATAATCATAACATATCATATAGCATTTATAAAACTTATACAAATAAAGTATATCAGTATGTACTGTAAATTATATCATGTCATAGTATCATGCTATGTCATTTAAGATAAAATAATTTAATATAATAATATAATACAATTTATAATATAATAAGATATGATATAACATAATATAATAAAACAAAATATAATATATATTGATATAATAGAATATTATATCATATAATATATAATATATATATGATATAATATATAATAATATAATATATTAATATTATATAATTTTATATATATAATAATATATATTATATATATAACTAATGTATAATTATATAATATAAATATATAATAAAATAAAATAATATAATATAATATTATAATATAATTTAATATAATATAATATAATTTAATATAATAATATGATATAATATAATATAATATAATATAACTTAACTTTTATACATAAATTTATGCTACTGAGTCTATGACTTAACTTATGATGATGATATGATCGGATCGGGCTCGACACTGTCCCAGTCTGGCAGGACGGAAAAAGCGGATTGGACTATGCCAAGTTCTGTTTGACCTACACCTCATGCATGGGCGATGTGGTCACACTCCAGTCAGGCACCGAGACGAGCGTGAAGGTTCATGTCTCCTTCGTTTGCTTGTCTGGGGTCCTCTTGAACTTGTCGAAGTACATGGTCATGTTCAAAGAAAAGCTAGCAGAAGCTGAGGAGCTGCAGGCTTTCAGTGAGTTGGTAACCCGTGATTTTGAGGCAGCCAAAATGAAGCAACAGAGCAAGACCATCTACAAGATGCATGTTCTGTCTCACATGAGTGCCAATTTTGCAAGGTTTGCATCAGCTGCAAGTTCCTTTGCCAGCATGACCAGCAAAATGACCGAAACCGACAAGGAAATGATTTTCTTCAAGTTGCTCATGGATCGAATGAGTACCTTTGTGGCTCAGTTGCTGTCTCAATGCAACAATGAACTTGGTAATGCATGGGCTGCTTTGGATACATCCTTCCAGAAGATGATCTCTTTGCATTCTTTCCCCGACATGTTCAAGGGTGACCTTGACAGGGATCAGATTGCCAAGTTGGTGGCTGACCACAACACTGTGTTGCTCTTGCAGCTGGGATCCAAGAGTGCAGCGCTCTCTGAAGAGATCAAGACAGCTTTGGACGCCATTCGCATGTTGCCCAAAGACAGCGTTTTGAGCGCTTCGGTGATGACCATGGTTGTGGCTTCGCAGAGTGATTTGCATAACTTCTCAAGTAGCGCCCACCAGGGGCCACCCAAAAAGGGTGAAAGAATTGTGTTGGCAAATTTTACTTATTTCCAGGGCAGTATGACCCTGGGACAATGTTTAACGCGTGACCTGAAACCAGGTGAAACGCGCACCGGACTTGCAAAACGGTGCCTGGATCTTTTAAGTTCCAAAGGCATCAAGTGCGAGGACAATTTGAAGCGCCGAGTGGATTCACTGACGGCAGGGAAGTAACTTAGTACCTGCATGGTGATTTTGGTGAATCATTGCGTGCCGGATGAGGGTTTGGCCGGCGCGACTCAGTGACAGTGAAAGCATTGCAAGACGCAATGAATGAATGGCAGGCAATTGGCAATAGCCGATGGACCAAGGAAAGCAGATCAAACAAGTGAGCAAGAGAAAGAAAGATCATGCGATGCTTGCCACTTCTTGGCTTGAGTTTCCGTACTTTCAAAGCCTAGCCTATATGCTCTTGATCTATACTGCCCCCTATAAGTAGCCTATAGCCTTAATGTAAGGATGAAACAAGAGTATATAGTCTATGTTTTGACATAGTACGGGTCGGATTGACCGATCATTTTGGCACAGGTGATGAGATGGTCGGTGAGGGCTGCTTGCCTCCCCCAAATCAAGAAATAACTTAACTAGACTGGGCTCTACCATACATTCACCAAATTTGGGGATAAATGGCAGATCGTGTTGAAGATACTTTGTGGGCCGTTTGGTTCATTAACACCACAAAACAGGACAATCAAAGGTACAATTTGGAGATAGTACGGAAACTTTGAAGGGGATAGTTAAGGGGATAGTTAAGTGGATAGTTAAGCGGATATTAGGTATAATAATGGGATAGTTAAGGGGATAGTTAAGTGGATAGTTAAGTGGATAGTTAAGGGGATATTAGGTATAATAATGGGATAGTTAAGGGGATAGTTAAGTGGATAGTTAAGCGGATATTAGGTATAATAATGGGATAGTTAAGGGGATAGTTAAGTGGATAGTTAAGCGGATATTAGGTATAATAATGGGATAGTTAAGGGGATAGTTAAGTGGATAGTTAAGGGGATATTAGCGTATACTAATGGGATGTTAAGGGGATAGTTTAAGTGGATAGTTAAGGGGAATTAGGTATAAAAATGGGATAGTTAAGGGATAGTTAATGTGGATCGTTAAGGGGATATTAGGTTATAATAATGGGATAGTTAAGGGGATAGTTAAGTGGATAGTTAAGCGGATATTAGGTATAATAATGGGATAGTTAAGGGGATAGTTAAGTGGATAGTTAAGGGGATATTAGGTATAATAATGGGATAGTTAAGGGGATAGTTAAGTGGATAGTTAAGGGGATATTAGGTATAATAATGGGATAGTTAAGGGGATAGTTAAGTGGATAGTTAAGGGGATACTTAGGGATAATAAGGTCTAAAGAAAACGTGTTAGAGCGACATGCTAATATATATATATATATATATATACATAGATTACGTTATATTTTAATATCCTCCCATATTTCATGGTTGATTTTATAGGGGTAATGCACTCTTGCGGTATGTGAAAATAGTCTATTAGACTATGGAAAGCATAGTTTTGGTGTTTGATCCAGTTGTGGCCGCTAGGTTTGGGACCTCAGCCAGTAGCTATAAAGAGCAACAGGGATTTGAGGCTCCGAATGCCGCAAGTTCATGCCAGCAATATTATAGAATAACCAAATTCCTATGTACTTTTAGTTCTGTACAAGTGTATTGTTCTTTGACATACATAACACCAGCAGTAACTAATAATCATACTATATATATATAATCTATCTATATATGTATACATTTACATAAATACCAAACAATAATAGTTATCATCACCATGATAATAATAATCATCATCATCATCAGTTTCCGCCAAGGACCTGACACCCAATGTCATCGTCTTCAACAGTGCCATTAGCGCGCTGGAGAAGGGGAAGCAGGTGCCGCCCAGCCCTATGGAAACACGGCAAGGGCTTTTCCTTTAAATCTGGGTAAATGATGTCGAACAAGGGGCAATAGTGAATGATTGTAATTTACCCAGATAAATGGAGCTTTGAAAGTCAACATTCTATTTGGTTCACTGCTTTCATTTGGACTTTTTTAAATAAAAATTGCGTGTTTCAACTCATAGTTCAGATTGGTGATTTGGGGCAAGCCATGGCAAGCCCAATCCGAAGCAGCAGAGAACCACTTGTTGAACACGTGGAGGACGTTGCTGAATCCTGCAGGCCTCGCCATAGACAGCATTGACTCGAGGGGGGCATCGGAAAAATTGCCCATAATGACCGGTGACTATTGAAGAATTTGACGCGGATTATTTTCCAACTAGACATGCAGGGAGTTCCAGTTTGGCATAGAGTCTAGAGCCTACTGAACGGGACAGAACGATGTAAGACCGCAACTAGCTTTCACTATTTTTCACTGTCTTGCACCAGTGTCGAGAATCGTGGACAATGTAATTTCAATTCACGACTGGTTTCAGTTTCAATGGGCAGGGAAATGGTTTCTGAACGTGCAAGATTCAGATACATCTGTACAATCGTGCACGTTTTCCTGCACATATTGAGCAATAGATAGCCGCACAGGCATTTGTTTTGCAATAGAACACAGCTCATGTTGTTTGTTTTCAAAAAGCTGCATTTGGCACAATGGAAGAAGATGGCGATGGGGATGCTGCTAGCCGCTAGCCCTGTGATGGTGCTGTGGCAGCTCCGGCGGCACATTCACTCAGTGATGCTATCAGAGAGAGGCTCCGCTAGCTGCTGTTTCATCAGTTCCAGGTGGTTCCCCACAGTTCATGGCTGGTTTAGCCAACAATAGTGGGGATATAATTAATGGGATATATCAGCAGCAACTAGGTGGTGTCCCATAGTTAACCAACTTGGATTAGCACTAGATTAACTAGTTTTTTCGATGATTCTGACTGTAGTTAGTTGTGGTCATAACTCAACCTCTCCTCAATCCATTTTATGACTTGAGGGCACCATCTCGTTTGGGTCTTGGTTGAACCGGATGGACTTTGGACTTGCTTGAATGGTTGGCGAACAGGATGATGTTTTCGATTGTTTGGGCTAGTTTCCTGAGGATGTGTTGATATCTCACAGATAAGCCTGGCAAATCTTTTTGTCGATGGAGATATATCAAACCATAGGAATCTCTGAGAACTAGTTGTCCAAACTAGGCCGTGAATGGGCGGCTTCAGCAAAAGCTCCGGGTGGGGACACTATAGTCAATACTGACTCAATACTGGTTTTCACATGCTGGACATCCGATGGGCTGAACAGGACTAGATGCGCATCCAACCTGACACAGCCTGCTTGGGCCGCCAGCGGCCCAATGGTGGATGTGATGCTGCGACCAAGCACCGGGCAGAGATTCTCTACCACCTTTGACTCTCCTCGTTTGTTTTAGGCGCAAGTTGCGCCTTGTGGGGACCCAAAGCTGAGAGGTCCTGAAGGTTTCAGAATCGTCGAAGATGTCCACGGCCATGAGAACTAATTATAGACTATACTGAGTGATTTGCTGACAAAATATGTTTTGTGCTTTCAAAAAATGTTTATGTTCAACATGTGTTTATCATATTTGGGATGATGATTCCCAAACTCTTTCAGATGTGTTGAAATCACGCATCAGTACTGCAGTATACTCCTGAGATCCCTCAAGAAGTTTGCAAAGTTCGCGGATGCTGCGGCTTGTGACAACTGGAAGCCACTTTAAAGCCCCTACCAGCTGATTTATTGGGTTTAAGAAGTTTGAGGATGATCCCTCGAGGTCGTACATGCAACTCGAATGGGTAGTAAGTGACTTGGAAGATCTTTGACTTGACTGAACTTGACTGGCAGATTTCATGGGACTGCCCCGGTCAAGGACCTCAATGTGGCCCTGCGCAGCTGTGCTCGGTCGCGCAGCTGGAGGGTGGCCTTGGGACTGGCGCAGATGACACATGACCAGCTAGAGGCCTGGGCTATGCTAAGGCGAAGCTGTCGGTCTATGCATAGCAGGCATAGCATGGGGCTAAGATGGCTGGATTGATGGGCCATGATGGGCTTCCAGGCAGACCTCATCACCTTCAACACGCTGATCTCCGCAGCCACATGGCTGCGTCCTTTTTTGGTGTGTTGGTGCGAAAGCACCATTGGCGAGGAACGTGGTACCCAGTAAACATAGCTACCAGTACGGAAATCCAGGGCTTCCCCTAGGAAATGATTTACAAGACGTGGAATATTATCTATATCATTCTATATCTATATATAAATAAATAAATAAATAAACATATATATATATATCTATGATTCTATGTTCGTTTGCTGGAGGGTAGTTTGTGCGATAAAGATGAAGGCACTGGCACTCATCAAAATCATCAAAATGAGAACATATGACGATTTTGCCAGCAATCAATTTTTAGTTGGCCAAATGCTGGGATTGGAGGCTGATGCACAAACCAGTAATGGGTAGCCTGGTGAAGAATGGATCTTCTTTAGATTCTTTAGATATTTATTCAAGGTTTGAGGATGTTTGGGGTGCAGTCATTTCATTTGTTTTTCTAGCTCCACAGATTTGATTGAGAACGCCACAATCATGAAAACACCAAACACATAAGAAATGCTGGTTTCCTAAGTCATGGGGGTACCCCAAATCATCCAAGTCATGAATGACCATGACTTAGTATTGAAACTGGTGACTCGGGGATCCCCTATGATTCAAAAAACGCCCAATCCCATCCCAACGTATACCTTGTGATATACCTGGTGTTGGATACATCGGAAATACGTGGCTCGAGGTGTCAGACAGATGGCCGTTGGCTGTGCATATGCTGGAGTGGATGGAGATTTGCGGGTTGCGGCCGGATGACATCAGTGGCTGGTTGACCAAGGGACTTCTGGGACCTTGAAGGTTTTGGTGGGTTTTAGATCATGGAACTTGAAAGATGGGTGTATTTAAGATTTTGTTATGTTCTTGATTTGTATTTTTTGGTATCTTTCTTTCCTGGCATTTTTTTCCCCACATCTTTGTGTGGGGTTCTTGTTTTTGGTTGTGCACTTCCGCCTGGCCCCGCTCCCGCTCCCGCCCGCCGCCCGCCGCCTCCTCCTCACAGACAACTTGTCACCACAGAACTTGTCACCACACAACTTGTTCACACACAACTTATTTACTCACACACAACTTGTGTCCACACAACTTGTGTCCACACAACTTGTGTCCACACAACTTGTCCACACACACAACTTGCCCACACTTGCTCACACACAACTTGCTCCCCCCACAACTTGTCCACACACAACTTCTCACCACACAACTTGTCCACGCACAACTTCACCACACACAACTTGACCACACACAACTTGACCACACACAACTTGCTCACAGAACTTGTCACCACACAACTTGTCCACACACAACTTGCTCACACAACTTGTCACCATACAACTTACTCACACACAACTTGCCCACACTTGCTCACACACACAACTTGCTCCCCCCAGAACTTGTCACCACACAACTTGTCACCACACAACTTGTCACCACACAACTTGTTCACACACAACTTATTTACTCACACACAACTTGTGTCCACACAACTTGCTCCCCCCACAACTTGCCCACAAACAACTTGCTCACAAACAACTTCTCCACACACAACTTGTCCATACACAACTTGACCATGGACGTGCATTCTGCGTGGCAGGCTTGCCAATTGGCACTTATGGCACTGGGCTGGCTCTGGTGGCGCGCTTGGTTCCCAGTTGACGCCGTGGACGCCGCAGCTCTTCTCGTGGCAGGCGTGGCACTTGGCGACATGGACGTGCATTCTGCGTGGCAGGCGTGGCACTTATGGCACTGGGCTGGCTCTGGTGGCGCGTTTGGTTCCCAGTTGACTCCGTGGACGCTGCGGCTCTTCGCGTGGCAAGCGTGGCACTTGGCGACATGGACGTGCATTCTGCGTGGCAGGCGTGGCACTTGGCGACATGGACGTGCATTCTGCGTGGCAGGCGTGGCATTATGGCACTGGGCTGGCTCTGGTGGCGCGCTTGGTTCCCAGTTGACGCCGTGGACGCCGCGGCTCTTCGCGTGGCAGGCTTGGCACTTGTGGCACTGTGGACGCTGCGGGGCTATGTTGGCCCAGCTTGGGGCTATCTTGGCCCATCTTGGGGGCTATGTTGGCCCATCTTGGGGCTATGTTGACCCATCTTGAGGCCTATCTTCGCCCATGTTGAGCCATCTTGAGCCACAAGATCCGAAAAATGGGAAAAAAGGAGAACAGCAAAATACACTGTAAAACGCAGGATATTTTGGCAAGGACACGGCGAGGGGGGGGCCTGGCCGGATTTTGGCCCTACCGGGTGGTCGCCGGCAGGGGCGGCCGGCCAGGGGCCCAACTATGTTGGCCCAGCTTGTGGCTATATGTTGGCCTATGTTGGCCTCATGTTGATCCATATGGAGCCAAAAGATCCGAAAAATGGGAACAGGAAAAAAACGTTGTAAAACGCAGGATATTTTGATGGTCGGTGGCCTATCTTGGGGCTATGTTGGCCCATCTTGGGGCTATGTTGGCTTATCTTGAGGGCAATGTGGGCCCATCTTTGGGCTATGTTGGCCCATCTTGGGGCTATGTTGGCCCATCTTGGCGCTATCGTGGCCCATCTTGGGGGCTGCCCCATGTTGGGGCTATGTTGATCCATCTTGAGGCCTATGTTGGCCCATGTTGACCCATCTTGAGCCACAAAGGCCGAAAAATGGGAAAAAATGGGAAGAGCACGAAACACCGTAAAACGCGGGACTTTTTGGCGGCCGGGGGTGTCTGCGGCAAGGGGCGGCGGCCCCTCTTTCCTACGGAGAGGAGAGAAACGCCTTCGGCTATGCCACGGCCAGGGGGCCCCTGGCCGGATAAAGGGCTGCCGCCCCCTGCCGCCGACCCCTGGGCTACTGTACCCTTCGGCATTCCGAAGACCGTTCAGATTGTTGTTTCTTTGAAAACAGTTCATGATCCAAAATTTCCTGATTACTTGGAAGTTCAAATAAATGGTGATTTTCCATTAAAAAAAAAACATCCAAAGTTTCACAACATGGTCGGACAGTCCAGACGGCGAGAAATCTCCTCAGGCCATAGTGCGGTCGCAGCTTGCGAGCGCCAGCGTGCAGGCGGGCTGATCCGGCCAACTTGCTGATGTCGCCATGTGATTGCTAAGATTTCTAGTTACACTTGGATGTAATTATCATCATCCTGCATCTATATTCATATATATATATATATTTATTTATTTATTTATTTTTATTCATATTCATTTTCATATTCATATTCATATTCATATGCAGTACATATGTATGGTTGTATGTATACAGATCGTAACTGCATGATACATGCCAAATATATAACTGGCGCAATAAAACACCAGTGAGATCTTACAAAACATTGTGGGATGAGGGTCGTGGCCAAGAGAGAGGTGCCTGAGCTGAAGTGGCAAAGAAAAACATACAGATGTGATGTAGGGCTACACTTTGTTTGTGAGATTTTACTTTTGATCGCTGTTCTATAAATAATCCTTCCATCCATCCGTCCGTCCGTCCGTCCATCCATCCATCCATCGCCATCCATCCATCCATCGATCTGTCTGTCTGTTTGTCTGTCTGTCTGTCTGTCTTTAATTTTCACACACACACACACTTCCATTGCCATATGTACATTTATGTTTATATTAGTTGGGGTCCTACATTGTTGCTGTTCCCACTTATGTGAAATGCCTGACATGTCTCATGTTTTTGGACCGCCCTTGTAGGTGGATGGCGTTCCTCTGTCGCTCTGCTCAGTGGTGGGCTCCCAGCGGTGAATGCAGCACTGGTTGCACTTGCGACGGCTTGGCCCTGGGCTATCGCAGGGTTGGCAGGTGGGGACAAGTGGTGCTTGGGTTGGTCTTTCAATGGGCTCCGGTTGGATCATAGTAGATACACCAAGATACACCCAAATCTGGGTTCAAATGAGGAGAGATCCTTATTTGCTGCTGGTGATTTGTTTTTTTCCGGCTGGAATTGTTGAACCAAGGTTCGACAAGACCCCATTTAAATCCACTGAGCAACTATAGTCTACAAATGTTTGTTGCCAAACTGGACAAAAATTATGTCCCAAAAAAAGACAGCATTGTGTCCGTGGTGTGTCCTTTATAATCTGATAAGTTGGCCTGCAAACCCATGCAAACCCATATAGAATCATTTGGATATATCCACCGTGACAGCAACCCCAAACCAGATGCAAACACGTAAATTGACGTTTAATTAACTTTTTTGACTGGATTCTACCAGGTTCTATTTTTGATTGTCCGGAGTCCCAATCCATTTTTTACCTCTATCAATGCCCATTGTATCGTGGTTTAGTACCTCCCACATCCCAAGCAAAAACACAACACTGGTCAGAATGCCCGGTGTTGCTGACTCAATCTCACTTTCTGTTGATTTGATTTGGTTTCCCAATTCTTAAAGTGTCACTCCAAAGGTACATGATAGCCACAAAGGTGGCAAATTGAACATGTTGGCCTGGATTTTGACATTCTCCGATTTACCATGCTTGTATTTTGGCTGTTCTCGGAGGCTGTTTCGAAATTTCGGAGATCAACCCCGTTGATTTTGGTTTTCCCATGGTGGTTTCCATGGGAGAAACCCATGGCCCCAAGGGTCGGTAGGTCTCTTCAGCCGCGGCGCCGTACCCGATGTGATCAGCTACAGCAGCTCGCTGGGCGACCGCTGGCGCAGAGCCTTGAGCTTGGCCAAGGACATGGCAACGTCACCTGGCGACCGGAGCAAAGGTGGTGAGTTTACCGGGAAAATGGTGATTTAAGAACGAACAATTGACATTTTAGTAGATTTGTTTTTTGAATGGAGTTGATGAACTAAGAATGTTTGCGAAATTGGTTCATGACAAAGATAACTGTTGTATGGGGGCCCGTGGGGGTTACCAAGTTACAGCTCGGGGACACTTTTGGTGAACGACCATTTTTTGATGAACGACCTTTTTTTGATGAACGACCATCGATTGGTGTGGGCTAAGGTGAGAACGTGAGACCCTGTTCGGACACTGTTCGAACATCCCCCTTGGAATTTCCACTGAAGAATGGGACAACCCGGGTTGTCGCATTTTTTTTTTGCTAAAACAGGTGGTTTTTCCACATGGCTAACCCGGACTCCCCATTTTTTGCAAAGGCTTTCTGGGTCAGGATTTTTTAGAGAGGGCATTTTGAGAGGGAATAGACAAACTGATTGAATTTTTGGGCACATGTGGTATTTTTATACATGTTGACATCCACATGGCTAACATGGACTCCCTACTTTTTAGAGTTCTGCATTTGTATTTGTAGTTGTTTTTGAAATTTTGTATTTTTTTGTAGTTGGTTGCCTGGGCCATGATTTTTTAGATGGTCTTAGACCCCCTTGCACCCTGGGTAGGCATTCTTTAGATGTGCCATTTCAGTAGTGCAAGGTGGGCCACCGTTTTTTGTCTAAAGAATGCCGGAGTCCATGTTAGCAGGGGAATTCCAACAGTGATGTTCGAACATGTTTTTTTTCCGAACCAAGCCAGTCCAAACGTCAAATTAAAAAGTGGTTGTTTGCTTGCGAAAAAGTGGATGTTGCTTGTATAAAAGTGCATGTTGCTGGTATAAAAGTTGATGTTTCAAAAACACAAAGTTCTCGAACAATGGAGCACACACCTTTTCGAACACGCACACACCTTTTCGAACACGTGCTATTTCAGCATGAATTGCGACTGTTCGAAACGATTTCGAACAGTATTATATCAGAAGAGTTTGAACGGCAACTTTTTTCTTGAAACGATCACATCTGACTTAAAACCTGGCATTCGATCCGTTTAAAGTGAATGTTTCAGGTTCCAATTATGAGAAAGAGATGGCGCTGCAGAGAGAGAGAGAGAGAACACATTATATATACATATACATTATATGATTATATAATATCATATGATATTATATACATGTCTCTTGCTTGACGCGGAAAACTAAGTAGCCAGCTAAGCTAAATTAGTTTGTTTGTTTGCCGGGTATCCAAGATTGGCAATGATCAATGATGGTTTGGATCTGGGGAATTCGCTCCAGATGGCCGATCGACTGGTCTTGGGATGTTTCGATCGAGCAACAACATGTGGGATACCAAGCACTGAAGTTGGAATGAAAGGTACGCAACAGTTTAATTTAGATTGCTGTTGTGGTGGTGGTGGTGGTGGTGCTCGTCGTTGTCGTGGTGGTTGTTTTTGTCGTCGTCGTTGTTCCATTGAAACCATGTTTCTCTTTCAAGAAACTTACGAATGTATTTCTGGAAAACGGGAACCCTGACAATTCAACTGGACATGTTTTTCCTACACGACCACACCACCTAAATGTAGGTATGATAGATATGATATATCAGAGGATGGTGTGGACATGTGTGGAAGCGAAACGTGTCTTTTCCACGTTCTGTTTCAGAGCTTCCCGGCTTCCCTCTGTTTTTTTGACCTAGGCAGAGTTTGAAGGCAAATCTCATCGTGCAAAATGCCATTGGCAAGAGTTGCTTGGAGCATCGAGGCATGGAGATTGACAAATATGATCTGATAAGGATAAGGCATTTGAAATACATTGAACTTTAGTAACTTTAGTATATCTATATGTATATATATATATGTAGCATGTGATATGTGTTCATGTATTTGCACTAATTGAGTTTGCAATTTCTATTTGGTATGTGCACATTTGGTCCAGGTGTATTTTTGGGGCCGAGCCAGCTCCCTGCTTGGAAGCCAACTGGTGTGCCAACTGCTGTGCCAATTCGTTGATCAACCTTGGAATAGTTGATTAGAGTTAGAGGGTTGTGGAAATCTTAAACCACACATGGATTACGATCGCATCTATAAGTTTCAATTAAACATTTATAAATTTTCAGAACGGTTCTGGCAGGTAGTGACTTTACCCCAAAACATGTTTCTGCAAAGGTATTTTAGGTACAAGATTAGCCCATGAAACTGCTCAGGTTTTGCGGGTGCTTCTGCATGGTCGATGGCCGTGGTGAACCACGACGCTTGGCTGATGGGTGACATCCACGACGTGTTGAAGTGTTACCCCGTGGCTGCTCACAATTTGGTGGTTTTCTGAAGCTTCACTGAAGCGCAGACAACTAACACAGCTATTTGACTGTATATGCATATATATATATTATCAATATGTATGTACATATACTTAACATATGCTTGTATATTTTATACATTTGTTACGTGTGTGTATGTACATGTGTAATTATCTATCTATCTATCTATCTATCTATCTATCTATCTATCTATCTATCTTTATGTACATTTGTACATGTATATATATATATATATGTATACACTTCTGTTTTGTAATTTCATCACAGACATGCATTTGTTCTCTCAGTCTATTTATGTATGTACACTTCTTCTTGCAGGAGTCTGAGGTTACTAATGATTATACAATGTTGAATTCATGTTGTCAACCTGGGCGTTAATAGAGATCATTTGAACTATGAACAATGGTTCTTTGTTGCGCTGGGGGGTGCATCCCATTTAGTAAATGGCTTATACCTCCAGTATCCTCCATATGGAATATCCTCACTTATATAGGTATATGGCTTATATACGGGTTATTCACCACTTAGTGGGATGCACATGTAAGTATTGTTGCAGCCTCACCAGGAAAGCCTGAGACATCGCGACCTCCAGGCGCTCTCAGGGACCAGGATGGGGTAGTTGGCGGTGAAGGTCCATGCCGCAAGCTGTGGCTGGGGGTTGCTTACGGGTCACACCCAGTCAGGCATAACACACAGCGTATATATAATATTTGATGTATAATTAGCACATGTTACATATATATATATATGTACATGTTACACTATGATATACTTATATCACACGCACACTTTTTTTGTATACAGATACATGTGTACGCACTCTACATGCAAAATATATAAAATGTGTGTGTGTGTGTTTGCGTGTTTGTATGTGTATATATATATATGTATATGTATGTAGATGTCGTAAAGTTGCCTTGATGCTGTACAGCTTGGAGTTTTTGTTGTTGTTTGGCAAAATTGCTTAGGTACCAGGAAAGGTTAACATGCCATGGAGCATATGTGAGGGATAGCACCCAAGGGATCCAAAAGGGGGTTCACAATCTGTGCTCAACATGTTTAATGAAAATTCCTTTTGCGGCAACATATTATTGCCAGTTTGGAGCAAACGGGATGTCAGGAGTGCGTTTTGTTCATTGGTTTTTCCAGAGTATCAGGAGGAAATGACATGTAATCCCACCGGCAAACAGGAGATCATTCATGCGCCGTGACATATACATACATATTTAATGTATTATATGTTAATACATAAACATACCGCATATAATCATCATTGAAAATTAAGTCCATTCAACTCCCTGAGGCCGTGGGCCGTCAGACGTGTCTATGAGGATGTCCTTGCGCCGGTGCGTTTGCAGATCAAGCTATGTTTTGTGATTTGCGCATTGCCCACCCCAGTCGCAGTGGTAGCTATGCCGCGGCAGAAGGGCACGGTCCTTCCCAGTGGAAATGATGCAGTGGACACGAAGCGATGCGCTTGCATCAATAAGATACTGGCATTTGACAACACCATTGACTACCAGAATGATTTTTCCTTTATGTTCGAACCTGGAGTGGGCAGCCGGCCAAATCGTTTGATCAAGCACCTTATCAGTTTGGATTGCTTGGACAATTTGGACCGCATTCATAGTATCTCAGCTGCTTTTGTTTCCTTCATGGACGCGGTACAAAATCCAATGCCTGAGATCAGAAGCTTGAAGACTGGAAAGGTGGATACCCAAACCCAACACAGTCCATTTCTGTTCATTGGGATGTTTTATTTAGGCTGTGTTGCATTACTTTGGGTTTGACCAAGACCCTCCAAAACCGTCCAAGACACATACATACATATTTAATACATACATATTACTACATATATATATATATATATTATATATATATTGTTTGGATTTTGAACCAATGTTTATCGATTTCTTTGCCCCAAGAGCTGATGATGATTGATGTCACAATGGGAACATGTGTTCTTCCCGGGGTATGGTATGCCAGCATAAGGAACTTCGATGTATGTGACAGTAGCTCTTGGGTCCAAATTCTGATGTGTTTGTATGCTGTTGCACAAACTGGTTTCGGACAACACTGAACAGACTGAAACGGAAACCTTCATATTTGCCCGGTAACACCATGGTTTCCGGACTTTATTTTCAACCAATCCAAGTCATTTTTTGCCGACATCGAAGCAATGATGAATGGCCAACTGGTCCTGAGGCTTGGTGGTCTGGAAGCCTGCAGCCCAAACCACCAGTTAAGCATTGGCTCAAGATTCGCACCAAGCGTTTTTCTTTGTATCCTGCTTAGTGCGTTATTGCGTATTGAATATTGCTCAGCAGTGTTGCATCCTTGTCTTCCCAAGGGGGCACTATAGGCTCATTCATTGGATGTTTTCCTTCGACGCCAGTCCTTTTTGTGGATGTCTTGAAGGTTTAGGCTTCTCCACCCCTTGACCGTTTGCAAGGCATTTTGTTCCCAGATTCACGTCCAGTCACCCGCGAAAGATCAAGATCGCCAAAGCCCAAGAAGTATACCATGTACCACGGCACATCGAGGGAAGCCGCAAGAGAGATCGAGGCAAACGGCTTTCAACCTTCAGGTCACGGCATGCTCGGGAGTGGAGTTTATGCTTCAAGAGCCTTCCCATCCGCTGCACTGAGATGAATCCAGAAGTTAGCAAAGGGCTGTCAAGTGGGGGAAACCATTCACTCCCTTTCTATAAGTGGTGATGTTACTTACTTACCAAGACTTTTGCTAACTTCTGGGATGCTCCCAGTGAAGCTGAAAAGCTTTGTTCTTTTTTTTATGTTTGTTCATTTGTTCATGCCTAAGTCACTAGGGGCAGAATCAGATTCTGCTCAAAGCAGGAGATGTCCAGAAAGCCATGGCTTACGGCCCGGTGGTTTTTGAGGTCTCTGTTGATGTGGGCCGCGTGAAACGAATTGACCGACAAGGTCATCCCTTGCAAAAAGCCTGGAGCTTGCATGGCTATGATACGGCATGGGTCCCACCTCATTGTGGAATGGTTCCCTCAGGAAGGGAGGAGGATTGTGTCTTTGATCCCGAGCGGGTCACAGTGGTTCGCCGAGTGCGTGGGTGAGCCAAGCTGCAGTGGATTGCTGAGACCGTCAGCTGCCCATGTGCATCATGTGTGGAGCGGCGCAATAATTGGAAACCCTAAACGGTTGAATATGTGGATTTCATGTATTGTATGATATCACCAGTTCATGATCAACATGGACATTTGAAATAGAAGTGGACCTGAATCAATGTGATTTTTAGTAGTGGTGCAGCAAGCCCTGTTGCCTTCTCTATACCAATCGCCGAATTTGCTACTCAACAACATAAATAAACAATCGCAGGCCAACCAAGGAGTATCATGCCATTTCTGGCCGCTGCGCACTGGGCGGGGCGGCTGTCTATATTAAAAAGACGGTGCAATTGTGATACCAAACGCGGGCATTGACAGAAATGGCTCGCAAGTCTTCAGCCGCAGGAAAAAGAGACTACTGTATGCTGCAGTAAACCAGTTTGGAAAACCTAAAATTTGTAAATAGCTTTTCCTAGCGAATGAATTGGTTTTCTTCTTTGTTAGTTGGTGCAAGGTACAGTACCATCCAATCATCCAGGACCCAGCAGCAACCAAGTAGCTTTGAATAGGTGATGTGGAGGCGTGGAAGATCCATCCATTTTGGCCCAGGATTCTCGCGTTAGGGTCAAATTTGCTCCACAATGCCTGAACCCCAAGAATGAAAGAGCTAAAACATGTTGAAAGTTAAGAAAATGCAACGTTGTTCAACTTCAGACGCCCGGATGTGATAGTGCATGTGTTCATTGTTTATGTGATTTATATCTTGAAAGTACAAGCCCTGCAGGCGGACGCTTACAGCTTCAGCAGCCTGGTCACGGCCTGTCGGGATGTGTGGCTTCAGGCAGTGGCGATGCTTGGGACATGCTTAAGATTGGGTAGTTTTTGGCCGCTTAGGATTTCTAAGGTTGGTTTTTGTTTGGTTGAGGTATACAAACTTGGAAACTGACCTGACTCTGAAAGATTCTAATTAATTTTATGTGATTTAGTCAATATTTGTCATGGATTCGTAGTTGATCGTTTTTGTTACACTTGCACCTTGAAAAATGTGATTTGCATTGGATTGGTGGATTTGACCCGATCGCAACCTTTAAACAAATTCAAAGGGATAGAAAAGTAAATTCCGACTAAAACTAAACTACAATATAGTATGTTCCAGGTATGAAATTCAAATAATTCAACTTATGTTTGATTCAAATTGAAACGCGGCACCATGGTCGCAAGTGCTAATTTTCCAAGATGGGATCTACCATGACCCCTTGGCACATGTTGCGGTGAGAGTATTTGAGGAACCTGCCGCCAGTCATTGCCTTGCAGAAGAAGAGGAACTGTTGGTGATGGCAAAATTGGGGTTCTGTGATTGCTTATGATGGAGCGGGCTCAATCATTTCCTTGGTGCTTTGAAACATGGCTGTGGTTCAAAAGCCATGGGAAATCCCCGTTGAAGGCTAACTTAGATAGCACAGCTGGATGTTAATCCTTTCAAAATTATGGACCCTAGTTTCATGTTTTGACACAGAATTTGTAGATAATGGCCGGAAGTTTTTTTTTGGACAGTTCGGATCACAGGAGCAGTGTCGTCTGCAACGCCCTGCTCGCTGCGTGCAGCGAGTTTTGGCAGCTTCTTGCCAGGGCAAGTGGAACCCCAAAAAGCAGGGTCCGAGGGCCGAGGGGTCTGAAAATCATTTTCTTATTGACTTTGGTTGATTTGGGGTTCCAAGTTAAATTTGTGTTGTGCCAAGTTTAGTAGAGATTGCATTATTATCATTGTTTGATTAGTGGTTTCAAACGGTTTCTTATTTCAACATATTTCAACCACATTTGGGATGACAGTGGGAACGACTAGAGAAATATGTTTCGCTTGGCTGAGGCCACCAACCAGGCATTCGACACCACAATTGATTTAGGCCCGATTGCATATAGTTAAAGCATTGGTTGGTGCATGATATAGGCGCCTTTACATGTTCCATCATTACCAAACATATCCTAGGTGCCTTTAGTGTATACAGGCGTGTAGTCATGCATAACATACGGTACTATAATATGTTGTATTGTGTTGCATGTTTGATAATTTCCCTTAACACACATGTTGTAAATGCACACCGCATTCTCAGAATCGTGTCAGTTGATATTTTCCTCACCAGATTTGGATGACATGGCTGGGCCCTTCATCACCTTTCGCCCAAGTCTGACTCGCGTGCCCAGGAGTGCTATGTCCTTAATGTTGTCAATGGCGACGTCAGCCTTTCAGCTGTCTCAAATCACCTATGGAAGCTGCATCGCTGCCGTGGGGAATGAAGTTGGTGGTTGGATGTTGGCTTCCAAGCTGCAATTCCAGTCATGTTTTGAGGGGCAGGGTGGGCTTGGTGAGGGGTGGCTTTGGCTCTGGGTGTTGACAGGTTTGGTCTTTTTGGCCTTGTTTGAGTTTTCTCTACATTAATTTGAGTGTTCTGTTTTTGTGCCTCAGTCGTAGGTTGGACAATCCTGACCAATTTTCGGGTGGTTTCCACCACAGTGCTAATTATTGTAGTTCTTGCTAGCCTGAGGCTTTCAATATGTTTTCCAAGATGGTCAGTGTGCGGCTTCAAACGAACCTCATTGTCTACAACAGCCTTTTGCCACTTGACATTGCGAGTGGGCTCACTAGGGAAAACGTGACAAAGCTCCTGTTGATTAGTTCCAACCCCTTCCAGCTCCCATGCACAAGCTCTTGGTGTGCTCAGAACTAAGGTTTGCATGGGGCTTGGATTGATTGGCATCCACTCATAGAGAAATTCCCTTTCAGAAAAAAGGTTCAGAGCTCTAAATCTTGGCTTTGGATATCTTGGGGCATGATGGAGCAAGATTAGATCGTTTAATATCAAAATTGTGGCATTAATGTTAGGTTTCTGATGTCTCCGCATCTTCTGGGGAATTGAATCAAAACTATTGAGTCTTTACTCGCTCTACTCACTCAGTTGCCAAAACTATTGAGTCTTCAGCTGCCAGGAGTGCATGCGCTCAAAGTAGCCAGTGGCAACTTGCTGCCTACTTGCTCATGACCATGCAGAAACCAGACGTCGCATCTTGGACACACCTGTTGGAGGCCTCGAATGGACCGAGTCGACCATGACTGGAGCACATTGAGCAAACTGAGCAAACAATGAACCATTCTGATTGGTGATGGTTTCAAATGGATATCTCCAGTTTTTCCACGGTTGTTCATGAAACATGAGGGCTCATTATGACCGCATAGCCATGTTGCTGAGGTGAGCTTCAACAGCGCCATTACTGCCTGCCGGCAAGGCGGCCCGGTGATGGCAAGGAGCTTGCTACAGAGGATGCGCGAGGTCAGGGATGAGTCTGGGATAGGCTGGGTATCGCACTATCCGGCCACATCTGGCTTGCTGCATGGGGTACAGTTGACGTCAAGGTAGGGAACCAACAAGCTCTAAGATATATGGAGCCAAGGCTCGAGACACCTATACACATGACATGGCATTTGGTCATTCTGAGCCCTAAGCCATTTTTATGGATGGTATCCGAATATGACCCATATGCACATCAAATCAATGTTACACAATGTTATTCGACTTGAAGGGGAACAACTGCTTGAAGTACAAAACTAAAAAATGCGGACATGCTTTGCCGAAGCCAAGGGTCTATAATGTGCTTCTTTTTCAAATGATCATTTGGTGGGGAACTTTTTTTATTACGTAGAACCACACATCACATCCTGTATATCCCAGTATATCCCTACTATCGCCCGTGTTATGTACCCATTATTTTCATGTATATATATATATATATGCCCTTATATTCACGTAAACAAAGAAATAGATAGATAGATAGATCGATCGATAGGTAGATAGATAGATAAACTGTATATATATATATATACATAATTTATCTTAGTTAATCGCCATTCAATCATCATGTTTGTTGGTTAATCAGTTAATCACCCTGAAATCACTTTTTTGTTGGTTAATATCATATCCCTGTAAACATATTGCCAATCTGTTCTTGACACCTTTCCAGGTAGCAATCGAGGCAACATTGGTGACCTGGAATAGTTTCTGGGACTGTCGCTGACAGAGGAATGCTTGGGGTGGCTTCCCTGAAATATTGGGGTTGGAATAGTTCCCCTCAGGGAGTTTCACAGTTCGACCTTGAAAATGGCCAATTGTTAGTGGAAACTAATCTTCCAAATCCTTTCTGGGAGGGTCTATATTAATTTACCGGAGGGTATATATATATATATATGTATAATCAACAAAAGTATATTGTTAATGGGGCCATGGAAGTTATTTTAAAGTGCATATTTATACATATATATATTATATTTAGTTATTGATTATATATATATGATAATCATACATCTTACTTCCAAAACAATAGTAGAAATGATATAGGTCATCACAAGTACATCGCAGATATTTTTATAGACATTGGCTGTCCAATCTTGTTTCTCGGCACTTATGCGTTGCGTAATCTTACACTCGTGGGAACTGAGCAAGACATTTTTCCCCATGTGATTCTTCCAGTTGAACCATCAGGACAGAAACCTAAGACTGGCCCAGGTTGCATTTGTTCTTGCTCCGATGGTCATTGGCACCTTGGCACTTTCCGTATCATCTTGCTTCATGTGTTTTTGAAATATGATTACTGTAGTGATCTTGTGACACATCGGAGGCAGCTGGCATTGCACCTGCTCCACTGCTGCATGCGCCATCTCCAGCCAGATGGTGTAACATGCAGCGCAGCCATGAATGCATGCGAACGAGGAGTGGCAATGCTTGGTATAGGTGTTTGTGGATTTCTCGGGTTTGTGAGAGCGTGGCCGGGACTAAGCTGTTGTTTTGCAGACGAGTCCATGAAAATTATGAAGATATGCTTTACGCTTTCGCCCTGCAAAGTGAATGACTTTCACTTGGGATGAACCAGGGCGGCACCCACCGGTCAGGAAGTCAATGGCAAGCAGCACTGGAGATCTACACTTTGTCACGGGGAGATGCCATTGGGATGACAGAGAGCAATTGGGAAAGGGTAAATCCCAGCGTAGCAGCCTCCAATCATCAATATTGCCTTGGAAATTCCCAAGTTTCATTACCAGATGAGGTGTTTTTTTGCACACTTGAAGACATAGGGTTACTAGCGGGTTCGCCACCGCAAATCATACGAACATGCTTGAACATATAAAGGAAACCCAAAACAGGAAGAACAACTGACAGGAGGAAGCTCCTGTAACTGGTGCTCAAAACCATCCTTTTCTTTATAGAATATCCTTCCGATCCATTTGGGGGTTTCCAGAAATGAGGGATCTCCAAAATCTATAATTTATATTGGAAGATCCTATTCAAATGGATGATTTAGGGGTACCCCCATCTTAGGAAACCATGTTGCCATGCAGGGATGATTTGCCATAAATTTGGTTTGTCCATTTGTGGGTGAATCGAGGAGCCCACTGGCCCCAAATGACATGAACCTGGAGATGATTCATTTGAGAACGATGGTATAGAGCAACTAATATCAATAATCATGCATGTCAGGTACCATGTGGTTTACATCAATTGCAGACCCATTATTTTGGTTAATGTTTATTGCTTGAATCTCACCAAGGCATGTTTAACCCCGCGCTTGTTTAATGGCATCTAGCAGAAATTCGCATCCACATAAAATTGCTCATGTTTATTCGTGAAATCTCCACGATATGATGTTCCATAGCGTGTGCTCAAGTGCCTTGCTGCCTTGCTCATGAAATCCATAATGTTCAATCAATTCGTGACTCGTACTTTCCATCTGATCCCATGTCCAACTTGGAAGATCCCCATGATTGTGTGTTAATGGGGTAACATGTTTGCTTGATGGTAAATGGATGTAAATGGCAGCACTTAGATGGGCCATGCCGTCAGCTTGCAGAGTGGTAATTATATAGGTTGTTTTCACCATTTATAACACGTAACGTAGATTAGATAGGATATATATATACTGTATATATTATATATACGTGTGTCTGTGTGTATGCGTAACATCTGAATAGATGTAAAACTTCTATGTTTTTCAAAAGTACGCTGGTGGATGAGGGTCCCTTGGCGTGCCTCATCAAACAAAGACCGCACCAAGTGGATGTGACATCAGTGCCCGGCCAGCACTGACGTACCTGCATTTTGTATGTTTTTTTTAACGCTGTTGGTTTATATGCCAAAGACTCCTTTCGTCTCTATATTTCTACGCTGTTGGTTTATATGTCAAAGACTCTGTGATTTATAAGATAACGCTGCTGGTTTATGTGTCAAAGACCCCTGTGATTTCCACTGATGTGGTATGGGGCTAAGCCAAGAACCCCTAAGCATCCCTAAGTAACATGTTTTGTCATTGGTTAAAAGGATTCAATTCCCAACAGATCACTTACATGATCCGGTTCTTGTCTAGTGTGTGTGCGTGTGCCCAATGAAGGTGCCACCAGCCGGTGAACAAACTCCAATGTACGTCTCCGTCATACAGTAAACCCCGTTTTTTTGCTGGTGAAATCACCATTTTTTGTTGGTGACATGCCCATTTTTGCTGGCGGTTACCTTCCGGACATGAAACATAGCAATTGGAACCCCCTATAAATGGATGGTATTTATTGGAACATCGACATAAATCAACTATAAATAGGATGTGTTCCATTGACATTTTTGATTACCGGGGGTAGATCCCTTGAATCCCATGTCACTTGGAACACCACATTATTGATTATATATATATATATGTATATATATATATGCATATGGAATTCTGTTAAATACATAAATATTATTGAATATGATAACCTGTTATATGTATATTTCTATTTACACACTTTTATTTCTATAATATATTCGTGGTTCACCCCCACTAATGCATATACTTATATGTACACTATTCAGTATGTCATCATATGACCTCATATGTCCATATATATATATACACACATACACCATTGGTTCAAACACACACTTGCTCAGAAACATCTTATCGAATTACTGATGTGGAATGCACCGTACGTGCAAAAAACGCTCCAGTAAACCTGACAGGAAATGGTGAATGACCAGGCGTGAGAAACAGTGTAGAAGAATTCTGCCGCTGAAACTGTAACAACGTAGTGGACAGCGTGTTCAACAGTTAAAAACTATCTGCAGGTACACAACTGGGCGTCCCCAGTTGCTTCCCCTTCAGTGACATAGCTTCGTTGGGCAAGGTAGTCACTGAAGGCCTTGCCCCCCTGCTTTTGTTGGAAAATCAAATGAAAAAGCCAAAAAGGCAATGTCAAATTGGAAAACCATTGAAGCACATCATCAAGCAAGTTAGAAGTTTTACATCTTTTCAGATGGTCCACACACACACCCTCCCGCAGGAGGGTGGGACAATAAGGTCCCGACAATGAGATGAAAATGAAGAGGAAGGGAAATGAAGATGAGGTGAAGATGACAATGAGATGAAAGTTACTTAGCCAGGACGCAAAGAGGGGAACGCAAAAGAAGAGGGAAAGAGCAAACACCAACACATGAAACCTAGCCCAGAACGGGCAACCCTGGAAAGGCAAGGGAAAAGAAAAGCGGAGGCCGACGGAAAACGGAACAAGACCAGCGGAGGAGGGGGAGGACAGAAGCGCCTGAACCAACCTGACACGGCGAAAACCTACAACAACCTCAGCACGCAACGGGCCAAACCTACCTGGAGAGAGGAGAACGCAAGAACACATGAAATAGGGACCCATGGGGAACTAGTTAATGACATGATGCATCCACAACGCATGCAAAATTCGTGATAAGGCTCAAAGGCCCTCGGCTTTCAAGTCACAACCCTCTGGACGGCTTACGTGTTCAACCCCTGAATTAGGTGCACAATTTCAACCTCACCGAGAAACCAAAAAAGGAAGTGGCCAAACCTGGAAAGCATGTCCTGTAGCCTTCACATGGTAACATGTCATGTGAAAATGTCGAGCTCCGTACTCTCTTGGGCATCATTGAAAAACGGATGTTGTCGCGGCTTCCAGCTATGCAGAACATGGTGAAAATGGAAAAGGCGATGCCCAGTACTGCGGCAAGCAGTTTCAACACTCACTCGACCGACAGAGTGAAACCTGAAAAGTGAACGGCTGTTTCACTTTACTTAGACGAATTACTAATTCAAAAGTGTAAATTCAGAGATCGTTTTACTGTCAATTGTTAGCCTAGAAAGGCTTTCCCCGAAGGGCTCATACCACCTTGTCGGAATTCGGCATGAGTGACACACTTGCTCAGAAACATCTTATCGAATTACTGATGTGGAATGCATCGTACGTGCAAAAAACACTCCAGTAAACCTGACAGGAAATGGTGAATGACCAGGCGTGAGAAACAGTGTAGAAGAATTCTGCCGCTGAAACTGTAACAACGTAGTGGACAGCGTGTTCAACAGTTAAAAACTATCTGCAGGTACACAACTGGGCGTCCCCAGTTGCTTCCCCTTCAGTGACATAGCTTCGTTGGGCAAGGTAGTCACTGAAGGCCTTGCCCCCCTGCTTTTGTTGGAAAATCAAATGAAAAAGCCAAAAAGGCAATGTCAAATTGGAAAACCATTGAAGCACATCATCAAGCAAGTTAGAAGGTTTACATCTTTTCAGATGGTCCACACACACATATATATATATACACAAATGTTTATTATTATTGTTTTTATTATTATTATTACTATTATTATTTTATTATTGTTATTGTTGTTGTTATTATTATTTTGGTATAATATGTATATAACTTACATTTGTATTTATTTTTATGTAATAATAACATATTATCATGATATTATCTATTTGTATGTATAACCATCATATCCCCGCATTAGGTGGCCAGTTCCAACGCCTTCATCTCCTCCTGCACCCGTGGTGCCGCCTGGCCCCTGGGCCTTTCCCTGGCGGCCGCCGTCGGGGACGCCACCGCAGTGACGCACGGCAGCGCGGTGGCCGCGTGCGCGGCGGGAGGCGCGGCGGCGCCACGTTGCGATTTTTTGTTGGGGCCAGACGTTAATTGGGGGTTTCCTAAAATGGGGATAATACCCTAAATCATCCAAAGCTAGGCCCTTTTAGCATTGAAACCATGATTTTAGGGATCCACCATTTTAAGAAACCCTGAGTTGGAGGAGAATACGGGAGGGTGAAGGATGGCTAATGGTGATGTGTGTATCTTACACGGCAATAATGTGTTCAATGGAGATTCAGCCAGTGCCAGTAAAAGTTGATAAGAACCTTTCCATTCAAGACTACACCTGGATTTCGGTTGGGGCGTTTGATGTTCAGGGGAGGAGACTGCTTGGGGGATAGATCCCAGTTGATGAATCCTAGCTGATTGCTGGTCCAGCAAATTGGATAATGGTTTGAGATTGCCTGACATATTGTTTATACCCACCCGGATTTGGGATGATATGAGGAGAAGTACAGAAGGGTTGAAACCACGAATGAGTGTCTTGTATGCATATGTATGTAGGTCTAAAAAACAGTTTTACATATTATACATTCATGATCGCATGGGATGTCTCCAGCTTGCTTCTGTTATCGATGGGGCTTGGAACGAAAAGTCCATGGCAATAACGGGCATCCTGCATTGAACCAGCGTTGATGATGGGGCTACATGACTCGGTGGTGGTTGTGCTTAGTTGTCTCGGTAATTTAATGGGCAGCAAGCGAGAGAAACCATACTGCAGAAACTTTTAAAAGGTCAAAGTTGCACTATCATCGACATCCCAAAAGCCAGATGATGCAGCTGGGGACCTTTCGTTTTCACAGGTTTGGCTTTCACTGTTCATCACTGTTCGTATCGTATGACATCTCAAGACTCAAGAGCCGAACTTGCTTGAAAGATTCGTCAAAATCATAGCTGGTTGGCTTTGACTTTTCTCGAGAATCGTGAATGATCCTAGGCGCCACGATAGAGAACTTCATTAATTGGGCAGGTCGCGATTGTTCTGAAAGTGTTCCCTTTTTCCGACTGAGGCAGAAATCTTCTAGCCCCCTACAGTAACCCAGCAGATTGGTATGTATACATATATATATATATATTTATATTTATACATGTATATATTTATGTATATATATATATATGTGTGTGTGTGTGCGTGTAACACGTTCCTGTCAGCTTACTGCAGGTTTGGAAATATCCAGATCGCTCTGAAATTGGGATTGTACAGCCCCTGGCGCTTGCAAACCTGTCGTGCACATCACACTAAGGCAAGTATTTGTTGGCTTTGAATTTGCTGTCGCAGCACCCCACTGTTCTTTGTTCGCACTTGATGGTGTCGTTTGCAGTGGTGGCTTATTCCGAAGGTTTGGGGGCTCTCACTGCAAGTGAAGTTCCTTCTGCCTATCACTTCTCCGCTGCATGATATGTATCAACATTAGGTTGGATTGGATTGGATGGTCTAACTCAAATCACCTAACGTCATCCAAAATCTATGGGTTTTGAGGCCTTAAACTTCCAAGATGCCCCGAAAAGTGCTTCTCTATGCTTCTCTCCACTTCTTCCGATAATGTCAAAAAATCACTATATATGCAATTACCAGCTACTCAGCTTCTGTTGCATTTTGAAATGCCAAAATGTACCAATGTTTTTTCTTTCAACCATTTCAGATTTGAACACATCAATTAATCCAAAAAAAAGTAAGTGCTCTAATTTGAACTTTGACCATGTTATTTTATTTTCAACCACATGATAGATATAAATGCCGTTTTTGCCAGGGCCACTTCCTCCCCTACATGAATTTTGCCTACACCTTGTACTAGACAACTCAGTGACCCGCGTTTGCTGCCAACTGGAGATGCCTTTGCCAACAGTGATTTTCAACTTCCTGATTTGCCTTTGGCTTTTATCTAGATTTCTGGCGACGAGTGAGTTGACGCCCTTGAGCAATGTGCTTTTGAGCAACTGAGTTAGTGGAGCCCAGGGTAAACCAGACCTGAGAGTTTGATGCAGTATGGATCCTGCGGTGAGTAGGGCCCAGGCCCTTCGCCTCGAGGAGAGTTGCTATTTCTTGTGGATGATTTCTGTTTGGTATGTCTTGGGCCAATGGAACACAACCACTATGATGCTTTGCCTGTGGTCTATGTGATTTTTTTTCGGGCCTGAAGACTTGTTACGTTTTACTTATTTAGCCATTTGCCGCGGATGGCCACCTTGTTTAGTACACTACGCTCACTACGCTGTGGCGTCACTTGAAGGCTCATGTGGGTTAATCACTAGATAGGTTATATACTAAGTAGTTAGCTATAGATACTATCTAGTTAGCTCACTTAGCTATATCAAACTAAGCGGACCTAGTATATGAGCTAAGTATGGGTATATACTATATCTATATATACAATAATATATATATATATATTATATTATGCCGCCACAATCCCAATTCCCTGGATGGCAGTGACCGGTCGCCAGCTCCACAGCACCTGCGCGTGCGAAGATTGCTGAATAATGTCCCTGGGTGTTCCCTTATTAATTTGGAAAAAAACATGCATGTTGGATGATATATCATTTGTATTCATTTTTTATTATTTCGCTTACAGGGCCACCTCGTTTAGTAACCTGAATTGATGCCTTTGTCTTGCCTAGTGTGAGATACATAGTGCCTTTGTTGCAACCCAAAGGGGCTCCTTTGCTTTGAGGCCGCCAGCTTGGATCTGTGTGTTTCTTTGTCATTGTAGCTGCTGGTCCATGGCAGCTCATACACTCTACATGTCCTGAATTTTGGACTACCGGCCTATTTACCGCTGAGATTCTCACTCCGTGTGATGGGCCTTAGTCTTGTGCTCCCCCCACCAGTGCTTGGGAAATAAGACTGTGGACGTTGCTCCGCATGCTCCGTGTCAAAAGTTGGAGTATATAGTGTATAAGCGCCATTATCATCATTTTTACATTTATATATATATATATATACATATGTATACATATATCCGAATATTGTTGGGTGATATTCCCATATTAGGGGGTGTATACACATGCATTCCCACGCTTGTTAGTTTTAGATTTCCCAGAAAATAAGTTGAACCAGAGGATCTTAACTTTAACCATAGCACGATTTAAATTCCAAGTGTAGTCCCATTATGTGTCCCAAAGTTGATGGGCAGTTTCCACGAACCCCCTCTCGCTTGATATACAATATTAATTAACGGTTTTCCACTTTGATACATATATTTATTTAAATATATATTTAAATTTATATTTATATTTATATTTATTTAAATATATATTTAAATTTAGATTTATATTTATATTTATTTATATATATATATTATATATTTATATATATTTACATTTACATGTTAAGAATTATATGTATATGTATATTTGTATGTATGCGTGTATTACCAAAAATGTATTATATTGATATTTTAAATTTTAAATACTATATCATTTTAAGGTATAGATCGTACATAGATATAGTTCCATAATACATGTTGCACTCAATTCCCACGAATAAATATGTAGTTGTAAATACTATTTGTTTTCTTGTATACATGTTAAAATATCCATTGCTATCCCAAGGAATTATGGCATACATTATTCATCATATTTCTCCCCATTGTATATCCCATTACTTTCCCTGTTGATATGTCCCAGTATCCCCGCTATGCAGTATAGTCCCCTTATGGCCCGAAATTATATCATAGTGTATCCTATATCTGTTTGTCTATATATATGTGTGTGTACGTACTTTTTCCCATAAACATATATTTATTTACACATGTATATTTATATATATATATATATATAAATCCATTTTTGGGTTTTCCATATGCGTGTGTGTGTGTGTGTGTTTTTTTCAGCCATTTGTTAGTACATAAATACCATGACATGTATCCCATTATTTGTCCATTGTATACCCCACTGTATATCCCATTTGTGTTTCCCAGTGCCCCAATTGTGGAGTATAGTCATAGTATCATATTGTAGCCCGTTAATACCACATATACCCCATATACATTATATGTTGTAGATAGGCCCCACGATGTACATATGTATGTTACAAATATACCCCATCATGTAAATATACCATATATATGTATATACCATATCTATGTATAAATACACCACATATATAACATATATGAATATACATAATATATCTATCTATCGATCTATCGATCTATCGATCTATCGATCTATCGATCTATCGATCTATCTGTCTATCTATCTATCTATATATATATATGATTTATTTTTAAATTTATTTATATACACATGTATACACACACATATATATATGCGTGTGTGTGTTATGTTCCCATGTACCTTGACCATGGCACCGGGCCAAGGTGTCAGGCCTGGGTGCCGCCCTGGACGCTTGCGGCTCTGCCTCGGCCTGGCGGCAGGCCCTTGAGGTGCTCAGGGCCGCAAGAAGGCGGCAAGAATGGTGGGGAAAAGGTTGGGCAATGGTAAAAAATGCTTGGAAAATGATGGATAAATTTGATCAACTGAGTGAGTTCATGGAATTTTCATGAAAAAACATGGTGGAGGAATGGTGGATTAATTGTAAATTGGGTGTGGGAGACACGTGGAAGAATATGAATGACAAATCAGGATACACGGCTTAAGATTGTTTGGAGATGGGTTGTCATTGGCATCAACGGTTTTAGATTCATTAAATGGTGAATTCAATGGTGAATTTGATTGAGCATGGTGCGCTGCTGGGTGCCCTAAGTTAGCGAGCGTTTGATGAACATACTGAAAATCCAAACAAAACATATTTAGGGGCATCCTATATTTTAAGATGCATCAAGATGGTGAATTGGATGGTGAGTGGGCATGGGTTCAAATTGTTTTGATGACTTAATTACCTACAGACCGTAATTTAAACACACAGGCTAAACCATATTAAACCAATGACCAAAGATCGGATGAAATGACTTGGCAAACCTTGCTGGAGGAGGTTCCGGGTCATTTGCTTGCGCCTATTAACGGTGATAAACCGCGAAAAACCCAGTGACAGACCACCGATTGAGAAATATCATTGATTTAGATGCATGGTGGCTGTGTTTACTGCTCTCATGGTGATTGCCCAAGGATTTATCATTATGGATTTACAAGGTTCGGGAAACCTGACACCACAATGAGAAGAGAGAGAGAGAGGGGACAGTAAGGGTCCGCAGTGTCACCTTCTAGCCGGCCTACATTGCATGTTCGCTCAGCGTTATCCAAACTGTGTTTTACCTTCACATTGATGAATCACAAAAACATTTGACAAAATCTCATGTGTCTCTCTTGCTCATTTCTTTTGGTATATCAAACCTTGTTCCCTCATGTTTCCAAGGCTTTCCCATGTGTTTTCCATGTGTTCCTATGTTTTCCCTATGTTTCCCATGTTTTCCATTGTTTTCCCATGTGTTCTCCAGGTTTTCCAACGTTTTTTTCTCTATTTTGGTGTTTCTTCCTTGCGCCAGTTGGACCTTGCGCGCAGATGTGGCGGCCTGTTCCTGCGCTGCAACGGCCTGCGCGCGGCGCGGCTGGAGCTGGGCCTTGCGCGTGCTGGAGGACGAAGCGTGGAAGATGATGTCAGAAATGCAAATCAGAAAAACATGTTATATGATTATTTAATGAATATATAATGGTAAATGATGGTAAATGTCAACGTAGGATTAATAACCCCCCCACAAGGTCAGATATACCTTGTAAAGTCTTTCCTAGTTTTTCCCTAAATAAACGGCCCCTGAACCATAAAATTTTGGATATGGTTTGGAATCTATAAAAATCAATTTTAGATTTTCATAGAATTCCATTGGATTTGATAAGATTTGAGTCTTAGATTAATAAGGGGAACCCTGGTTATTATTATTATTAATGGGGGACATGGGCTCATGGGGGGTACCCTGTGGGAGCTATCCAAATTGATGAGTTTTATAAAGAATTTAATTGGAAATCGATCATTTGGGGAATAGTGTTTTTTTCAAATTTTCAATGATCAGCAGTGATGGTTTCTGGTGTTTATGAGGTTTCAACTTAAGTATAGCATAAGGAAACCATTTGAAGATAAAGGGAGTTAGACAATAAAACAAAACCTTAAGTACAACAATGAGACATGATGAGAAACAAAGAGAATTGGAAGTAATTGAAGAAGTTTGGATAAAAAAATAGGATTTCAGCACAGCGGGTTGATTAATCATTCCAGTCCAAACGGTTTATTATTCTGGGGGGACCACCTGTTCTAACATTTTTTTGGGGGGGGCAGTGGTGGTTGATTAATCCTACTTTGACATTATATGACATTATAATGATTAATTATTTTTCCTGATAGTATGATTGCGATTCCCTATGGATGCAAACACTGTCTGAGAAGGTATTTTTACCAATCTTAACCCCCTAAATCATACCTCAAGTACTTCCTCAGAACGTACTTGGACCCATAGTGATTACTTAATGAATAATGATTATTCCTGATTATTATTCCTGATTATTATTCATGTGTTTTGTTCATGATGGATTATTGTTGACGATGATCATTAATGATTAATGATAATATCAGGTTTGGAAATTTGTAATATAACAATGTTTGTTTTTTCTATAGCACACACGCACTCTATATTATATATATATACGGATAATTACACATGTGTGTACATGCATATCTACTGTATGCGCATAGATGTTTACTGCACACGCAGTGGCACACACATATGTATATATAAATGTGAATATATATATATATATAGATAGATACAGACAAATGTACAGCTGTATCTCTTGTTTGTATATACAATGTTTGCATATACTGTAATTCTATTGTTGTTGGCTGTATGCATGCACAGACACATGGACCGGAAACTGTGGAATCTAAACCATAACAATAAAGATGAGGAAGATGGCTTTGGGATGCTTTGGGTATCGAAATTGTGCGCCATACGGCATATTTTGAGGGCAATCTTTGGACACCTGGTCTGTATTCAGGCCTTGAATTGCTACTGAAGTACATCCAATCTGAATTTTGGTCTCAGATCCTTATCTTCCTTGTTTATTCCTTGTTCCATATTTGGACATCCCCTGTTTCATTGGTGAGTTGTGGGCATCCCCATGTTTCCGCAAGTTGAGTGCATCATTGCGGAACGCAGGCGTCTCCAGATTCTCTGGGCGTGCAACTCTCTGTGGCTTTGACAGTGGCCCAGAAACTTGGTGGATGGTGACATGGTGGATGAGGATCACCTTGAAACACCGCCACAGATTCGGGTGTAAAGCATGGCTGTAGTAGCGATTATGTAACTTATGGATACTTACCCTTGTGGCAGGTGAGGTATTTTCAAATTTACGCAATTCTCCGAAACGGTTGCTAATAGACTCCAGTTGTTACAAACTTGGCCTGTTCTAAAGTTAAGTTCGTTGTCACGTTTGTTTACCACAGCAGCAGGTTTTCTGGTTTTGTTGCAGTAGGTTTTCTGATAAACAATTTTAGAACACGGTGCGAGAACATGATAGATATTGATACATATGGAGGACAACAAAATTGTGGAACAAGCCAGGGGCCACAACAAAAAAATATAGAACAACCCTGAAAAGAGGATGAAACTCATTTTTGTTCCCCCAGTTTTTTTGGAAACCAGGAATTATGGAACAACGGGTACGGTAACTTCCCGTACCTTTGTCATCCTCAACTTCCGCTCTATAAATTGTGTCGACGACCATGAATTTCTCGACTATACACTTGTGGATACCACAAGGATTTCCATATGATCCGATACATTTCAAGACCCACTGGCAACCCCCAATGCCTAAACCTCGAAAACTACACCATACAGTACTTCAGCTGTTGCACCCAGTTTCTATGTCAAGGATAGTGAGGAGCACTTTGGATCATTTTAGGACCCGAGAACCAAATGTGTCGGATTAAACCTTAATTATGACCTGCCAGGCCAGGATGATCTCTCCAATTTGGTAAACGGAAAGTTGTCAGAACAGACTGTGAGTGTTTATGATTGTTTGCACATTGTAGGAAGGAAGCTATATGAGATACATCAGCTACTAGCTTGGCAGCCAGCCGAGTCCATGATCATCGAGTCCTGCTCACCATTGGCCAGGACTCCTGATCAGCCGTGTGCTGCAGTCAAAGTCTTCCAAGAACTTCAAGCAAATACGTGCAGACACACCGGGCTGCTCTGCAAAAAGGGAACGGACAAGTCGTTTTTTTTGTGCAGTATTGTGCGGTTGGAATGATTACAGCACTTTATGCAGCAATTATTTCCTTATTTATGTATGCATATGTATGCTGTTGACTGTATTGGCTGGTTGATGCGCGTTCTCTCTTGCTAGAAAAGAACTGTCAATACAACAGTGTCCCACAGTGAAGATACAATCTGACTTCTGTATGTTGCATGTGCATGCAGCCGTGACCAAAAAGAAAACTCCACCACCCTTTGATCGTCGACATGAGCTCTTGCGAGGGGTGACAGCTTGATGCCCCTGAATCTCTGAGATATCCCGAGATTTTCTGAGAGTGATCACTTTTGTGCTGAACCCTCCAACTCATTGGGGTATATTGGGGTGCATTAGGGTGCCCAATTTAAGACGCCCACTTGATGCTTTTCAATGCGTTCAATGTATATACATGATATTATACGGGTGGCTTAACCACCAACCTGCTACAGATTTGCTATCTGAGGGCATGAAAGCCCTTCAAAGCACATCCTGTGATCAACCCCTCCAGTATGTGCTCCTTGTTTATCCCAATGCTACTGGGTAACCTCCCGATGAATATGCCATGAGTACGGTGCTGAAGTCCCCATACGGCATGGGGGATGCATCCTGTGGACGTCCAGGAGTGGGCCTTGGGATGTGTCCATTGGGTGGCCATTTTGGAGAGGGGTTTGGATCATAAAGCACTGGTGACTTGGTGTTGCCATGTCTAGCAGGTTTTCGGATGTTTTTTGGCTGTCCGATGTTTTAGCTTGGCCGTTGTGATTTCACAAGTGATGCTGAACTATTAGTGAAGCCCAAGGTATGCCTTTTTCAAACTGCAAAGTCCAGGTATTCCAAGATCCGTTTTCTGAGAACATATGTATGACAATCATTGATAGATATTGGAGGAGCTTAGGAGCTCATATCCTTGCTACACGGGAGCATCGGGCATTCCGCTCTCCCGAAAGCCGGCTCCAGGAGGCCATTCTTCAACGAAGCTAGGCGTCGGCATTTGCCGATGAACAACATCCTTTTGGGTTGTGCCGGTGAATGTTTTTATTTAAGTGTTACTACTGTATCACATCTCTTGTTAGATGATAAGGGAATTATCTTGATCATGTTCATGGCTATCTTTTTTTTAAAAAAAAGTGATGACTTCGATGACCATCACCATCATTGTGTTCATTGTTGTATATTGCTATGACTCAGGATGATGATAATAAAACAAAATAACAAAACAACAACTATTGAGTTTCCTTCCGCCCAGGGACCCCTCTCTTTTCCAAGGAGTGGACATCGACACGTATCACTGCAATGTGGCGATCAGAGACTGCGGGAACTGGCCAGATGCATTGTAACATGGCCGTTCCGAAACCGGCGGTCGGTTGGGTCGGTTGGCTCGGTTTTACCAGCTTCTGTACGCACATGGCCACATAACCAATCATAGTGGCTGGTGGTTTCTGATCTTTCTGTTGAATTCTGTTGTTCAACCAGGTGATCCAGATGTATCCAGATGTGGGGTCATCATGATGGTGATGATGATGATGACGATGATGATGATGATGACGACTTCAACGACGGTGACGATGACGATGACGATGACGACGACGCGTATGTCATGGGGATGGGGTTGTAACCACAGTAAAGATTTGTAGTTTGAACGAGCTTGCCAGCAACCGAGAGTCACTTTTGCGACTGGGGTTGCGCGGTTGCGCCCTACGACTGGAACATGAAACATGCAGTATCAGCCTGCGGGTTTGAAAGGCTCCTGGCATGGTCTTGGAAAGTTAACCGTGGCATTTTCCAACGCTTCACCCAAGTCACATATCTACCATGATCTACCATGACTTGTTGCTCAAATCACTTCAACCATGTTTAAGTGTTTGATTGTTTTGAAATTCGCGCTGTAGGATTTTTAGCTAAAATTAAGGTCCTGTGTGCAGATACAAGTGTGCAAATTGTAGCACCTCACCAAAAACCGCAAAACACATGGTGGGTGCTCAGATCATCTAAAAAATGGCTCATTTTCACTTCAGCAACCATTTCATTTTTCCGCGCTGATCCGCGCTGTTGATTTGGCCACCAACTCCGTGCTTTCCGCCAGGCAGCTGCTTTCCTTCCTTCGTGGGCGAGATGTCAGGCTGATCCAGTGACCTTCTGTTTGGATGTTTCAATGATTATTGTTGGAGGTTTTAAATCTGTAAACATATGTAAAGATCTACTTTTCAAGGGGGTGTATTTGGATGACTGATACTAGGACTGTAGTTTTATAGGGGGTTGCCTTCTTCTTGTTCATAATGGTTTATTTGATAATCTTCATGTACATGTACGAATAGTATATATACAGATGCTGTTTCAGTAGCAGTTCCAGTTTCCGCGCAAGGACACTTTTTTTTTCACCGATACGAGGGGGAAGATTTGCATCTTAGATCATCTTAGATCATCTTAGTAATTACATGGTTTTGTTTTACTTTACTAACTGTCAGCCATGACTGGACGTCGTGAGGTTGAAGCATTTGTTTTGTGCCAATCTACCCTTTGGCAGTTTAAGATATCTATGTGAAATGGCCCATTTAGTTCAATATTTGCCCATTAAAGCATATTCAAAAATGGCGATGTTCCCTAGCTATGTTAAATAACCAGAGAGACCCCAGCTTGCGTTGCAATCGTTTCGTGATATCATGACACACCCTGTAGACGATCTACGAACTGGGATGGTGTGCTGCTGGCAACACATTGACAGATATTATCATATTGGTGCCGTGCAGCCAGACATGAATAAATCATTTTGGAGGCCAAACAAAAATTGCTTCTCTCTCTCTCTCTCTCTCCCTCCCTGTCTCTATATTTATTTATATATATAATAGAAAGAATCAAGATTGGATTGGATTACCGGACTGGATTGGATTGGATTACATATATATATATATAGAGATTTTACATAAGATCGGATTGGCTTTAGATATTCACACGCACACACACTTGAGGGGTCGGGTCAACCTGATTCATCACAAGAGGAGCGACACGGTGAGTTTCAACAGTCTCCGCTGCCGCCCCTGGCGTCGCGTTTTGCAGCTGCACGCAGCGTTGCCAGCAGCGCAGCTAGAGCCGGACGTGCGGGGACCTAGGGTCAACCAAGTTATGGCAATTGGTGGATTTAAGATGATTTAAGTAGCAAAATGGTGGATTTTACGTTCACAAATTCTAGATTCAACCAACACAAATAGGATATGGGTGGACAAACAATGACAAATAGTAGCCTTTACAATGCTCGAAACATGGATTTAATGTGTTTGAATCATCAAACAACTTGGAGTTAACTCTATTTGACACGAGGTTACAATCCTCTTTTGTGTGCTACAGATTAACGCCCCCCAAATGGATCCGACTGCTGAAGCTGTGTTAAACAGGATTTTAATGGCATGGTTGGTGTGAGTGGTTTCCGCTTGGCCCCTCAACATGGATACGGATCACGTGCGGCAGCATGCACAGATAATGCATTACACTGCTTGTATTCATCATGAATGCTGATCTGCTGGAGACGGACCAGCAAGCTAAAAGATATACTATATGGAAACAAACATATTTTTCACGAGGAACATGATCTATTTCCATTTCTATGCGAGTTCTAGTCTTTTGGATCACACCCACCTGTCTTGTTATTTTATATCTCCATGATGTTGGAAACTGATGAGTGGAATGGGACTGGATTGTGGCAAGACGGTCCAACATAATTTTGTATCCTCTAATCTGTATGGTACTGAATAGCGTCAAGTTTCTTCTCCGAAGCTTTGTGGTGAACCCAGAAAAGCACCACTCCTTTAAAATACTGTTTTGTTGTATCTACTTTGCAACATCCAACCCTTTGTAAAAAAAAACAGGGGAACCATGGTTTTTCCACATTTTTTTGTGTGTTTCCCTAAGGGTACAAGCTGAGGCCCCCTAGATAGCTAAGTTGAGTCATAACTTTCTAAACGGTTTATGGCATTTATGGAAGATATAACTGTATATATATATTCAATAGTATTCAGGTTTTTGTTTCCAACAGACATCACTGGGGGCTCTTCACCCCAACGTCATCGCTAGGTAGTGACCTGTGGCGCCACCTTGAGCGCATGCGATGGCGCACAACAGTGGCCAACAGCGCTGGCGCTGCTGGCGCTGGCGCCAGCGCCGGGCCGCGGGACATCGGGCATTTCTTTGAACAGCCACCTGCCGAACTTGAGGTATATTTGTAAGATGTGCACATTTATTATATATATATACATAATATCTTTATTATATATATATATGTGTGTGTGTAATATATATATATATATATATGTGTGTGTGTGCATGGGCAATTATTTTTTTTCAAGTGTGTATGTGTTTCAATGTGTGTTTTGTGAATCTAGATGTGCACACGGATTGCATTGATAGACTGTTTGCAAGCTATCAGAGTATCCCACCTTCATGGACCATTTGTTGCTTGTGGTGATGTTCATTTCGGTTCCTGCACGTTTAGGCCACATTGCATCCAAAATTAGTTTCGTGATTCTCATCTCCAAAAACATGTGAAATATGTTCCTTTTTTTTTCCACATCTCGATATCTCCTGATTTGTTCCATGTTTTTGTTGTTGCTCGTTGGGGCTGTTGCCTCACCAAGGTGCCATGAGTGCCCTGCATCGAGCAGGCGAATGGCAGAAGTGCATCGCTTCTTGGGACTGCACTGGCCCGGAACCAACGCTGAACCGTGTGTTGCTGGTAATATCTCCATGTTTATCATGTTTGGTGGGTATAGTCGTTGTATATAGTCGTTGTAGATGTTATAGTCAAAACCCCTGGCGATTATTTGTGTTGGTTTCGAATGACGAGACATGACGAGGCTACTTTGTGGGAATTTTGTGACCGGATGTGATTGGAAAGATCAACTTTGGTGAATTCGCGGATGCAATTTCCAGAGCATCGACCATAGCACCAGCTAACCACGTAGAGAATTGTGATCAGGAAATCTTCTACGGCTTCCCACTCTGGAGGCTGGTTGAAACCGTTTGGTTGGGAAGTTGTCCTGCGCTCCTGGAGAGTATCAAAACAAGCCCAGGCAGGTGCTAAGATCTACATCGTCAGGAGTGATTCAGTATCATTGGCAAATAACACTTTGGACCTTGGACCTTTAACCAGTGGTGTCGGGTATTGTCGGGAAGACCGCAGAGCCCCTTTAGTATCCTTTAGTCATTTTTGCAGTTGTTTGCCAGGAAGCAGCAATGTACTTGAGACAGGAACATGCTAAACATACACATGTATAATTTGTATAATACATATATTTTTTAACAAATATACAATTTATGATATATATGTACATATAACCAATGGATATAACTAAATAGATTAAACGCGTACATATAATATTTATCATTTATGTATATACATATATATGAAAAAAGTGTTGCACATTTGCATAGACACGGTAGACACATGGTTGTACGTACATTTATAAGTTGAACATGTCCGTGCCAGGCTCGAGCCCGACACCTTCTTTTGCAACCAGTGGCAGATTACCACAGCAGAGCTACGACGTGGCGGGGTGACAGCATCAGGTTCTGACTGCAGATGGGAAGATTTATATAAATATATATATATATCTAATCACATCTAATCAGTCTAATCTATATTGAATATACTTTGTTCTTAAATCTAATAATGCCCAATTCATTTTAAGTTGTTATCTAATGTATCTCATTGATCCATCCATCGATCTATCTATCCATTCATGTTTGATGTATAAATGGATGCGTATCTATGTGCAAGGTGATGATACACATGATAGGTTCATTTGAAAAAATGTTTGTGGGAAGCTAAGCAGATGCTTTCAATAAAACCCTCTATATCCCCAATCACACGAGTATTTCAGTATTCTTCAGGTGGTGGTGGCTTCAGGCTCAGTTTTGTTCATCAGGTTTGATCGTTTAGAGCTGTCCATTGTTGGTTACATCAGTGAAATCACAATGTTTTTTTTCCCGGTGACATCTGACTTTTTCCATTTGTTTCCATAGATCATTGATAGATCATGCTTAAATCCCATAGGTTCCCCAACTTTCCTACAGCTTCACGACCAGCTTCCCGCGGCACCGCGGCACTGTGCCAGGGATCCTCCACGACCAGCTGCTGACCTCCATGGCCACAGCCGTGCTGTGGCAGCGCTGCCTGGAGCTGGGGCGCTTCGGAACCAGCTTGGTGGGGGACAGCAGCGTGGCTCGGTGGACCAAACATTGGGAGCAGTTTTTTGAGTCGTCAATGATGGTTAGTAGTGGTTAATAATGGCTAATAGTGGTTAAGTATATGTTTCGATAGGTATACATAATACATATTACTAGACCTTTGTGACATATATATATATATATAGAACTAGTTATAACTAACTATATATTACTAGTTGTAGATATTACTATAATATTAATGTGGGAAAACAATGTCATAAACCAGAAATGACTGAAAATGGTAACCATATACCACACATAAAAATGGTGAACTGGGGGATGGTTTATGCCCACATTAATTGTATTTAAATTGTTGATATGCGCGAGCCAAATAGGTGTGGCGGAAAAAACAAGTTGATATCTATTTATAAGACATGTATTACTGTATATTGTATAACTTAGATATCTTAGATTGTTGAATGTAACTTACTGTGGATTAGCAATTATAGATGTGGGTTTGGACGCCAGTGGAAATTTGCATGATCAGGTGTAGCCTAAATTATTAGATGCATTACTATATATGACTATGGTTTATTGGATGTACTATTCTTATTCTAACTTGGGTTTGTGTGTGTGATGTGTTTTTAGGTTCTCTTAATGGGAAATCCACTACTTGGAATATATTGTTTTCTTTGGGTTTCCTTGCGCAAACCCAAGAAATTTCATACAAATTGGATGGCTTATTTACGCTTATGCTGTATCTTGTTGTAACTTAGAGGGGCTTCAGGGGTATTATTGTTTTTCATGCAAGATATGGCTCGTGGTTTTAGGCAAAGAAAATGTGGTCGGGGTAGACAGATGACATGCTTATAGTTGCTCAGCCTATCTTCCAAGTACAACTGGCACTGGAGTCCAGGTAAAGCACATCATACTCGTTCTTTAACACCCCGTGTTTGGGAAGCCTGTGGCACCACTGGAAACAACAGCATTAGTAAGCATTTGCAAGTGCAAAACTGGTCGTTTTGCAGGAACTGTTCTTTCAGCACCTCCCTCCGTAGAAGAGAGCGACCTTTTCCGAAAAGAAGATCAACTACTACCGTCTTGGAATCAAACAGTGTTTTTTGAGTCTAATAATATATGGTTTGATTTAATTTATGATATAATAATGTTTGAAAATAATCTCAAGAAAAATATCTCAATGGCTCAATGGTGATACCTCCCAGGTGGTGACAAGCTTGGCGCGGAGTGGCACCCGTCACAGCTGGGCAAAGGCTTTGCTGTGGCCTAAGCAGATGCAGAGCAGATTCGCGAGGCCCAATGTTATCACCTTCAACAACTTGTTGAACGCTCCTGGGCATGGACATGCATGGACAATCGGCCATAATTGGCCGCAATTGGCCAAAAACTGCACCATACTGCACCATTTGGAGATATTTGGGGCGTAAAAGCACCTGACACACCTTTCTTGGGGCTTAGGGCTTACATCATCGCGTGACATGATTCCCAGAGTTTGTTGCAGGGAAAATTGATGTCTTTGTTTCTTTACCTACAATAACATCGACAAACTATATATAGATGGATAATTCCTTGGGACTAGTTGGTTCACTAGCGCTCGATCTGAGAAGACTGGTGGTGAGGCTAGGGAGATTTCTATCGGTACCCCTCGTTGCAGCAATACTAACGTTGGCTCTGAGGCTTGCCAAAATGGTAGCGCATGGTCAACATCGTTGTGGTTGCTACTCAACGGCATTTGGGCAGTTTCCATTCCATCCCACCCGATTCATTTTACGTGTGTGTGTGAGCGTGCTTGTGCGTGCGCTAACTTCATGGCTGCCTTCCCATACCCAACATATTTGCTTAGGTTGCTTAGGTTTGGTTTTCTTTTTGTTTTCCTTCTGACATTAGTGGGTCTACTGTACATATTCCATCCCATCCGAGAAAAAGAACGGTCTCAAAGAGCTCAGCATCCCATCATCAGTGACGATCGTGGTGTAGAATCCATGATCATTTACAGATATGATTGAAAACAGAAAGGGACGCCACCAGGGCCCACAAAATACATAGCTAAAAACATGTGCTTTACAAGGCATATAATCAATGATATATCTTTGATTACTTTTTTTGGTGGAGATGAGATATTTGTTATTTAGTTTTTTTGGTTTAGGGTCCGTTCATTTGGCGAGGAGGGGGGGAGCATATATATATAATATATATATAATATATATATAATATATATAATATATATATATATATATTTTTTTTCGCTCTTCCCCCCCCCCCAGACTGTGAATAACATCAATCCCTTCTAAGGTCGCTTGAAAGCCGTGAGTAGTGGGGCTGTACTATAGTCGGTTCAACATCTAAAATATAAACAAACAAGAACTGATGATACCTACGAAAATGAATTGAAAAGTAACTAGACGACGGATGGCCCGAGAGCGTAGAGGAGCAGGGTTTTCTCTTGTTAGTATGGAGACACCATATTACAAAATATTAAAGATGTGTTATAGGCAGTCGAGAAGAGGAGTATCAAGACAATATAGCACAAGTACAAGACAATAGTTTGCATCGCAAACGCTTTTACACACAGAAGCTTTTACACACAGACGCTTTTACACACAAAAGCTTTTACACACAGAAGCTTTTACACACAAAAGCTTTCACACACAGAAGCTTTTACATACAGGCACTTTCACACACAGACCCTTTTACACACAGACGCTTGTACACACGGACGGTTTTACACACAGACACTTTTACACACGGACGCTTTTACACAGACGCTTTTACGCACAAAGCTTTTACCCACAGAAGCTTTACAGACAGAAGCTTTTACACACAGACGCTTTTACACAGACGCTTTTACACACAGACACTTTTAACAAAGACCCTTTTACACACAGGAGCTTTTACACACAGAAGCGTTTACACGCAAACGCTTTTACACACAAAAGCTTTTACACACAGAAGCTTTTACACATAGACTCTTTAACACACAGACACTTTTACACACAAACACTTTTACACACAAACACATTTACACACGGACGGTTTTACACACACAAACACTTTTACGCAGAAACACTTTTACACACAGAAACCCTTTGCCACACAGAAGCTGCGACCCACGGACCCACGGAAAACAAACATGCCAAACAGTCAACGGGGCAAGAAAACAAAACATGTAAGCAAGGCCGCTTTTACCCACACATTGCCGCTGTGACACAGAAACACCTTTTACACAGAAACCCTTCTGCACACACACCATTTTACACAGAGACGCTTTAACACACAAACCCTTTTACACACAGACACTTTTACACACAGAAGCTTTTACACACAAACCCTTTTACACAGATGCACTTTTACACACAAACACTTTTACACACAAACATATTTACACAGAAACACTCTTACACACAAACCCGTTTACACACAAACACTTTTCCACACAGAAGCTTTTACACACAGACACTTTTACACACACACAGACACACACACACACACCCTTTTGCACACAAACACTTTTACACACAGACCCTCTTACACACAGACAGACACTTTTACACACAAACCCTTTTACACAGACACTTTGACACCGAAACCCTTTGCCACACAGAAGCTGCGACCCACGGACCCCATTTACATTTACACAGAAACACTTTTACACACAAACCCGTTTACACTCAAACACTTTTGCACACAGGAGCTTTTACACACACACACACACGCAGACACACACACACACACCCTTTTGCACACGAACACTTTTACACACAGACCCTCTTACACACAGACAGAAACTTTTACACACAAACCCTTTTACACACAGACACTTTGACACCGAAACCCTTTGCCACACAGAAGCTGCGACCCACGGACCCCATTTACATTTACACAGAAACACTTTTACACACAAACCCGTTTACACTCAAACACTTTTGCACACAGGAGCTTTCACACACACACACACGCAGACACACACACACACCCTTTTGCACACGAACACTTTTACACACAGACCCTCTTACACACAGACAGAAACTTTTACACACAAACCCTTTTACACATTTTTTGATGCTACCCTAGGGTAAACTAAGATACATATAGATGTGTGGAATCCACTATTTGTAGTTTGTAGATTGTTTTTTTAATAAAGCCTGGTTTTCCCAGATTTATCCAATTGTTTCTGCCTCGGGTAACACCTCCTATTCCCCCAGGTATTTCTGCCTTGGACGCCTACGGCTCCGCGCCAGCAGCGTGACCTTGACGGCGCTGGCGCGGAACTTGCGGACATGGCGCCAGGCGCGGGCGCTGCTGGCCGGGGAAGCATCGGTGTAGCTCGGTGAAGCGACAGGGGATGGACAAAACTGCTGGAAAATGGGGGAGAATGGGGAGGTGGTTAATAAAGTTTGGGATTGATATTTTTTAAGGGCGTTTCAAGAAGAAATGGAAAGATACTGTGGATAGTACGGATAGTACCGAAAAACGATCCACGTTTTTGCAACCCAACAAGAGCTCCATGGGGATTTAACCGGCCTCCCAAAGAAAATACTTGGCTGTTGCTGGCTACGCCCTAGGGCTTGATTCTTTGGGGCGGGTGAACATTGACCTCGATCATTGGTTAATGATGGTTAATGATGGTTAATGATTTAATCTCGTCATATCCCGTTATATATGTATATATGTCAATGATATTCCCAACAGAACCCACCACATTTCCCCACAGCAGGGACTGTTGGGTTTCAATCTCTGGGTTTTCCAGTGGGGCGCATTTTTTCCTCTGCGGATATCGGAAGAAGTATCATATAGGAGGAGGATTCGGTGACTCTTTGTAACCAGCACTGGTGACCCTACGCCCCTAGATTGTGATCGTTGTAAAGCAGCACACACATGATCCTACAGATAGGAATTACCAGGGGATTATATGTAATATGTTATAGTTTTATAACTATTGTTTACCAGGGGATTTACAAATTGATAATTTGGAATGAAATTCAAAACATGATCCCCTGGTCTCCCAGGTATTGCCTCAATAGTGCCATGACTTCTCTGACCTGGTTCGACATGTTGCTCCTATTGGCGGTCCCTCGGCGTCTATGACGATGTGACCGGGAAACATGCTGAGATCGCAAGTTGCTTGTTCACTTGTTTTTTTTGTTTTGGTTGTTTCCGTTGTTTCCCGGTTCAAACCAACTGATAGTGCAAACTCCAAGCAACAGAAATGGTTTGGAAACTGGACTTCATGTTCAAAAACCTCATGTAGTTTAAACTGGATTTCATTTTCAAAAGCCTCAGGTATCTTAACTTTTGGATATGGCACGACCACAACCCCCGGCACGTTTTCCAGGAGATGCGTTGCAGCGAGATCCTGCCACTTGGTTTGCTTCGTTCCAGCTGAAAAAACGTGATATTATGTTGAAGGTGTTACAAGAAATGAGCCATAGGAATCCTACCAGGTTTCAGCAAAGATAGGGGCCTAACATAATTCAATATCATTCACCTAATATGTAAAAAAAAAATATATATATATATATACATACACATGAATGTATGATCGTTATGTTACGTTTGTGCATGTAACCTGTAATTAGTCTATCCCATTCTATCCCCACTTAGGCATGTGAAAGCGAGACGCTCCTTTCTCTTCATGGCATGTGAAATGCATGGTGCCAAGCACCCCACAGTGCTCTTAGTGTTCCCACTGGACGGTGTGGCCCAGGCCGACCATGGCCTTGGCACTGACCCCACATGCTGTTTGGTTGACAGGTCCCAGCAGATAGCCTTGAGTTAGAACAGTTCTGGCATATGTCTTGCTCTCCAGCCACCTTTTGATTTGATCACAAAGCATTGAAGCAGCACTGTCCTTTCTAATCTTTCTAACATGACAATGACCATACCTCCTGCATCCTCCGGCATCCAGTGTCCTATTTAGATAGGCCCTTTATCTGGCAGAGAGGTTCGTCTGGATAAGCCCCGCATCTGGATGAGTCTGGTGGGTCTTCTAAATAGCCGGGTGTCTACATGAAGGCCTGTTTCTTGATGATCCAGGCTTCTATCTGGATGATTCCTCCATCTGGAAGATGGGCTTTATCTAGATAAGGACCAACATTTGGATGCATCCAGATGCGACTGTAATGTTGACTGAGTCAACGCGACCAAAGGAGACCAAAGGAGACCAGTCAAGGTTACATGTATGAATATCAATGCAAATAATATGTGTATGTAGTTGTTTGTATATATATATCATATGAGATGTAATATATATATATAGATAGATGTGTGATGACGTGTGTATGTTTATTTTATGCATATGTATATATATATATATACATACATACATTTGATTAAAAAACGGATAATTACACGGCACGTACAGTATGTGAAATATATTTTACATATTTACACATACCAGAGCCCTCAAAGGGCTCCCCATTGGTTTCTGAAATTGTGAACCCCAAAGGTACCCCCATTGGTAAGCCATTTGGGAACTAAGATAAATCATAACAATAAGTGCATATATTTCCAAGATACCACATAACTATGCTAGGTCCTTTAAATAAACCCAACATATCGCATAACTATGATAGGTCCTTTAAATAAACCTAACATGTCACATAATTGTGATAGGTCCTACATTTTTTTTATATTATTATAAATCAATTTATTTTATTAATGTTTTGCTTATTACTATGACTATATGTTAACATTTTATGTTTTATTGTATATACATATATATTAAATATATGTGCGTGTGCACGTACAGGATCCCTGTAGCTCAGCGCAAAATGATAGGCTGCATGGGCTTTTGGAGGACATCCATTGGCCGAGGCCAGACGCCGTTTCTTTGGGGACCTTTAGCGATGCCTCGTCCACCCCCTGGGCACATGCCCTGAGTCTGACTTCGGTGATGTGCCGCATGCGCGTTGCACGGATCGGGTCCGGCAGTCCCTGGAACGAAAGCCGTGATGTTTTGGACTGTAAGCGGTTTCATTTGAGATGTGCAAAATTGAAAAAATAAGTATAATGATAAAGGAAGTACTTTAAAGAACCCGCAAAAACTATGGAAACCATGTTTTAGCACTATGTAGTACTTAGATTTGGAAAAAAACATGTATCACCTTAAATATAGATATTTACCGATATCCAGGCACTTGATTCATGCTCAGTGGTCTGGAACTGATTGAGTTGATTGTCCCCCCTTGAATGATCTTGGACTGCAAAACATGTAAAAATGTAATGAGAACTAAGACGCATGTTTTTTTCCGCGTATAAACTGTATATCTATATCTATGTTATATAGAGTTATTTATATATATATATGTATATATATATGTATGTATATATATATATATTTTTTATATTATACACGCGTTTACCCCCAAAATCTCGCCCAGTCAACATGCAGCCTCCATGCCAAGGTGTGCCCAAAACCGCCCAGAATTGGCGCGTGGCCTTGTTTTTCGGGAACGAACTCAGCGCCATGGAGACGGCTCAGCGCTGGCAGGGCGCGGTGCATCTGTTGGGAGAGGCCCGGGTGGTTCGTTGACCCTGATGGCAAGTGGACTACTGGACTAATCTTACTGTATTTACTGTCCCTTCTAACTGGTACGCATTTTTGTTGGGATGGAGTTAGGTGGTGAAAAAATGGCATGTACATGATCGTACATGTACCTGCTACATCCTACTGCTCTACATTGTTACATACATGTCGTTAGAGGTGTTTGTGATTCGTGACTCGCGAGGTTTGAAGCTAACTCAGGGTTTGAAAACTCCTCCGGATGTTTGTGCTCTGACCAGGTGGTGTTCACAGTTTTTTAATTACCAATGGCGAGGATATCTTGCGACACTTGTGGATGTCTCGAAGTCCAGAATATGACTAGAAGCAGTACTATAGGGGACAGGACAAGCGTCGAAAACATGAAAGATTCAGCTCAGTTCATTGACCAAAGCCTGTGAGTTCTGAGATCTAAATCATGGGTATTGATCCAGCCCCAAAGCCGACCGAGTTTCTCAACGACCAAGCACCTTCAACGGTCTCGTTGACCGTGTATTATTGGGGAATGCTTGGGGGGATTCACCTTCCAGCGGGTGGGCTGAATACCCATGAGTATCATGAGTAAATTCTTGATCCATCGACCTTGCTGTAAGCTGATGACGGTGTTGCTGAACGCTGGGAACGACAGAGGTTGTCTCAAGGGGCGATTTGATCTTCAACCGCGCCATCCGTGCCTGTACCGAAACAGGTGCCTGGCAGGTTTCTGGGTGCTGAAGAGAAACACAAGGGTGGGTAAAGCTGGGTGAAGACTATGGTTTTTGTATTTGTTGTATGTTTTGGATAAGCATTTGAGAATGTCATGCCGAAGTGAAAAAGATAACTTTTAGCAGTGCATTCAAGTTTATTCAAATTTGGGCATGGATCTATATGTCTTGCACGTTTTTGATGCATTTTGAGTGGCGCCAGGTTGGACCCCGGCTGGTGGTTTCAGGTTGTTGTGGATCCTTTATGAAGCCAACGGATACACTTTGGTAATTTCAGCTACAGTATCCAACATGGCCCATTTACTTGGATGATTTGCCATGATTTCCCTATTAAATCAAGATGATTTGCCCATAATTATGTTAAAATACGAAGGGTATTTCGATATTTTCGATCATGGGTGCTTGAAAACCTTGTGGCTATTTTGGTTCGATGCGAACCCGAGGCCGCACTCGCGATTTTGCAACAGATGGAGAGAGAGCTGGTGATGCCAAGCGAAATCAGTTTCAATTGTGCCCTGGGCGTTGCAAGATATAAACTGTGCGTTTCACGGTGAATGATTACAATGTGGTTGGCGTTCTCAATTTGCTGGGAAGGTAATGTCTGTTGACTATATAAAGGTGTCTTGAATGGTTTGAAGCTGCCAACCAGAGGTATCCGATACCAAGTGATTTCGTTCGATCAATCAGTCGAGATTCGTTAGATACGTCCAGGCTAGGGCAGAGCCATTTGGACCATCTATCTGAAACCTTCCTGACAGCCAACCAATACATCTACGGTCAAAGAAGACACACATATCACACATAAGTGTATATATATATATATATTCATGCATATTCATGCTACATATCTATATATGTATATATGTGGTATTTAATTACAGAGCTAACTACATGTGTATTTACACATATATATATGTATATATATATCTATATCCAATACATATATATATATATATATATACACATCTATTTACATAGTCATTATCTCCCCCTATCTCTCTCTATATCTATCTATCTATCAATCTATCTATCAATCTATCAATCTATCAATCTAACAATCTGTCAATCAATCAATCTATCTATCTATCTATATATATATATATATACATGTGTATTCATTATGTTTTATTCATGTATGTTTTTTTTAATGTGCTGATTGTTATATGAATAATGCTGTTTTGTTTGATGGCCAGACTGTGGTCCCCAAAAGGTGCCATCGCAGTGTGTGCCAAGCGCCATCAGTGGCAAATGGCTGTGCAAATGATGGAAGCGATGCAAAAGGCTCAGCTGGTGCCGACGGCTGTGACTTGGGGCAACCTGTCTGCGAATCAACAAGAGTTGGCTGTGTTTGGCTGGCAGTTGCGAGTATTACTTGACAATGCTTGATGTCATACTTTCATGCTTTCATCCAAACAAATAGTATGATTTGAGATTTGAATCTTGAGTGCATCAACGAGCCTAAACCTACTTGCCTGTGCTGCTGCCTATTCGGAAGGGATCCCACCAATTGAACTCGTCAAATTCACTTGTGCAATCTTCCGCATATCGTTTGATGCAGAAGCGTGTCAACTATTTTCAGAGATAGCCTCCAGCGGTCCAGCGGTCAACAAACCGCAACTGCCCGCAGTTTGAGATCCCGATGATACCTCTCACCTTGAGTAGACGGATTAGAAAATGGGGCCCTACGGTCATGAGAAAATGATCAACGATGATTAGTATGATTACTCTTTTTACATTGTCTTTGTCATTATATGTCCACCTGATTCATTTCTTGGGGATATGTGAGTGGCCATCACAAGCACAAGGTCCAAAAAGCTCCAACTTTAGGTCTGCAGATAGATGTATAATACCTTGGTGACCCATAGGCCCATAGGCATAGCCACATTTGCACCAGACTGCCCGCTGGTAAACCAACATAACTATGGAAAATCACAATTTTCAATGGGAAAACTCACTATAAATGGCAATTTTCAACAGCTATGTTAGTTTACCAGAGGGTATATTACATGGTTTTTTTCTTGGGATCACATCCATATGATTTCATATGCTTATCTATATTGTCAATGGATTGGTTTAAGGGAACACTTACAGGAACCCCCCCATATTTCCTTGAAAAATCTCTGATGGGTGTCCTGTGGATTTTCCCTTAAATCAATCCATTGATATTGGGAATCCCCATCAATCAGCAGAACCATCGGCTCACTTCTCAGGTAGTGTTTTGGCTGCTTGCGAGGGGCTGTGGGATCTATCTTTGCACCTACTGCGCTGCATGTGACCTGATGAACGCTGTGGCCTGTGCTTGTATAAAGAATTTCGTTGGATCTGTTAATGGCTTTGACCTATAGATGTTGTGGGTTGTTGTGGTCATGATATTTGATGGTAGATCCAAACATGCCCTGTTCGAAGAGGTTGATCCCAAGGTCAAGGGCGTCCATTCGCTCGGACGCTTTCGCCTACAGCAGTGCTATGACTGCCTGCTGCAAAGGCGGGTTCGGTGCAGGGTATCGTGAAAGGAACGGATAGGTGGGAAGCAAAGCAGTTTCAAAGGAACATGAAGAGTGAGTTCACTATATATATATATATATATACATATATATATATATACATAGGTCAACAAACTTGTTGTAATGTAATACTGTAAAAACATGTAAAAACACACACATATATGATTATATACACATGATATATACCGACGAAATCCTCAGGCCATAATAATGGTCTGAATGTATGCATGTATTCAAGATGAATATTCAGCCTGAACCAATATCTTTGGCCCGAGCAAAAAAAACAGCCCGATGCACTTTGCGTGCTGGTTCAACGGTATTGACATCAATTTCATATGTTGAATGGCATAGACAAGGGGTGCATACTTAAGGAATCCCAGAAGAAACTGTCCCACAATATCATGCAACCTCCCTGCAAATCATCAATGTCAGAAGCACAAAGCAGCAGTCCAGTTAGCTGATAGCTGATTAAATCTGACTCGCTTCCATCCACAAACTATAACTTTGCATTCAAAGATGATTCTGGGACATGGCGACAGGTAATTCAAGCATGGTTTGAATTCACAAAACACATGAAATTTCAGGGAACCGGAGGGAAAAAAAAACATGAACAATCTGAACATTTTGAGTTTCGGCACGGTTAGTGCGATGTTTTGCCCGGTTAGTGCGATTGTTTGCCCGAGTTTTTCATGAAGGTTTTTGGTCGTTGACTCGTTGACCAAATTCATCCCGATTTTGTCATAATTTCATGTTTGCAATTCCAAACCAAGCTTGAAATCCCAGGGTCCCAAAGCCAGTATACTGGAAACCAGGTGCTTCATGAACCTGTGCAAAGCTGGCAAAGTATGTCTTTTACCACCAACACAGGTCAAACGTGCCACAGTGTGGTAACTGTTTGGATTCTTAGCTGATTGTTAGAGAGAGTTCTACCAGACAAGAAAAGGATACGGTATAAGCATCGGGATGACCAAGCAATTAGTTTTTGAGTTCTTTTCTAGTTGGAGCCTGATTTCTTAATCTTACCAAATCAGGTTGAGATTCAAACAAATCAGCCTGAAAATCTGAACATAGCCTGACATCACCCTCAGACCGAAATTGCAGTCTGTGGGACCCTAAAAGTCTGTTATTTCACTTCAGGCTGAAATTATCTATGTCCTTTTGGAGTTCGTGTGTGTATATATATATATATACACATGAATATACACATACATTATACATATATACATATATTATATATATAATATACACATGATTACATGATTATACATTCAAGATGCATCATCATCATCAGCATGAGATTTGCGCCAGGGACCCGCCTGTTCCCTGGTGTTTGGTTGAAGTTTATGCTCCATGATTCCGGGAGGACATGAATGGCAACGTGCACTGCAGCTGTGTCCCCTGGTGAATGATGTGCTGAGCTCGACTGCCATCTTGGCATGTGCTCAAGGAGCGACGCTGCTAAGGTTCAGCTTGGGCCCCTTAGATCCCTTCAAAACTCAGGTTTGATCCCTTGAAACGATGGACATCGAATGCCGTTCAACGGTTCATGTTGTCAACGAGAGGCCTCCAACCGAAACTGACACACATGTTTTTTTGATCCTAATAATATTTTTTGATTCCTGGGGAATATGTTTTTGTTGATCCTAATAATATTTTTTTTGATACGCTTGCCGTTGATTGTCAAATGCCTGTTTTTGATTGCTGATATTGGTTAGAATCCCTTTTTGGATGCTTGAGACCTGCTAAACCCAGTTTTTTGTGCTTCAATCTTGTTTGTTTGACGATCGCAGCGCGTAAAAAAAAAAACAGAATTACTCAAATTCAGTCAGTTGTCATGTTTGATGTTTAAACCATGTCAGATTCTTTTTTTTTGAAACCTACAGTTTCTGTCAGTTTCTCACATTTTCAGTGTCTCCCGGCCCTTGTAGGAGCTCACTGGCGCTTGTCCCTGGCCCTGCTGACGCCCTGCGTGGAAAGCCGCGTGTGTCGCAACGGCGCGGTGGATGCCTGCGCAGTAAGCAAAGCGTGGAAAGCGGCGGAGACCCAGCTGCAAATCCATGGATTGGTTTAAGGGAAAATTTACAGGAAAGCCTATCTCATGGGAAAATCTATGGTTTCCGGTTAAGATGTTCCCTTAAACCAATCCATTGAGCAAAGTCTTTTGAGATATCTTTTGGGGATGCAGTTGGGGCTATTAAAGTTAAGATAACTATGGTTAAGCTCCACAACTAACGAAGAATGGTCCCACAATGATCCCATCCCAGAATTATAAAAAAGTAAGCACCAGGAAGTTGAATCCCTTCCCCCGAATATTAAACACCCCCTTAGAAACCATGATTTAGAATGGAATTTCCACAAATTTAGGACCATTTAGTGGGTGATTAGGGTGATAGCGATAGGATTTAAGAAGGTAACTATGAGGTACTAACCTCCACGAGTTGGGATATAGGGCCCCTACAACTGTGGTTATATAAGTTATATACAATATTATATAATCCAGTTATGAGTGGAACTGAACCCGCGAGTTGGGGATACAACCAACATCAACCATGGGAATTGAACTAGCATATGGTGGTATAATGGGAACAGATCCAACGGCATAGGATACGGAGGAATACCCTCAACTTATGGAAAACAATAATAAGGTAGCTGTTTTCTATTCAGAAAGTGATGTGCGAATGGTGGATTTTCTATATCATTCTATATCTATGGTTCAGCACATTGCAATCAACCAATATACGCATTTAACCTTTGGGTATTTATAGTTATGGACTGAAACTTTGAATGCCTCCATGTTCGCCAGACATTTTTGGGGCTACACTTAGAAGGTTTCCGAAAAGTGCCGTTTTTTTTTTTTACTTCCTGTTCGTTGGTTTATAATGGTTTATACCCCCGTTTGGCTATAGAAATCAATCCTAAATCTGAGGCAAAACCTAGTGATGCACCAACTTGCGGGTCCTGCAACTAATGTGGGCATTTTTCACCATTTAACCATTGGCGATTTAACCATCAAAGCTACTGGGGCTTCCTATGGTTTGATCCTTTTGGATTTTGGGGATACAACTGGCACAACCTGCGATTTTGGGATGATGGTGATGTAAAAACAAAAATGTGGAATGCAAACTAAACATGATAAAACCAATTAATTTGGGCCAACATGAAAAAATAAACCTTCAATGCTGGGGATTGAACCATCAACATTTTGATAAGATGCTATGAGCCGATTTATCCAACATTTTTGTTCATCATAAATCCAAGATTTTTGCTGGTGAATCGGCGTTTTTTCAAGAGAGTGTAACGCTGTGGGGGCCCCGTTTTTACTGTGTTTTGTGCTGTTTTTTGATAGTTTATGTTTGTTTATACTCATAACCGTTTCTTCTTGATATTCTTCGATATCTTCTGTATTAATTAGATGGCGCAAACAAATAATTAAATAGCGACGGTAGATGGCGCAGCCTGGCCTTAAAATCGTTATTCTTGACAGATGGCGCGACCCCGAATAGCATCGCTTTTTTTGGTAAATAGCGGTTGCTCTCTTTTCGAACATTTTCAACAAAATTTGCACCAGGGCTACTGCAGGTGGAGCGGCCAGCTTCAAATTCAATGCAGCCATACTCAAAGCCCTGTGGAGACCAACAGTTCATTAGATCTATTTAACGCAAAATCGCACACACATACACACACACTAATTGTGCACTGTAGGTAGCGCTATTCAATTGGGAAACATAAACTACACACGGCGAGCTGTAAATAACACGGTTCACCAGGCAAAACTAACCGAAATAGGGCAATCCACCTTAGATCATATGCGTGCGCACACATACACTAACTGTGCACTGTAGATGGCGCAATTCACTTTGGGAGACATAAAATGCACACAGCGAGCTGTAAATAACACAGTTCACCCGGAAAAACTCACCGAAATAGGGCAATCCACCCTAGATCATATGCACGCACACGCACACATACACTAACCATACAAATGCACGCATACACCACACACGCACACATATCCTTTCTCCTTTCCCCTTTCTCCTTTCTCCTTTCTCTTTCTCCTTTCCCTCCTCCTTTCCCTTTCCTTTTACAAATGGAACGCAGTGGTAACCTATAGATGGCGCAATCCAAAGTTGTGGTTTTCAAAAACAAAATGGACCCCAAATTCATTGCAAATGCAATACTAAGTTAAACTAAACTAAAGGAAAACAGGTTGTTTTCAACCACATGTGTTGGGAACCTATAGATGGCGCAAAACATCCCATCGCTCAAGTGGTCTATAGATGGCGCATTTCAAAAATTAGCGCCATCCAGCCGCCATCCATTATCTCCCTGGAGTACTTGTTTTATTGACATTTTGCTAATTGTTTTGTATTCAATTTGGTTCTGCAAAGTTTGAAAAAACAAACAAGGGGTGGAGGTAGGGCCCATTTCTTCTTTCACCAAAGAAGATTATAAGTAGACCCATGGCAAGTAGCAACAAATCAATATTTGTATCTTCATATGATTATAAACAAAATATATGTATATACACTACACCCTTGCGTTTTTTTCACAAGACAAGAATGATTATATAATGACAAACATGTGAACCTATATGTTAAACAGGTGCCCTTTTTGACATCACCATAGCCATTTTCATGCAACTGTTATTTCTATTGCTTTGATTTGGTGGTTTTTACAAGCAAAAATTGAAGTACAGCCTTGTCACATTGCAGGATGCAAGCAGTTGTAGTTGCACAAGTTATATCAAAGGTAAAAACCTCACAAGGTTACTCAGGTTTTGTCCCAGGATTCTCCAATGTGAATCAAAATAGTTGGCATGAATCACAGGAGCCACAAATGAATAACACACATGTGAGGTCAGATTTCAATGGGTCTACCAAGTCTTGTAATCAAGTGCCAATTCCATCACAAACTAAGAATGATCATGGAAAGGCATGGGGCAAACAACCCTTCTCACGTATACACAGTGCAAACCCATGTGTTCCACCGTTTTGGTGCACATGGAATATGTAAGACCACTTGTACCCAATCATAGAACATCATATGCACATAGCAGTGATCACCTTCAACCCATAACAAGCACATCCATTCCGGAAACTTAGCCTGATGCCAAAAACCTGTGGCAATCAATTGTGTATGCATTTGTGCTCTTGTCAGTGGAGTCAACCTGAACTTGGCATTGCCATGTACATCTTTCTCTTGCAAGCCAGCCATGCAAGCAAACTGTGAACCTATCAATAGTGTCACATCCAAGCTGCACACACAAGCTGCATCAGCGGAGAGCATACATATGCATTACACAGATCATCATGGTTTGTCAAATTGCATATGCCCATCGTTGGCAATAGCCTGCAGGGCAGTGAGTTGTATTGTGTTGTGTTCATGCTGTGCTATGCAAATGTTTTCCAGCCAGCATGAAAAGAATATGGAAAGAGAATACAAAACAGACAATATCTCCAAGAATATTATGGATTCATATAGCCATGGGAAGGAGCAGGTTTATCGTAACAATGAAACGGGACGATTGCAAAACTTATGCTAACAGCGTCTTACCAACGAAAAAGTGCTGTTTTGTTTAACGAATTTTCTGAATGATACTATCAGGTTAAGATACTAGCAAGGGTGACCCTAGCTAGCTATCTTTTGAATCATCATGCAATTATTCATCAATATAAGTAATATAAATGATCATTGCACTATGTCATGGGTTCCCATCCTGTGTTTGTTGTATTGATAAGTTGCGGCACTATTGGCGGCTCTATTTGAAATCAAGCTTAAACTGACCAATATGTAGAGGTGGTCTACCCAAAGACCTCAATGAGAGTATATTGGCCAAGCCAATGATGAAAAGTATATGACAGCTGCTCTTCCCTGGGACGAGTTATTAAAGTTTACTTACCCAAATGTATAAATATGTTATTTTCTGGGCATGATGAATGTAGTATTATTTAAAATAGATGATGGTTATTGTGAACATATAATACATATATACTGTATGTACGTGCATATATATATATATATTGCTCTGCTACTGTTTCTTCTCTTGCCATTCTTGAATATCATGTGATGACCCTTGTAGTTTGACACCATGGTCCCAAGACGTAGTGTCATGCTTTTTGTTACTTAGCATGTCCTTGCTATGCATTGAAGAAAAACATGTTATAAAGACATGATGGAAAGGCCTTATCGAAGATGGGATGGGTTGTAGTTAGCATTGGTGTAAGGATGATAAGTCTGCAATGTTATTTTTTTTTGAAAATAAAAACCAGTACATAGACCGTTCAGCCAGACTGTCCGGAGCGACGTCCGGCTAGATGGTCTGGCAAGACGGTCAGTCTCACTGTCCAGTTAGAAAGTCCGATTAGAATCAACCGAATTAATTCTTGTCAGTCAATCTGGTCAGATAGTCCATTGATGATCGTAAAGAAAGCTAAGTCTTCTAGTCTCTCGGAAGTAGCAGCCTTTTGGGGTCGGAGGGAGGGGGGGGGGTCTTTTTTCTTGGCCCCCCCTACAGACCTTTGGACAGTTTACAGAGAGAAACTATTACAATATTTGGTGCCAATTTAGTAGTAAACCTTTTAGAAAAGTGAAAGATAAAATTTTGGACAAGTTGAAAAGGAAAGGAGACTTGACAGTCAATATCGTATATATATATATAATATCATTGTTCTATCATATTATGGTGTGATATACTGCAAGACGTGCAAACAATCCACACAAATGTCTCATCTTACGTTTTGCTGTATTTCCAGAAACGTGGCAAAATGGGGCCCCCGTGGCGTGACTTTCTGTTTTTCAATGGGTAACCCCAAATCAACCAACTGGAGCACTGAGGTGTCACTGTTGGAACCTCCCACGCTGCTGTCCACCAACAGCGTCCTGAAGGCTGTGGCGGACTGGCGCAAAAGCCTTGGCACTCCGGTTGCTTTTAAGGTGGATTAACTAGGTGTTGTGGTAGAGATATACATAGTTAGATGATGTTAGATGGGTTTATAAAGGTTGGTATTAAACACGCTTCTGACTGTCATTGCCCTCGGGTCATCCACTACTTGGTCGTGGGCCTTCCGTGTTTTATTTGTTCCTCATCAATTTCTGGACGTGAGATTGGTGTGATACAGTAATTACCTACAGTAATTACCGCAATCTGATGTAATTAATCTGAGATGCAATGAGCATAGAGTTGGGACACCCTTTGTCACAAGGTGGTGCCCCTTTTTTTGTAAGCTAAATCGCTTTATGACGACGATCAATAGGAATGGTGTGTATAATATATATATATATATAATTCAATTTATATATATATATAATTATACATATAATTATATAATTATATATATATGTATATATGTATATAATTATATAATTATAATTAATTTTAAATTTATATGATATTAAGTTATTGTATACATATATACATATATGTATAATTATTTGCATATACTTATGATATATAGTTATGATGTTTATAAAGAACTTAAAACTGTAATTGCACCCCCACTTCTGAGCTCATTCCTGGCCCAAACAAAGCAACCGCAAGTTCGCACCTTCGAATGACCCAGTTGAAGTTGTGTTGCCACGACTTTCATGCCAGGGTCATAGAATATCAGTTGGAGGATTGTTGTTGTGCATTTTTCCCGATTTTCCCCGTAATATACAGGATAGAATATATAATATATAATATCATCTATATATATATATATATATCAATATATAAACATATATACATATGAAGTATTGCATGGTGAGTTTTTTTTCAATTTAAAGAAGCAAGTGGAGTTTTTTTTGGTGTCGAAAATTCCCTTTGCCACTTCATGACTGAGGCATATTTACTCAATCCCCGGCGTCGTGCCGCGATTTAACGACTTACAGTCCCTTGGTGACACGAAGGGAACCAAGAGATGTGGATATTGAGGGATGAGGGCAAGCTGACATGGGTTGCAAAAACAAATTGCACTTTGTAGCAATCCAAGATCATCATCCAATGTTTGGAGACAATCATGTGCAGATACAGCCGCACCTGACAGCTTTTCTATGTTTGTGCTGCTGGTGCGGGCGAATATCACCTGGTTTTTTAGCTATTAGTGCAGCGAGATCTTTAACTTTGCGAGGCCGTGATTTTGCCTACCAAGAATCCTTGAGATGGGTCCTGTTTTGCCTCAAATTCCATTGTCATTGGATTGTTTTAGGAGTCTTTGCAAGAAAAGTAGATATTTGATGGGAGGAAAATCGGTTCAGCCATAGATTTTTGTGGAAGATAATCCCAATATCCAATGACGTCTAATGCCTTCACCAATTAGGTTTGGTGTTCATGGCCTGTGAGTGCCACGGTTGCATTCAGTCGGCACTTGGAAAGAGCCGCAACCGTAGCAATATCTTGGAACCGTTTTGGGGAGATTATTTGGATATATTTGGAGTATATATATATATATATTTGCTAACAATATACTGTATATATATATGCATATTTACAGAGAATAGGTAGCAAAACTAAATACGGAGCATGATCCATGAATGGTATGGTTCATGATACCTTGTGCAGCTGCTTGGAATCGATTACTGTATCCGATGAAGCACAAAGCTCATTTGCTGCCTGGGGTGGTTCCACTTCCACATGTTTGATGTCTGTCCCAGTTTGTGAATATGAACCTGCTTTGCGAGCCTGGTTTGATTTTTTTTTTAAATAGATGGCTGCAAAGCTATCAGGTTGGCAACTGGTTTTGTGGTATCCTTACTAATCAGGAATATTGAATACACCAGTCGCTTACTTTAATCAGCTTTGCACAACTGCTGCCTTTTAAAGGACATCATCGTTGGCCGCCTTGATCTCAAACAATCTGACCATCATTGATCTCCTCCCATTGTACTGCTTCGGCTTTGACAGGTATCAAATGCTAAGATGTTTTTTCTCCCCAATAAACCAGGTGGTATGACCAATCAATCATGGATTATATTATGGGTAATCCCAATAGATTCCAATGGTTGGAATATGTTTGAATACCTCCAATAAACAAGATGGTATAACCCCCACTTATAACCAATCATATATAATGTATTTTATTCATGGCTTGTCTTGCTAGGACCTACCAATCGCTTATCGTCTGTGCGACTGAAGAGATGCAGTGGAGAACAGTGGAAGTATTGAGGAAGCAAAGGGTTGGCTGAGACGGGGAAGCAAACGGTCTCAAAAGGGAGGATGCGCAGTTCCGAGGGCTATAGATGGAAACGTGTTTCCAGGATAATAGATGATATTTACCACATATGTCCAGGTGTCCCACTTTTCTATCTAGTTTTGGATTGCTATATTAGATAGTGGTTGAATGGAACAGTTTCCAAACATGGACGTTTTCTGGACAAACTATTTCAAACCAATCATCCCTGGCTAATGTCAGCCCCGGATGAAAGTTCCGGGGCTTTTTCATGGTGGAGGTCCCAGTTTGATCGCAGATGACATCACAATAAAAGGGGCTTCCGATGTTTAAGAAATCGGGATCTTTTAATTCGGGGATGACATTATCGAATGAGGATGGGCATGAGATTTCAAACCATCGGATTTATATAACTCTTTCTGCCAATGATTTGTTGCAAGGTTATCGTGATATTCATTCAACATGTGAGTTTTTCACGTGTGTAAATGGTGGCCAAGTATGATCGCCTAGCAGCTAGCATTAGCTGGCATGGCGGCATGACTGACTATAGTGATTGAGTTTATCATCATACTGATATGCCTAAGAAAATTGGATACCCCTAGATAGCCTCTTTTGACCCTTATCTCCCCACAAGTACCCCTCTTCAAATTGATTTGGGGGTTCTTTCCTTTCTGAACTTAAGCCCAGCTGATTTCTGGCTCGATTGGAGCTGACGGTTGACCTTGGGCCCGGCCATGGTGCCTGAAGTCCGAGACCTGCTGAAACTGTCAGAGCCAACTCTGCAAGAGGCAGGGTTCGAGCCCGGAACTAAGCGCTGTGTTGGACTGTATGGGGGGCCGAGCTTAGGCCTAATCAGACCCAATCAACAGCTTTTGGCAGAGATCAGCTAATCTCAGCGAGCATTGAGTCATCTGGATTGCCAAGCGGCCAAGCACTTATTTCTGTACTTGTTTGGAATTATACTTACCCAACATTACCCAACTATCAAAAACTCAAACTTCAAGCACGGGAGCAACAAACGATCGGCCTCTGGCAGGTCCAGCAAGTGTTGGATCAGCGTTTGGACCAATGGCGGCGGCGGCCACAAGATGCCACCAAGACCATGTGTCCAGACGAGCGGCTGTGATCTACCCCTGTTGGTTGATGACTATAGGGGGTTATACTACGTTACTATCCCATATGTTGATGTTTATTTATCATGGTTTACCACAATCTCAGTAGATTTTTTGCCTGTTTTGGGAAAAACCATTCATCAAAGATTTACTGCGCTTCGGATGCTCACACAAAGATGTCACGGCTGTCATTGCTTCCCTACAACAAATTTAACATAGTGAGAGTGACGTCTCAAGAACAATCATGGTATGTTGCTCGAAGCCATTCCAATTTGTACAGTAATTGTATAAATAGCACATAGCCCCAGTACACCACCCTCCTTCGGGTTTGCAGCTTCTTTTGTGCGGATGGCTGCGTTTTGTTGATATGCTTTCCCATGGTTTTTCCCATATATATATATACATGTGCGTGTGTTTGTGTGTGATTGCATTGCTCCTACGGGGAATTCAAACGGTGACAGCGGACAATTCCATAGGACACTTCATGTTCATCCATTTGGCAATGATTTTTCTGTTCGTACATGTGCCTACAGATGATCTTCCATGATGTTCCACTCAGCTGAAATTCCCACATGGATTCCCAAAGCCCACATGTTGATGCTGCATTTTTGCGGATAGCTGTAGCAAAACTTATATAGCCTTCCCCAAAAATAGTACGTGCATGTATATATATATAATTTATTTAAAAAACAGTCCAATCCTGAAATATGACGTGTTAAAAAATATCCTAGTAAAGGAATACACCCGAACAAGTACTACTCTCCGGCAATCAAACATGCTTGCTTGAAAACCACCCTTTTGTTCGATGATTTTCCCAGCTAGAAGCCTCCATGTGTTCAGGGATTTCCCTGCCAGCCAAGTTTGATTACCCGGAGGGTAAGTGAGGGTATCCCCATTGTGTGTTGGTTGTATCCAATTCTATCCCACAGAAAGAACATATGATCACATTTCAGCAAACAAAAATCACCAAAAAATATATATAGTAAAATTAAATGCTTGGCTTTTGAGCCCCGTGTTTGTTGCTTGGTAAATAACCAGAGGGTAACACGTTTGCTGAAAAATATTATCATAGTTGCATATATTTTCTGCAGCTCTCTGTAGACTTGGATGTTTCAGACGGGTCCCTCGATCTCAGATCTGGCTTGGCATCGACCCCACGTCGCGCGCATGTCGCGCACGTCGCAAACGTCGCCGTGCACGTCTTGGAAGCCATGCGACTTGGGGAGGCACATCCGTCTAGAGGGGACCACCATTCGGGCTTATTGAGGTCTTATTAACCACCATTAATTTGGGTGGATTGAAATTTGAAATGGATTGAACCCATGTAGATTTGCAGCCAGCAAGGTTTCTTTTGCCAGCATGTTGTTTTTGTGTTTAATAAAACAAGCGTTTCTTAAAAGACTTTTGCGAAGTTCTGTAAGCAGCAGAACAAAGGATTCAACCACAACAAAAAGGAGCTCAAAATATTCAAGATCTATTTGAGCAGTTGCTGCGAAGCCAAATGGGCATTTAGAGTCATTTAAACATATGTTTGCCGAGAAAGTCTGGATTTGAACGTTGCTTAACCAACAAACTGGAGTCACCCCGCTAAGGATTCATGTATGTATATATATATATATGTAATATTATATAATTTAATATGCACATATTGTATCTATATATAGTTTTTCTTTATCTATTTCTGATTATTTATGCAGATAGATATGCACATTTCCCGAGTGCCTGGTGGACCATGATCATTAACGTCAACCCCATGAAACAATCAACCCATCGGTGTCTGATAATCCATCACCAATCTGCCAATTTACCATGTAGAGGTAGCATAGACATGTACAAACACATTATATGTATATATATATATATATGTATATATACATAATATATATAGTATATATATATATATATAGTGTATATATATATAGTATATATATACACAATATATATATATACATAATATATATAGTATATATAATATATATGTACATACATAATATATATATATATATTACTTATATATATATATATATATATATACTATGTATATACTTAAATTATATATATATACACATTATATATATATATTAATATATATGTCACCCAGTTTTTGTGTGCGCGTGTGTTCCTCTCTTGTTAGTGGTTACACGAGAGACACAACAGTAGCTGATCAAAATAACTTGCCTCTCTGTACAACGTCACTTGTTGGGGTTACCACATCAAATATATATATATATATATATATATATTCCCTTCCTCCTAATACTAAACCCTCTCCCCTAATAATGAACACGGCAGGTAGTTTTTAGTATTAGGGTGATATTTATTATTAGGGAACCCTATTAATAAAACTAAACCCTTAATAATAAAAACTATTTTTTCCGATCTCAAAATCAATTAAACCTCTTTATATAACGCGATTAAAATATTGCCAAAAATTGGATTTCGAAGCTTCCCTCTAATATTAAATTAAAACCCTTAATAATAAAAAACTATTTTTTCCGATCTCAAAATCAATTAAATTTCTTTAAATAACGCGATTAAAATATTGCCAAAAATTGGATTTCGAAGCTTCCCTCTAATATTAAATTAAAACCCTTAATAATAAAAACTATTTTTCCGATCTCAAAATCAATTAAATTTCTTTGTATAACGCAATTAAAATATTGCCAAAAATTGGATTTCGAAACTTCCCTAATACTAAATTAAAAACCTTAATATAAAAAAAATAAAAAATCGGACGGACCCTAATAATAAACACCCCGGGGTGAACTAGTTTTTAGTATTAGGGGGAAAACCCACAAATGGTAGGTTGATTTTTAAATTGTTTTCTAAAGGGGATCAATTAAAAATCAAATTGGCCAATCTGAAATTTTCTGAAATTGGAGATGGACGCCTGTTTTTAGTATTTGGGGGACGTTTAGTATTAGGAGGAAGGGATTATATATATACACATGTGTTTGTTTCCCTTGGGTTCGCTACAGTAACCATTCAGAACAAGGGAGGCTCCAAGGAGTCTTGGCAGGTGGAGACCAACATTTTTCATTTTACTGCTGCCATCGGCGCTTGCGAAAAGACTGGCCACTGGTTTGTGGCGCTGCAATTGCTGGAGAGGATGCGCCAGGCGCGAGCAGTGTATATCTCGAAATTGCAGTGGATCCAGCTATTAATGTTTTGATTTCTGAATGTGTATTATCGTGTGGTATATGTATGTATATATATATATATGCATATACAGTATCATATACATGTGAATGTATGTTTTGGCTGGTGGTTTGACATCAAATTTATATAGTTTTATTTTCCATCCTGGGTGATCCCGATGAGCATAGTTTTCACTGCCAAGTTGGGGCAAAGGTCGTTGGCAGATGCAGGCGGAAATTGGAACGAACAGTTGAACCTTGATTGAGCCGTGCTGGTTTACAGCTCGTGCAAGAAACAAGACTCGTCAACTAACAGGTTGGGATTCAAAACCAATCAATGACGAGTGATTCTTGTTCAACTAGCGTAGATTTGACTTTCCCACGGAAGGGGGGGTGTTTCAATGATGTTCTTCCATTTCCATCCCCGTTCGGGCGTGGCATGGCCCAGGTTCGTGTGGTGGAAAATGTTTTTAGCACCTCGGCCTCAGCTTCGGTCTGGAGGACAGCTATCCGCTGGCAACACTTAGCTGCAGTGCAAAGTTCATCTGGTTTCAAAGTTGTTTTGTGAAAAGCATGTTCTGGATCAACTGTGCCTGGTGACTTTCCGAGAAAACAATACCTTCCTGATTGAACATGCCAACGCTCCAACTTGACATATCATTGTTGTAGATGAGTTGGGACATGGGGATGCAGTTCATTGTGGAAACGATGCAACGAGAGTAGATTTCATGGTTGCCCCTGCCATATATTTTCATGTTTCAATACAGACCTGAGGGGACACAGTTCCGATGTTTAGAATCTAGAATCTGTTCAATGTATATCACAATTCGATTTCAATTGCTTGCTGACGTCAATCCAAACTCATTGCGCCAGTTCATATATAATATAGAGACATATAGATAGTTTTTCTCGCCAAAAGAAACATCCGCATTTTTTTTCAACACTTGTTTTGTTCATGTTCTATCGGCCCAGAAAGATGATTGAAGCTCCATTGCCTCCATGTTTGGCATGGGCTCAAGCACCAGTTCGCCTTTGAGGCTGTAGTAACTGCATCAGTGCGTGCGAAAAAGGCTGCCACTGGGAAGCAGCTCTGCACCTTTTGGGGAGCATGGAAGAGACATGGCTTGGGAAATGTAGGAGGCCAGGGAGGTTTCTGGGAAAATCAATGAACATCATCAATACATCATTTGAACATATCCAAACATAGTGTATATATATATAATTATATATAGGTAACGAGTGTTCACCTTGAGAGCTGTTGGGAACCTCAAAGCCAGGTCTTCCCGTGACGGAAGCCTTATCCAAAGCTATCGGATTCCCAGATCAGCCATTCAGGTGAGTTCCGTTGACCCATGCCCAGGAATCAATGATCTCACCGAATGTCATCACCTACAGCAGCTGTGTGAGTGCTGGTCTTGGTGGAGTTTTTTTCCAAGTTGTTTCCACTGCAAAGTGGCATCAAAAACACGGGATGTTGACATGTTGCATGTGTTTCCGGTGTGAGATGTTTTTTATGTTCAATCGGTGGGTCTTAGGATTTGTCTTAATTCTCGAATGACATGAGATATGTTGAAACCGCTGGCCAGATGAGATCGCATATTTCATTCTTTTGTCTCAAGGCTTCCCCCATCCTGGCTGGAAGCGCCATATTGTCCGGTCTGAAAAAACATGCATTGGTACTGCACAGTCATATTTTGCAGTGCTTACTGTACTTCTTGTGTGTATTTTTATGCCTTTATGCCTACGGCAGGAGTTTATGATGCATGTAGAAAGCACATCTCATCCTGAACCCTGAGTGACAGAGACTTTGGACCCTTACCACTTTGCACTGCGATGCTAGAAAGGTACAGACAAATCTTGTTGGCGGTTTGGGCATTTGGTAGCTTCCAGTCTTGAAGCAGACTGCCATAGGATTGGAACAAGGTGCTTTGGCCAAAGGTGGTCAGTGGCAGGGTGCCCTGAGCCTTTTGGATTCGATGACACGTGCAGAAGTTGCACCCAATGACTTCACGTGCCTTGGGCTTCAACAGCAGGTTGGAAGGCCCGAAAGGCCTTGAGAATCCATGTATTGGTGAAGAGCCATGGGGAAACACATAGGGATGGATCAAAAGCCATGAGTTAGCACATTTCGCAGGAACATCCGCCAGCTAATTTGGTGTGAAAACCAGGCTGGGCCAGGGTTTTGACATGTTTTGACCCATACCCAAATGGTTTTAGGCCCCAATATGGCTCAATGCTCCCTTTCCAATGTTCCAGGTACAGTTCGGCCATCAGCGCTTGCTCTGAGCCTGGTGAATGGCAAATAGCACTGGAGCTATTGACTGTGACGTGGCTTCAGTGGATTATGGCTGCCCTTCAACATGGCCTCGGATAATGAACATTGTTGTAATGATGTCATCCTTGTAACAGGCAGGGGCATGTCGGGGGGTTGGCTTTGGCTGACATTGCACTGGTTGCGATAAATCTTGATTGGCGTGGTGATTTTATTAGTTTTCGTTTTTTTTCCGATGCAAGTCGGGGTATAGCTATTTCACTTATAAAGCGGAACATGTAAAAAACAACTAGCTTCCTCCTTTTTGAACTTGCTTGCAAAAACACCGGACGGTAAAATGAGGAAATGGTTACTGTATTTTATTCATATATATATATAGATATGCGGACCACAGCATAGTTGTATAACATATGTATATATATACTATTTAAATGCATGCGCATATGTACTTGATGGTGTTTAATTAGTTGTACGTACGTAAGTGTTCGGCATGTAAGTACATGATGTTTGTATTTGTATATATATATACATATACATATAAACACATATATATATATAATATATATATATATATATTAGGAGATTATATGTGTGTGTGTATGTGTGTGTGACCGTTGCCATGGTGGTTGTGGGTGTTGAAATTTCTGGATTGCACTGCCGGCTGCCAGAGCCGAGGCCATGAAAAAAGCAGAGCTGCCTTTGGACAACTTCAGTTGTGCCAGTGCCATCAACGCCTGTGCATCTGGTTGCTTGGCCAACAAACAACTGAGATTTACCATCAAACATGATGGATTTAGGTAGGAAAAATATGGACAAATAGTGATAAACTGGGGAGATAGTGAGGATATAGAACCAACATGGGCTTGTCATTTGTCTGAGGATTGGGATGGCTTCTCAAGTTATGGCGATTTGAACCACGAATATGATGCTTCACCAGTGAATTTAGAGGTACTCGTACTGATTATGAGACTATGAGACAAACCAGCTATTGCATTTTTACAGGAAAGCAGGAAAGGCCGGTCCAATTGTGCAACTAACTATAGACGCCCAATAAATTCATATAAATTCTAATCAGCCTAGTTCAACCAATTTGCCTATCTTTGCCTACTGTATCTGGATGGGGGCCTTTCTGTAGGTGGTAAAACCATGTAAAATCAATGGGTTGGATTGTATATTTGAGTTATTCTAGTTACTGTATATAATTGTTGGCCTATTGGCCTATTGATAATATGTGTTGGGATGTAATGTAATAATTTAATACACCTGATGCTTGGTAAAACATCCTGGATTTTGCCCGCATTCAACGTTAACCGGCAAGAGTTGGGTTGTGATCCAATAAAGGCTGGTTGTGTCGAATGACGTCCAACTTGGACTATTGGGGGGTGCATTGGCGTATGCAATGTTGCAGAACCATTAGGCTATGGTTGGATATGCTAATATCAGTTGGACTCATTTATATAGCTGCTATAGGTTTAGAGAGATGATGATCCCGTTTGTCTAAGAGCTGGGGTCAAACCACCAAGCAGCTATATAGTTTTGTTTGATTGTTAAGAGCTGGTGGGGCAAAAAGAAATCTGGATCAGAGCAAAAAATCAGTGAAGATAAAACGGAGCACAGCACCATGGAAACAAGATAAAACAAGTCTAGCCTTGTTTCCCAGGAAGTTGTTGCTGTGGGAATTGATTTTTGATGTTCTGTGGAATGTCCCTTTGGAGTTTCTGACAACTCCATGAACGCTCTCCATGAAGGCGCGGCATGGGAGCAAGCCGCAAGCATTTTAGTCGCTTGGCAGCTGAAGTCTCATTTTTAGGGACTGACACGGAACCCGCAAGGACGTGGGCTGTAGATGAAGAGCTTGTTAACCTGTGGTACCCTTTGGTAATTCAACATAGCTATTCAACATGGCCCATAGAAATAGTTGATTTACCTTTTAACAATTATAATTTTCCATGGCAAACTGTTAGTTTACCAGAGGGTAACTGTTAGTTAACTGTTGTAATTTGTAGAGATTGGCCCCCCTGTTCCATCTGAAGGTCTCCGGTACTGCAGATGTGGTCTGTGTGAATGCTGCCCTGAGTGCCTTCGAAAAAGCCTCGCGTTGGCAGAGCCTTGATGTGAGGTTTTTCTGTTGGAAACAGAAAAAATGAAGAAAGATGGTGGGGTTTAATGACTTTAATGGGGTTTAATAGGGTTTAATGGGGTTCAATGGGGTTTAATGGGACTTTAATGGGATTTAATTGCATTTAATGTGTTTCAAAGGGATTTTAATGAAGTTTTAATGGGATTTTAATGGGAATTTATTAACAGAACATCACCATACAACATCTTTCTTTAGCATGATTCGACTAGTTTTGTTGTGACCTGACATTCCAATTGGAGAGATGGCAAACTGGGTGTGGGGCCTTGATATCTGAGACGGAAAGGGGTATGAACCACTTGCTAACCATGTCGAAATCAGAGCACGAGTACGGATGCACATGTTCGACCGACCTACTAATTAAATGTTCTAAAGGGCGCTTTTTTTCGATCCATACTTTTGAGCCAGGCTGAGAGAAACTGAACACATATGATAAGATGGATATGAATTGTTTAAGGATGAGAAGGGTCAAGCAGTGCCGCCATGGAAACCACGTCATCAGACCATGCCACCAATGGTCCCAAGTGCATCCAAGGGCTACCCCTACGCAATGCGCGCTCAACCACTATACGTGTCAGGGTTGTGTCAAATACTCACGGAGGTGTTCAACATATCTATATATATAATAGATATATATATATATATATACACACCGTAGACGTGTATACATTTATATAGTATGTTTTTGCACGGACATGCTTTTCACACATATAAACATATACACACACAGACACATACTACTCATACTTGCCTACATCCATACGTACCTACATACCTACCTCTACCTACCTATCTATACATACCTACCTATAAATACCAGCCTACATGCACAGGTACACCTAGACACGATACAATTACACATCACATTGAATGATATTGGCATTCGGGATTCAACCGGCCCAAAAGCTGACCTGCCTGATAACAAACAACAGTTTATCATGGGCTTCCCAACCATCAACTAACAAGGCCTTGTTAACAATCCATCATTGGTGGGTTCACGTTTGGGAGGTTTTTTGTTGGATCCACAGCATATTTGGACTCTGGACCCATGGTTTGGGGGTTGCAGATGAACTCAGATAGACCATTCCTGCCATTGCTTGGCACCCTTAGCCAAGATGGAAAAACCCACAGGTTTCCTGTTCTTCCGGGGCGCTCCTCCCCCACCCTTAGCCTTAGTAACTTAGTCCTCATGAGGCATGCCCTGCACCTCTTTGACCGCATGGGGCTGCAAAAGGACAGCCGTGAGTCATGACTGGGCCACTGGGGTCCTGAGAATGACAAAGGTTGGTTAATGAGAAGGGCCAGCAAATATGTTCTTTTCCAGATTCCCTGGTGAAGGTGATTTGGGACAATTGAGCAATCACTGGTGGGAGTGTTCCATATATCTTCAAAATCGTTTGGATTTGGCGGCCAGAATTAAGGAATCCGTATGTATCATTTCCCGCTGGTTCCTAAGTTAATTGAGCGCCACGGCTGAAAGGCCGGCTCACCGGCCTTCTATCATTGAAAAATCCCGCAAAAAATCAGGGCCGACGTTTTAGACTGGCACCTTTGACCAAGTGTCCTGCACACCGGGGTGAGATCCACAAAAGCAGAATATACCCTTGAATACCCTTTATACTACCACCTTCAGCTTCAACTCCCAAGGTGGAATGTTTCATCTGCGGCATTCGTGATGGAACGCTGCACTTGGTTTTGGTATGTTTCTCCACTTAGACTTAGACTTTTTCCTGACGGTTTTTGGAGCCAGCTTGATCCCCGCAGTGGTATCCAAGCTTGGCTGTTTCTTTCCAGAGTCAGGACATCTTCAGCTACAACTCCGCCATCAGCGCTTGTGAGAAGGGCTCACGTTTGCAGGAGACCTCGCGCTGGGAGACAAGTGCAGGGTCAGAGGATGGTTAGTTGCGCATTGCTCCGTGGTGATCATCCATATATATATATATATGTATATATATATATATAATTATATATATATGTATATATATAGGGATATTTTTTACAACGAGCTCACCGGCAACGTCACTAGAATGTTGGGCACTAGGGGGAACCAGCCCCAGATGGCGCACTTGGTGATTTGTTTCTGTGATAATGATTATCTTTTCTCTTTGCTAGCAGGAAATCTCAATAATTATGTCAATGTAGCTGTTGGCCTTGATGATAGACATGATATATTGATATGATGTTAAAGGAGAGCCAGAAAGCTTGCAGACTTTCCATGTTTGCACCAAGAAGATGCATAGAAACTAGAATCTGGAGAAAGAACAACTTTACCAATTCAAAGCTGCCTTGATTCTGGTAAGATTTCGCCAAACTTCTGGAGATGACCATGGGGAGGGAGCCAAAGAAAAACAACAAAAACAAGTCTTGAAGATTCACTTACTGACTCCAATGCACCGGAAGGCTGGACGTTGGCATCACGCCTTGTCGTGGGGGGTTGGCAAGTTTGCCAGCATGTGTCCAATCACGCTTTGCAAGTACACTGGACAAGAATAGGTCCAGGTTTTATTATGCACAACTAGTTGCATTTACTCAGCTTGCTGAAAACAAAAAACTAATCTGGAAATTATCGTTATTCTTGCTAATTACCCAATATTTCTCAAGTTCAGATGAGAGTCTTCAGATTTTGCGACCCTCCTCCAGGACGGCCTGGAATTGTTGGAAGCTCGGCAGATTTGCGCTGAGAGTTCACAACTGATTGAAAGGGTTTCCCCCATGGCCCAATGACATGCCATCATTGGAGGTGAATCTATGGATAGAATCTGTCCAATTCTGGGAGTTTTATGTTCTGTGTTTTGTTGGGAGGTTCTCGAGAAAATCCATTTAATCCTCTGCCAGCAAAGCCTGGAGCCCGGGACAAACCCGATGTTGGTCAGGATATGATGTGCCTTCACCAGTTGCAACCCGATGTGTTTACCTTCAGCAGTTTGATCAGTGCATGTGAAAAGATCCTTGGCTGCAACATGGGACAAACTGCCACCGTGTCTTGCCAAATGCCATTGATGTGTGAGCCCAAAGTAAATTAGCAGAATTCTTCTCCTTGACTAGGATAGGCCAACTTTGCCAATGGGGGTGGGGGGGCGCAGGAGAAGAAAAAAGGCGGAAGCATGTGTTGATCAAGTTATACCACCTTTTTCGAAATAGGATGAAATAGGGCACAACATTTTCTAAATGATGAATGTTTCTTCAGTCAGTGTCCTAATTTCTTTTCTTGTCGGGGATGGGGCCAACCTTGAAGCGTGCAAGACATCCTTAGCAGATTTCACCACGCATGGATGGTTCGTAGTTCAAAGAATGGGCACATATTGGCCCTGTGAAAGATCATGGTGTCCCAGATGCTAGTAACAGCCTTCTAACATGTTCTATACCTTTTCACTGTGTTGGACAAACGTGGGCTACAAAGTTTTACAGTTATACACTCATGATTCGACTCATGATCGATCCTACCACATTATGGATAAGATTGGGTCACAATATGTAAGAATTGGAGACAAGTACTTGGGGAAATCTCCAAAAAATAAGCCATCCCCGCCCTTTGAAGGTTTGGAGCCGCTAACCACAGTCCTCCAGCTATCCAACCGCCCCAATCACCCAAGTCATGAATGACCATGACTTGGTATCGAAACCCATGGTGACTTGGGGATCCACCAGGCCTTCAGAACCCCCTATTCTTATTTGTTTTTTCCCATGATTTGACTAAGAAAACACGAAAAGAAAACATCCCATGTCCATGTTTGATGGCCTAGGACCAGCAGCTGGCCATTGGCCTTGGACCTGCTCTGCAGCATGGGGCGCTGGGCTGTGCGACCGAATACGGTGCGACCGAAACGGCTTGGTGAAAGTGGTAAGGTGTGATAATTCCATTTTTTTTGGGTGGATGAACATCCAGAAATCCCGATAAATCGTGATAAATCAATATTCATTGTGTTCAATTCTAATTGGGAAGCGGCAGGATTGAAATGCAAAAAAATCGATCATTATGTTCAATGGTTCTGACTCATTCCTATTGGGGCATGGGCATGTGCATACAACCATAAAAACACATGTTTTTTCTCACAGCTTCCGGGGGCCACCTGGCTAAGATCTTTTGGCTCTGAATGGCATTGGGGCATCTCCAAAGAATGGGAGTTTAAATCATGGGTAATCATAGAACCAAATGAGTTTTGTTTGTTTTCCATTGCCATGTTTGATTCCCAGAGTGTGGTTGACCCCTGGGTATGGGAACAGCATGTTTCAAACAGCCCCACGGTGGTATAAACCTGGATCACTTAGGGATGGTTTATCACTGAGTATATGGAGCCACGGTCAAAGAATTTCATAAGATGTTTATAGTTTGCGGTCATCCACCGACCGCTATTTGGAATTCTTACCGTGTGTCTTATGTCCAACAAAAGTAAGGATTCCCAATAGTGGTCGGAGGATGACGGCAAACTATAATACCAAAAATGCCAGACAATGCTGGTGAAATGCTATCCATGTTCAGTTCTTTTGCACAGAACACAAGAAGAAGGTACTATAATGTACTATATTTAATCATATATAATATGATTATGACATTTATTATTATTTTTTAAATATTATTATGTTATTGTTTTATTACAATGTTTTAATATATATATATATACACATCATGAATCCCTAATTTCGTTCAGATTTGCGATGCCATGATTTGCGATGCCATGTTTCAACATCCCGCAGCAGGTGAGCTTCAACGCCTGCATCAGCGCCGCTGGCGGAGGTGGAGCGTGGCAGCTGGCGCTGGAGCTCCTGCGGATGCTGGAGCAGCTGGTGCCTGGAGGATGGTTTGATACAGGTGTCAAAAAGGTGATGATGATCACCAATTTCATGATATGTAATGTGGGAAAAACATGGTAAAACAATCATAAACCATCCCCCAAATCACCATAGATAAACCATTCCCAAATGGGTGGTTTATTTTTGTTTTACCCACATTATCAGAATATGATGTGACAAATCTGTGCATATGATGGTTGGGTGTTTAATCAGGATTCGATTGTTTAACCATCATATCGAGGGGTTTTAACATGCGTTAACCATCAAATAAGGGGATAGATTATATACAGTATTAATTCTCATGATGAGTGATGGCTGGTTTTCATGATTACAAGAGGGGGTTCTACCACAAATATACAACATATACCGTTCATATACATCTTTTGGGATTCGGATTGCCTTTCATTATCCTCCTTTTTGGGGATCCCATTCGCCATGGATTTTGGTTCAAGGCTGCTTCCCACACAGGTGGACGCCGTGTCTGGCCATGCGGCCATCAGTGCATGCGAGGCTGGAACAACGCCGTGCAGAACTGGTTATGTCGGTTATGTCATGTCAGGATTTGACCATCCAAGTTACTGCACCACACCACAAAATACCACAAACATATCAAGCCATGTTTTGGGATAAGTATATCCCCATCATCATAGCCCTCACAGCTTACATTTTTGACCACAGTGGGTGCGGCTTGTGACCTCCAAACATCCAGGAGTGCGGTCAGTGGGAGGCCGCACTGCATATTTTGACATGCTGGAGTCTGGGCGATTGGCAATCAATAGATGTGAAACCAGACCATGTGCAAACATGTGAATGACCCATGAAATGACCTGGATTTCCATTTCAAGCATAGTTTTGGATGGTGAAATGGAACTTTTTACCAAGTCTGTTGCCAACCACTGTCTTGCTGAGAGCTGAATGATGATGACACAGTTCCTGGATACTAAGATGTACTAATTACAATTCATTGTGGATGTTGAATGAGGTGTCGGATTAGTAAAACAGTAAGATTCCCATACATACAATATATTGTATATATTTTATTTTGGATCTGGAGTTTTCAAGGTAGTAGGCGACGATTTTTGGCTGTTTTGTTGGTCGAGACCCCTTCTCCATCCATGGTTGTGGTCACCGGGGAAAACTAGTTACCCCAACCCTCAGACGTTGATAGACTTTGTTTGTTCAATAATTTACTGTAATGAATCTGTTATTCTGTAAATTCCTTGGGGTTCCCTTATTCATCCTGTTCTTTGCTTTGATTTGCTTTGTGCAGATGCATGTAGATGCGAACTTCGGTTGGGTTGCACGTTCGAACATGACTTGTCACAATCGAGACACTTGTCAGCAGCATCAAGTGGCAAGTTTTATAATTATATAAATTATATAATCATAAAAAGTTCCAGGCAACTGGCCGTAATGAACAAACAAACTTTCCATATGTCAATTGATATTCAGACGCGGGCCAAGTACATGTTCGGATTGGGTAGCGCTCGGTTAGAGCTTTGCCAAACCTTGCCGCCGCCATGGCGGTCGCCTGTGCCTGGCTGCTTGCAAAGACTCGGCAACAAACTTCACGGCTGTATCAGAAGGTCGTGGCCGGCATCCGCGGGTTCCGCGATTTGTACGTTCACCTTCGTACTACTGCCCTGATATCCAAAGAAGCTGAGGAGATGCACAAAAAAGGATCGGAACGCTTGCAGCGTATCCTTGGACTGGATACCTTCAGCAGCATGAACAACCTTGCCAATGTTCTGCAAGAGCAAGGCCGAAACAGCATTGGAAGGCAGGCCGCGGGTCCGGACCAGACCATGAGCATGCCTGCAGCAGCATGAACAATGTTGCCAATGGTTTGCGAGAGCAAGGCCGCTGGAAAGAAGCTGAGGAGATGCGCAGAAAAGCATCGGACGGTCCTTGGACCAGACCACCCAGAAATACCCAGATACTCGTACCTTGAACTGCCTGTGCGATCTGGGTGTTTGCCAGCAGGGACAGGTTGGAGCGACTGGCATTTCAGGGTTGAGCATTTGAAGGATCCGTCTTTCCATCAGAAGCGAGTTGAAGATGCTGGGATCATTGAGAAATCAATATACCTTCTCAGGCGCACGTGGCTCCAGACCATCTGCGCCGCCAAATCGCACGGGGCAATGCCGCTGATTCAATTTGGCCAGCCATATGATGTTGAAAAGGCAGTGACGGTCCTACGCCAGCTCGCCTCATGCTCCGCTTGGGGCCAGGGGGTCGGTCGCAAGCCTTGGCTTCTCCCCTTGAAAAGCATGGTGAACCCGAGGAAGTTGAAGACTGGCAGCAGCGGCTTGTCGAGTTTGGGCAGGGAATTGCAGCAGCGGGGGAGCTTTCGACAGTCCTAGGCCCTGAGGAAAGCGAGGATTTACCAAGCTCTTCTGAAAACCAAGAAATACAAGCTGTTGGCGGAGAGCTGTTGGACGAACAGATCAAAGATGTTTTGGAACATGAGAAGATCAAGCAAAAAAAAGGTTGCGAGAGCATGTTTTCCCCTGTCATTTGGGCCGCGAAGCCTGCATCAGCCTGCAGAATTTTGAAGTGCCAGCAAATCCCGAGGAACACGCGGGCGCTGAGAGCAGACTCAAGGTCTGAGGCTGCTTCAGACCACAAGAAAGCGCCAAGAGAGTTTTGAGGAGAAAATGGCAGCTTTTTTTTTGGTGCCGCAGAGGGCTTGTAAAGTCACTCTGAACGGGCTGATGCGCTTCAATGTAGTGGCGTAGCGAGGCTGAACAGCATTGCCAAGCAGTCTTTTTTTGTTACGAAAGCAGAATTGTGCTAAGAGATGTTTTGATTTGGACACGGCAGCCTGTTTACTTTATGTTTCACCTTTTGCTTTGGCGGAGTCTCCGGATTCATCACCCTGGAGTCCTGCCAGATGCCAGATATCTAAGAGCGTCGTTTTTGGTACAGCCATGTACAGCCCATAGCCATAGCCAAAACTTAATAGCGCAACCCGTGCAGTCTACAGGGTTGGCTTTGAGGCTTCTGTCTATATTCGCAAATGATTGCAAATGCTGTGCCTATTTTTGCTTCGCTTGTACGCTTGTATCTCCAATTTCATCCAATTTCCATGCTCCTATATTTTTGTTGGAATGCCGCAATTAGACTCTAAAATCCGAGGGTGTCATCTTTTGTTGGGGCGGCACCAATCCCAAATTGAACGTCTGGGGTTCTTCGCCACCTGGTGGGGCTGGTAATTTGGCCTCGAATGCCAGCC